TGGCGATTCGATGGTAAGTTTAACAATGACGATCATTAATCATTATCAACAAAGTTCTACACTAACAGTCTTGAATAGCTTTGCATGCACTGGCGTAGAGTCCACAGAGCCTTGGACTTCGCCATCGGCAGCCCAAGTAACCTTCCAGAACATTAATGCCAGCATTCCAGAGATCTTAAGTCCTCCTTTATCTCCTCCCGGCATCAATCGCGGACCGCAGCGTAGCATCGCAAAAACCTCGGCGCTAAAGCTCATTACGTCTTTCGGCGATCAAGGGAAGAAGTCCAAGTTCTTTGCAAACGGTGATGGTGGTCAGACTCCCATCGCCGCGGGCGTCACGCCGATAGCTGAGTCTGCCGTTTCTCCTGGCGGGCATGAGCCTAATACTGCATTTCTTCGTCCCTCGCAACGAAGCGTTTATAACACTCCTGCTTCTGCGAAACCTACTACGCCCGGTGGATTCGGACGGCAACGTCTACCCTCAATAGGAGAGATCCCAAATAACGCCATCCCTCGCGACCTACTCAGCGAAAGAGATCTTCCAACTCCTCCTGCTGACCATGTTCCCGAAATGAGCCAGGTCCATCGCGCCCATCACTCCAAGACACCCTCTGCTGACGACCGGTATGATGTTGGACTGTCCGTGCCAAGAGCTTCGACTGCTAGTCCAATGATGATGAGGGATAGCCATCGTCGGAAGGACCCGCCTCCACCTTCACCATCGCCACAGTCGCTAAATGCTCTAATGCAACAGGGTCGTACTAGTCGAAATGGCGCCCGAGAACGGAAGCCTGAGGGAATGGAACTGAAAATTCACTCTATCGAGGCTGCTATGAACGGTGATGTGACCTCTCCAGAGCAATCTGTAGCGTCGTCTACGCGTTTCCATTGGCCGTCTCGCCGTCGTGGCCCAGGATCGATAGCTAGCTCTGTTACATCAAACTCGAGCGCTGGACGAGGCTACCGAGTTAACCAGGCCGGAGGTCGTGGCTTGAACGAGTATATCCATAGCTTGGAGGCTGCACAGCACTACTCCAAGAAGCAGCGAAGCCGCGAAAACAGTCGCCACCGCCAGGACGACAAAAATGCTCGAAGCCGAGAGGGGAGCCGTACTCGTCAAAGCAACACACGCGAAAGTTCGGAAGACAGGGGTAGAGGTATCTCTCGGAATTGGACGCCTAAGCCTGCTAAACGCTCTCCCACTTCTCCCGTGCCCATGTCCCCCGAAGATCTGATTAACTTAAGCACTCCGCAGCAAGCTAAAGCAGAGATTAGCGATGAAGGGTTTGTATCGGTCGAGTTTGACTCAGGGGAACCATCCACGGTTCGAAAGTCTAGCCAGATTCGACGATCTTCCCCTCGAAGCACTCGCATCTCCAGTCGTACTTCGAGTCGTACCGGCCGCCAGAGGAGCCACGAGCGACGACCACCAGCGTTAGACCTCCGTGGAAGAAGCAAGAGCCGTGGCGATGGCTCTGTTCTAAGGTCCCCATCATCTCCGTTGCCAATGTCAGCTCCTATGAAGTTTTACGGATCAGACGATGAGGGAGACTACCAAGCTGCCGTTGCCGCGCAGGAACAATTCAGAAACCGACACAACCGAAGCGGTAGCCAGAAGGATCCATCATCCCCTGCCGTCTCCCGAACTCGGGATCGTTCAGAAAGCCGTCGCAGGAGGAACAAGACTCCGGCTGACCAGGAACCAATGCCGATGATTCAACCGGCGCAGTTAGTTTTCAAACAACAAATTCCGCCGCCGCCGCCCCCACCACCGCAGCAGCCGATGAGTGAGGCCCGGGCCGGAGATCTCAAATTAATCTCAGCCGAAAGACAGCTAAAGAAGGAGGCCGCAGCCCGCGAACTGGAGGAACGCCGCAAGTCCCTTGCACGCCGTCCCTCGGCACCTCCTATCCCTCACCCGGATGAGTTATCCCCAATCGTGGCCCGCACGCCGAGCATCTTTGAATTGCCTCAGACAACTTTTGTACCTTCAAAAGATATGCCCGTTAGGAGCCAGACTGCCGACCCCCACAGGAGCTCACACTCGCGCAGTGGAACGGTCCCTATGATTGGCCTGCCAGCAACACCCAAAGCCATGCGTCTTCAGTTCGCGTCAAGCAAGCATGGTGGCGCACCGCCGGTTCCCGCCGCCTATACCAGGACTTCGCCGCCGTCTTCTGGTCACCCATCACCTAGCCGACCTGGTAACAACTCACCGACTAAGTCGCCACCAGCCCTAGCCGAATCGCCTAGCAAATCGTCGGATGGGTCATCGGACAAAGAAGCACCACTGCTAACTCTCCTCCCTTCAACCGTGTATTCTCCTCCCTCGCGGCCTAATATCGCAAGGTGCATGTCCGCCCCTATTCCGGAAGAGCACCCGCCTCAATTTGCCCACTCAGCTCACCAGCACGGAATGCAAGCAAGTAGCCAGCCTCCCCGCAGAGGGTCTCTTTCGGTAAGGAAGATGAGTGGCGACGTCAATGGAGGCTTGCCTGGTATCGAAGAGAGAGCGGGATCTGGTAGACACTCGAGGAAGGCTTCTCGAGACGATCAGATACCACCTCCACCGCCGCCGCCACCGGTCCTAAAGGAGCTCCAGCACCTGGCTACTCCTCCTCCACCACCTCCGGCGCCTATTCCCGGCGCTAGGCCCACCATCTACACCCAGCCGTCAGGATCTGGGACTATTGAGATCGTGATGGACGAGGAGGACGACAGCAACGCAGCATCAGTCGTACCGGTTCCGGAACCCGCCCCGCAAACTTCAAGCCCCCAGATGTCGCCCTCGTCGCGCAACGGCCACAGCCGCGGGCGAAGCTTCGGCGACAACAGCATCGCCGGACGTATTAGCCGTGCTGCCGAGAGGATGCGATCCGGTAGCCGGGGCCGCACCGGCTCCATCCTAGGTAACAGGACTAAGTCTCCCGATACCGCCACCATACCTTACGAGAGTGTCCCACCCCCAGTTAGCATGCACAACAGCGGCTTCACATCCCCCGTTAACCAGCAGCAACCACAGCTACCGCAGTCTATCGAGCGCCACCCCCGCGAGGTCCGCGCCGCGTACCAGGAGCGGGAGTTCGGCAGCGGTCTTCACGCCAGCGAGATGATCTAGACCCAGATTGGATTAACACTTCCTTATTTTGAAGCAACGCCTATATTGCGATTGTGTTCTTACTTATATTTCAACTCAACTATATACGACGCAGTTCTATCTCTTTGGGATTCTTCCGCGTCTCACTCAGCATGTATTCGCATGGCGCCGGCGTTTTCATCTACTTACTTACTTCCTACCATTGATACCATTTCTTCCTCCAAGTTCTTATTTTCCCCGGCCGCCATTTTTTAAAGCATTCTGCGCATGCATCATTTTTCTTTTTCCCAATTCACGACTTGGGCATCCATCTATCTCCACCCCTAATGGCAAATCTACGGGCAAGAAGCGACGACGTTAATACCCATACCCCCTTTTCTACCAAGTAACAGCCATCTACGACTTTTTACCTTTCCTTCCTTACTTCCTCTTCTTCTTCTTCACCTTCCAAATTTACCTTGTATACTTCTATATTGTCCTCCGAACCGAGGACGAGGTCTGGCCGGAAAAAGAATAGCCAATACCCATTGTTACCTCCGGGCGCGCAAGCAGTTCCGGAGAAAGTTTTTATATTTTATTCTTCTTTTTCTGGAAACTCACGAATTTACGACACAATGGGGGGACGGACAAAGACATGAAGGGCAACTTTTGGACGACAGAAAAAAAAAGGGGGACCATAGGAGACGAGTAATGTCTCTGCGGCGGCCCGAATTACGAAAGCTTGTACACAATGGGGTAGCAGTATATCTATCTACGTGATGATGACGATTTCTGGGTTGGGAAGAGTGTTGTGATGAGGAGGAGGAGGAGGAGGAAGAGAAAGGTAATAAGGGGAAAGGAGACAAAAATCCCGTGGGGAAAAAGGGGCTATGACACGACACAACAAACTTGAGTTTTCCCAGAAGAGAAAAGTCTAACGACAAGAACGGTGTTGCCTCACGGCATCTTTGTTCTTCGCTTCTTACGTTACCTGCCTGCTGCTAGTCTGCTTGCTGGTTGCGGGGATGAGCAATTGAAGCTATACCCGAATTTTCTTGATAGTCTGTTATTATAGTATAGTCATTATTATTATTGTTATTATACCTTGACGTTTTGATATTAGTTGACTAAAATTTTACTGTGCTTGTTATTGGCAATTGTTTAATAATTAAATTGGTTTAATGATAATGAATGTGATTGTTAAGAAAGATAGTATTAGCTTCTAAGGCGAACTGAGCGTGGTGTATAGATCTCTCGGCTTTACACGTAAAGTCAAGATTTCCAAGGTCTCGGGTTCGAACGGGTCAAAAAACAAACTTTTAATATGTTCAAACCTTTCATTACTAGATACAAAACTGAACTTGAAATGCTCCAGCATCTAGTAAGTTGGTTACTAGAAATATTTACGAAGTAAAAAAGAAGAAAAAAAGGCAAAAAGAATAACGGAGTTGACAATCTCCATCTCGCACCACTAGCCCAAGTCCCCAGGTCAGCGTGTTCCACCACACCATGCGGCGGGGGAGATGCTCTGCAGAGTGAGACCTCCCTGAAGGTTCCTCTCCATTTCGTAGGACCACCTAAGCGTCACTGGTTACCCAAGTGGATAGGTGGTCACCGCAGCATTTGCAGTGGGCGCGACCTGGGGGTTCTTATGGAATTGGGATTAGCGGCACGAGAATTTTAAGCGCCTTCGACCAATAGACCATTACAGTCGAAAATGGTTGTTGGAATTTTGTCTTATATATTAGAGTGCGTAGTGGGGTCGTGCGGGGTAAAGTTCGGTTTGGCTTTTGGCGGTAAGTCTGTGTTTTGCAATTATGAGGTATGCGACAATTGCGATGATTCAGTTAATGAGGTGTTAAATCTGAACCTGCATTATGCTCAAGATATTACTGCTATTTTGGAAGCTTCAGAGGTAGCTATTAGTGTTGTTATGTATAGCATATAGCAGCTTCAACACGAGACACTGCGCGCCATGTCCTCTCCTTTCGTTGTTTAATTATCATGAAGTTCCACGACCATTCTTCTACAGAAACCCTAGCCATCTCCAAACACATCAGTTAGAACTCCCACATGTCTCATTAGATTTACGATACTCTGCACACCCAATTGGTCTCTTCGTAAACCCGGCTCTCCGGCTAGTGTAGATCGAAGTCATGTTAACGACAGCACCGTACCTGCGCATCCGGCGCCCGTCCCCAACAACAGTCGAGTTCATCGTGTCGACCCTCCCGCCGCAGACGTTACCGCTACGCCTTGCCCTCGGGGCCGTATACTTCGTGCGTCTACTACTCGCTCTCGCCATCCTGCTCATGGTGTACGCGGCTCAGAGCTCGTACTGCTCGACAACGCCCATCCAGCCGCTACTACTACCGTCGATGAAGACATCAGTGACGAATATACAATCGAATTATACCACAACAGGCGCTGCCGCCGCAGGCACTCCCGTCGACGCCCTCGCTACCACACCTATCTTCTCCCTCGCCTTCGTCCAGCAGACCCTCGACGTACTACTATCCTCTCGCCTAGGATCTCTCCTTTCTAAGCTCGCGCACTCCATACCCCCGTGGATCTTAATCCCCTGCTCCATAGGGACACTATACCTCCTCTCGCTACGCATCGGCGCAGAGGAGCGACTCCTAGTCCTCCGGGGTCTAGGCGTGCAGACAAGCTCAAGCGGCGCGACGGTGTTTTCCGCGCTCAAGACGCGCTTCATCCCCACCGACAAGATCCAGGACATCCTGATCAACGAGGCCTTCCGCGGCTTCGAGGTCCGGCACTACCTGATCGTCATCGTCGAAGGCGAGGAGCACATCGTCGTCGTGTTCCCGCAGCTGCTCCCGCGACCGCGTATCTTGGAGAAGGTGTGGAAGGGCGCGAGGGAGTGTCTTTACGGACGGGATGGAGAGGACGAGAAAGAAGAGAGGAGGTCTAAGGGGGACGGCACGACTTAGGAGAACGATGAGTTGTCTCCCCGTGAGCCGCCGCCGCAGCTGCGTCATAGACATGGATATGGAATTGGGGACTCGTGGATAGTGGTTTAGGCCTGGTTTGTTTGATTGGCGTATGGCTACAATGGATGGCGTGGAGTTTTGACTCATGGAATATGATACCCCGAGAGCGTTGCGTAGCTTAAGTGTCTGCAATATAGCGATGTGTTATGTTACGTTTTTCTCCTTTTATTTTCTCCTTTTATATCTACTTATTCCGTTCCCTCCTCTAGTAAAAGTTCTTTAGGTGGTAGATCGCCTGCTGCTTCCTCTCTCCTTTTCGACCACGCCTCCCTCATCTCCGCCGCGTCTGCGAAACCCTTTCTCCTCGCCTCCCGATCGAAGACTTCCGCCGGTGACGGGAGCCTGGGCTTCTGCAGAAGAGGTTGATATTTGCCCACCAGACGCTCTCTGTCGCCGCCCTCAAACGTTCTTGTCGTGGCTGGAATATGTAATGGTGCCTTTGGATCCTTGCGGAGGCTGATATCCGCCTGGGAGGATATTATGTTCAATAGTTGGCCCGCCAATAGCTCGTCCATCTTCCGTTCGCGCCAGTATTCCCACATAGAATTTAAGAGGCCGCCTGTCCCGTGCTGATTTCCAGGGCTCTCCTCTCCAATGTGCACCCATTCAAGCGCGTTCTCGGGCTTCTCTGGCCTGGGGAATATACAATCCCAAAGTACCAGTGGCACTTCGTCCGCAAGCTGATAGTTAGGTCTTCGCGGTTCCGCCTCGAAATAGAGGAGTTTGTCTACTATCGAGGGATCTTCTAAGCCCTGACCAACCGTGAAGATAATCGCTACCATGCATCGGATCTGATGCCATAGAAACGCGGTCCCTCGTACGTGAAAATAGTATACCTTGGGTAGCTTCTCCGGTAAGTCCATGCCTGAAGGCCTGAACTCTTCGCGATCTAAAAATGGTAGTGCGGTCTCCGCGTCTTTCACCTCTACTATGTCGCTCTCGAATACTCTCCGCTCAAAGTTAATATTGATTTTGCTCTGGTCGACTCTGCAAAAGTTTCGAAAGTCATGGAGGCCCTCAAACTTCTTAGCCGCTTGTCGCATAGCCTCGATGTCGAGCCAACCTCCTTTCACCCTTTTGGACGAGTTATCTGGGTTCTCGAAGCTCTGCGGTATCGGTGCGAACGCTGGCTGGGTGAAGAAATATCTATACTGTCTCTCCCTGCAATCGTGCCTCGCAGAGAAGTCGGCTGGGGTCGTGGGGCACCACGCGAGCATCCTGATATCAGGGGGCAGGAGTTTGTTCAGAAGCCTGCAGTAAGGTAGCTCGTCCGTGAAGTCGTCGAACTCCCACTTCTCCTTTGTCTCCTCGGCTGCTGCGTCCAGTTCTGCTGCCTCTCCATTTTCGTCTACTTGACCAGCTTCCGTCGGTTGCTCCTTTTTAGGGAGTGGCCGATTACTTCTGACCCGAACCGCAATGACCTGGCCGAACGCGCTGACGCCACGGTCGGTACGTCCGCACTTGGAGTACTCCCAAGAGTCCCAGTTGACTTCGTCGGGGTTCTCAGGGAAGATCAAGCACGCCTTGACAAAAGCTTTCCAAAGCTCTTCCTCGATAGATGGTAGGTTGGCACTCGACGCATACTCGAAGCCGCCGTATCGCTTACCCAAGTACGCCAGTTTAAACGCCACAAGCCGTGTTGAGTATTTCGAAGGGTCGATTTTGCGCCCTACTTTCTTCTTCTTCGGTGGACTAGTAGCATCCTCTCCTGTCACTACACTCGTGGTAGACTCTTGAGCCACCTCTGATTTATGCTCGCCAGCGCGAAGGAGGTTCGCCTCGAGCACCTTAATGCGCTTTATAAGCGCACTCTTGGTCCACCTATCGTAGGTATAATCCCTCTTATCCATCTTAAGTTTTAATAGTCCCGTAGAAAATCCACATCGAATCTCTTGACGAGATACGAGGAAAAAAGACCTTAGAGATGCCTGAAGGCGCTGGTTATAACACCTGCCGCTAAAGGGCTTCATCCACACCTACGTCAGGAGAATATTTAGACAACTTTTTATGTCGGGGTATTTTTTGAAGTTTAATATCGAATATTGTATGTACTACTTACCTCTGTACATAAAATATAGATACATGACCTAATAGAAATGAGTCAAGATTAGGTACTCGCTACAGTGTCTTATCGATAGTGAAGTCCCTTAAAGGCTACTGTAAAACTGTAAAAGAGGTAGGCTAAGCGCAATTAATTGGGGCAACTCACTTCGCATCACTATCAAGTTCCATGTTCTCGTTCAACTCGTAATTAATTGCCTTAAATTTACAAGAAATCAAGTTTGGAGTTTATTAATGGATGACATGACAGTTAAAATCCTCCTACTTGGGGATGAGAAAGTAGGGAAAACGACGTTTTTATCGTGCGTATAAATCATGCTCTTAACACCACTTGTATTGATGCGTAGCATAGGCGGATTAGTGGAGGTAGCAGCAGTCTTGAAGGTCATGCCCCTATTACTTTATTACGAGATATAGACCAGCCTTTCGTTTTCGAGATACGAAATCGAAGGGGTGTGTATCGTCTTGAGTTCTATGACACTTCCAGTCCAGAAGACTGGAGGCTGCTTGAACCGGACTTGGTCTTGATTTGCTACGATATCAGTCAAAGACTAAGCCTCATCAATATGCAAAGAATCGTAAGTACCGTCCTCCTTATCCTAATACTCTCATGCTTCTAATCTTGCGTTTCTAGTGGATCAAGCAGGTGCATGCCAACTTCCGAACTAGTGACCACCTCCCTGTAATTGTCGTCGGTCTCAAGAGAGACCTAAGATCCGAAACCGATCCCAATGGCATCATATATCCTCAGGAAGGACATAATGTGTCGCAAGAGATGCGAGTGGACAAATACGTCGAGTGCTCAGCTGTCACCGGCGAACTTCTCAAGCTGGCCTTCGAGGAGATCTGCAATACCGCAGTAAGAACGATTGTAACCGGTGGCGGACAAAGTGAAGGAGGGTGTCTAATGTTGTAGGTGTTAAGAATGACGACAACTTTTTTGTCAAATACCCCCTAGAATTCGGAACGTAGGCCATATTTAGAACTTAAGGTTGTTATCAATTTCTACGATCCTCATGAGTGCCCGTTCTCGGTGGTTTCCATAACGCCGTCTCCTTGATCACCCTCTTCCGGCTCCTGGGGGAACTGCCCGAGGATTTCAGTGACTATGTCGAGGATTTCCTGCTGCTCATCGCCATTAAAGCGGTCTTCCATATCCTCGATAACAGTGTTTAGGACTGGAACGTTAGTGGGGCGAATGTTGAAGAGCATGATACACTCTCCCTTGGTGATCTGGTACTGGCGCAGTCTCTTAATCAACTCAGGGATGGCCGCCGTATCAAATGGCAGCGGCTTCTGACTCAGAGGACCTGGCGGGCTCTCGAAATATTGTAGCACCTATATTTACTTCATCAGAATGAACTATACATATTATGTTAGGATATAATGTAGCCTTACCTCTTTGCGTAGCGTCTCTAAGTTTGCAGGTCCCTTGCGCTTTTGGTCATTATATTGTTTTGCTTGGTTGCTCAAAAATGTGTAAACTTCGACGTTAGTCAATACAGCCGACTGGGCTTCTAGGATCTTCATTATGGCAGTCTTAATTCGTCTCAGGGCTTTGGGGCCGAGTTTTCGATTGAAATAACAAACCCAGCAGCTTTAATGAGATTATCAAGTCACCTTTTTTCTTGTCGCGTTGTGAGATGTAAGTCAAATTGTATTAAGCGTATGTGGGGTCCTAGATTTTCTTCTAAAAAGTACTTAAGTACATGCACGAAGGTCCGGGCTAAAAGTCTTGCACATGTGGAGGTCTTTAGCACCGTATTTGAACGTCATCCCTTTTTATTAATACTATATCAGCCGCCTGCTAAGATAAAATTTGGATAGTGGCCCGCACGCTAAGTTTAGGTGGCTTACCACTATATTTATAGCGGCATTAGCCACTACAGCTTAAATAATACCGTGCGATCCTTTTTTAACTTACACGTGGTTTGCCAAGATTACATGTGCAAGACTTTTGGCCCGGACCTTCGTACACTAACTATGTGGATTCATACCTTATAGAGTGGGTCGCTCCAGGCGTTTAATTGAAACCCCGTCTAAGTCCAACCTCTACTAATCCGTCGGTAATTCATTATAACCAATCCTCTATTTCAATATATATGCGTCTCCCTCTCCCCTTACTACCTAGTCCTTTAATCCCGCGGCCCTGTCGAAATAAATTTGCCAAGACTGAAGTTGAAGTGTAGCTGTCGTCTTGTGGTCTACCGAAATTGACGATGTCTGGTTGGCAACCAATCGCTCGATTGCGGACGCAGGCGGGCTCTGTAGATACGCGACCAAGCTGTATGACGGATATGAAGCATATGACGTACTATCCACCCGTACTCAAGTTAGCATTCATATTACGTATTATATAACATCAGCTTTTTCAAGTAGGAGATGGCATACCTGCCACTATCAGAGCCATTATCAGACACGTTGGCCAAAAAATCAGATCTCGTAGACATAGACACGGAGTAATCGCGAACAGGATCGTATAGTATATTCAGGTCATGTCTCTTGAAATCTCTCGGTCGATTTACTCCCTGTCATTTTTCACCGCTCTTTTCATATATATACCTACCTAGTAATTAATTATATATTCATATTTTCTATAATTATCAACTGCTTGAAGAGCACAACTGTTATTCACATTTCTAGTCAATTGGAAAGTTAGGTCGTGGCGAGGGTTAGATGGCAATTGTATATGTACCTAGGTCAACACAGCTGTGTTCTACTAGCAAATAATTAGAATTTAACACTAAAATATTTCCTTGACTTCAAGGCTGAAATAGTAATACTAAACTACCTAGATACATTACGATGGCTTTACTTGGTAGACATATTCATAACACAAATGTGCCATGCAGTCGCTTCAACCGCCATTTAGCGCGAGCTAAGCGAGACAAGAGCACCATTGTGCTCTAGCAATGACATCAGTTCGATAACGGTACATTAAACCATATGATCATCACCAATCCATCAAGTAACATGATCATACATAGTTACCTACCTACCTATATATAGATATGGAATAGAGGTGCTTTATAATATTAGCTGGATAGATGAACAAGCTGGATTTGTTCTTGAGCACGGATACGAAGAGTTGTGTAACATCGAAAAGGACAGAGTTGGGGCGGACTTTAATGGCTGTGTTGGACGGCCGTATCTTAAAGACATGGGAAGCATGTAACTTACCTATTACAACTCGTGGAAAACCTACAAGTAGTAGCAAACAGCCTACTCACAACTGTTTCACACCAATGAGCAATATAGGCTCTGATCGGCTACTGCAACATTATTACACAAATTCAGTCATCCGCGCATACCCACATAGCTCAAGTCACAATCAAATGCTACACACTTGAGGTTTGACCTTTTGAATCATTGTAGGCCAGCCCGGAGCCTCTGTAACTGACTCATTATTCCATACAGCGGTTTGTTCTCCGCGCCGCCTCCGTCGGAGCTAGCAGTAGCAGCTTTTTTAGAGCTGTTATCCAAGTCTGCCTTGCCATCGTGGCGGTCATTCTGCTCCACCTCCTTCAGTAATTCCTTGTGTCGATCCTCGACCATTTTAGCCAGACCTTCAATAAATTTTGTCCTTCCTTTCTCCTCTGCTGTCCCATTCCATACCTTTGATAGCTCCTTAAGCTCTTCGATACGGCGTGCGGCCTTCTCTATCCCCTCGACAGGATCAGCATTTCTCGTGAGCAAGGTAGATATATCTTCCTTCAGCTGCTTGAGTACTTGTTGTCCTTTTTCTTCTGTGCTGTGCGCTTCTACTCCTGGCTCCGGTGCCGAGACAGAGAGGAATGATGAGCTGACGGAAAGTTCGGAAGGCGGGAACACGAATTCCATAGCTTCGCCAAACGTTTTGACCACGGTGTCCAATCGTGAGCGTACTAATGTTAGGGTTTGTAGTTGACTTATATATGGCGGGTCCAGACCGGTGCCGTTTTGTGGAATATATTCTAGGTTTGTGGGTGCTGTCGCCTCTGGCGTTCGTCTCTCAGTAGCCGTAACAACCCCATTTGTCTTGGTATCTGTTTGTTCTTGTGTGCCTTTCGGAATGAACCTCGCAATTTCTTCGTGTAAACCATCTGACAATGTCTCCGATAGGCTTAACGTTTCGCCGCGCAGGAGTTCAACCTCGTATGCCAGGCGGCTCCCGCTCCGCAGTATATCATCGGTTAATTGCGTGAGAATAGTAGTCAACCTTGTTGTATGGGCATTCAATTGGGAGAGTTGTGTCTGAGCTTGGCTAGATAGTTCTGCTAAGGGAACCGCACCATCGGTTGTTCGAGTTGAGGATGAAGTCGTCGTAGTTTGGAGTGTTGGAAGCGAAGAATTAAGATACTCGGCCGGATCGAACGATGGGGCGAGGAAGCTTTGGAGGAATGGATCGGTAACATGAGGAGATTTTGGCTGTAGAGGTTGCTTCGACTGTTGTTTTATATGGTGTGGTAGTGATTTAGAAGAGCTCACAGAGCTATTTTGCCGTCGTCTAACGGTAGATTTAGAATCCCAAGACATTATGATTTCGTATTAAAAATAGGTAATGTCGACTTTGATGGATCATGTTGACATGGAGGAAGCTAGGTTTGTTCCATATTACATAATTTGGGTAGTCTAAGAGGTAGGTACCTACCTAAGCTCGTTTGGGTGGTAGTAGCATCGGGATCACCCCGCCTGGTAAGACTAGCCCGACAACCCCTCTACATAGTAGGTTAGTGGGTTAGGTGCGCAAGATACGACAGGGTATTATACCTAAGGTGGATTTGGAGAAGATCTAGTGTAAGTCAGAGGCTAGCTTATTACAACAGCCGCATCTTATCAATCAATCTTCTTAAATCTTAACAACGTCAATTTGTATATAGCTAGGTACCTAAGGTAGCTATACCTGATACCTACCCAAGTCTTAACAGCATACACATCTATCTAAGGTCAGGTACATAAGTATACCTAAACTATAGGTCACTTATCATATTTTAAAACGGCACGTTTGCTGTTTGGGAGGACTAAGGTCTGCGATAAGGAGATAGGCGGCTGACTTTGCTGCAGCCTGGATCCGATCAGGCCTACGTACCTACTAAGGTTAGGCAGTCAGATACATCCAACACCTTTTGGTTGAGCACTGAAGGCACTTAAATGTCTACCTCACTTAGGTACCTTATGCACATTATAGTAAGGCTGAGTCATATATCGTTGGGATATATACCTAGGTAGGGTACCTGCATGAAGCTACCCGTAGCCTTACAACCCGGATAATAGATACAAGTATGTATGCTGTCATGTTAACAAGCAGGGATATATAACTTACCATATTCATTTCCTCGGTTTGTCTAACTGGTTATCAAACTACTGCAATTCCTCAGCCAGAGTCATGTTATATATATATAATATATATCACCGTAGTGGCTTCACTTTAGTATATCCCCTCGAACCGTACCTGCCTACATAAGTATCGTTTACTACCTACTTGTAGGCAAGCACCATATTCACGGCCCTAAACTAAATATTCTAGAGGTTCGCTCATTCCCATTCTATTAATATAAGGTTATCGTGCTTTATCATACATACTTACCTGCCTAGGGGAACGTAGATACCTTAGGGGGCGTGAATTTCTACCTGTGTTTTACACATTCATACATCCACACATTAACATCATCCTTTTACTCCAAAATCACCACCCTCATCCAGCATCATCATCCAACGTTTCCGTAGATACGACCGATCAATACGTATTCATGGAAAGCATTCTCTAGCATTCTACCGTCGCTAAGGTGATTTATGTTAGTCTCTTTGGTACACGGCCATCACAAGGTCACGGTGCAACAAACAGATTTCGGATACGCGCAATTCTCTTCTCTTCCCCTTCTATGGCAATAGTAGACCTACCATCAAAAAGGAAGATATTATTTTTCACTTTGTTGAACGAATCGTTTATAGATTCGTGCAGTCTATTAGTTCACCGTTGTTTTCGCATCTTCGACTTATTACAAACTCTAGTCCTATGCAATCCAGGTAAGTTACCTTCCTTCCCTTGAGGCACTATTAGGTGATAGAGTGTGGATGGTCGTCATTACCCGATACGTTATCAGACAATAGACCTATTGTTTTTGGTATATTTCTAAAGTAATCTTTAGAATTTTCTGTCTGTCTAATATCGCCTTGGATCATATTGGTCCTTGTTGTTATTTCTTTCTAGGTATATTTATGCAGTATGTGCCAGAGTTGATACATGTTACTAACTAAAACTTCCCGCAAACCATAGGGCCATCCTATAACCACTAGAGAGTCGTTTAGCTGAACAGTCGTGAAAAAGGCATCATGTCTCCGCCAAAAGCACGGCTGAAGTTCCAAGCCGACTTGAAGTTAGCAGCCGAAAAGAGCTATGACCATATATCAACCATCAAGAAGGGGGATGCCGAAGATGAATTCACGTTCGTGTTTAGCCATCCTAACCTGCCTAGACCCTCTCGATTTGAGATCCGTGTCCAACCTCAAGGTTAGTTCTCCTATCCTATTCTTCATGCCAGTACCATTAGCATCAACCCCTTTATGGCTCTAATTTATCTACGTTCCGATCCATTAATAATGTGATTAGATGTGCGAGGCTATCCGGACCAGAACATTTTCCTCGTCTACACTAACGATGATATACCTCCAGCAGTTGCCCATGTTCTAGAGGAATCCATATCTGAGGCAGCGGGCCTGAAAGTCCAGGACATGCTTAACAACATCTCTCGAAGACTTCGGGCTGCCTTAGAGAATAATGGCTCTGAGGAAGAAGATGGTAATATCGACATGATGGATGATACAGGATTATCAGGCAGCAGCGAGGAAGATATGTTCTCTGAATATGGTGACGATCTTGACGATGAGCTGTTTAGTTATGAAATAAGGGACGAGTCCGACACAAGCCTTCCAGTTAAACCTAGCGAGCCACTAGCACCGTCGCTACTGCAACGAATCCGCAGAGATCTTCAGTCTGTGCTCAAGGCGGGATTTCACGTGGGGAGGATTTGTGGATTTGAGGACGGCGTATCTGAGAGCGTGGTATCAATATCAATTCGGGTGACCAAATTGCATCTTTCTAAAGAGATATACGAAGCATGGGGTCTTAGCTCTTCAGACTTCATCGTCCTACTCATCAAATTCGACCAATATTACACTACTATCGAAGACGTACTTCAGGGCCAGGCCGAATATGCCAGGGCAGATTTTCGTCTAAGAAAGTGTTCTAAAAAGAAACCTTCATGTCTACAAGCCCTAGCTGCTTTCGGAACTAAGGCGACTACGAATCATGAATCACACGACCCAGAACTATTTACGTTTTGGGTTAGTAAGTCGATCGATAAGCTCATGAACGAAGACTTCGTGTCAATGTTGAAGCTGAGGAAAGAACGTGGAGTTTCCTGGGATACGGCCAAGGAAATGAAACGAGCATATGAAATTAACTCAGGGTTGCTGTCATCCTTCGAAGACGTGGAGCCCGCAGAATACGAAGAAGAATCCATTGACAAGGCTCAGTTGCCTCCTATGCTCGCCAATGATCACATACTAAGCGACGGGGAGGTCTCTTTACCACTGGTTGCCATGCAGTTTGCTTTGCGCTACCTAGTTAGATGCACGGACTACTGTACAGTCTGCCATCGCAGAATGAAAGGGAGCTTTGAGGCTCTGAGGCCGTACGTCTGCAGTGATCCCCTCTGTCTCTACCAGTACATGAACTTAGGCTTCGGCCCGGACATAGATTATGAGATCATAAGCCAACCTAACGTTGTCGACCTCTTGGTTAGCTTCTGCTATGCCGGTCTGTCTGCTTCATTGACGGCAGGGAAATGTATCATGCGAGAATTTCCCACGGGGTTAAACTTACAAGTGCCGAAGATACTAGGACACTACGCATCTTCGAATTCTAGTCAAGATATTCTCGCGCGTGAACAACAAATGTCTGGAAATTCGGCACCCCGTGTTGTACCTGTAGAGGGGGGGAAACTTATAGACCCTTTGGACGTGACGTTTAATTTAGCCGACTCTACCGCTACAATAATCAGCAAGTTAGATGATGTTGCTATAAAAGAAGGCCAATGGGTGGTTATCTCGACCGACATCCCAAACAGTCCCAACAGGCCGACAGGTCCAATCACTATGTTACACCATGCCCGTATCATATCCAAGTATAAGGCTTCGCTACAGCTCGACGTTATGGTACGACATATGTTACCCCAAAACGGGAATGATGCCTCCAGATCGTTAGGGTTCGACCCCGTTGATGATCAGACCATCCGCTCCTGCGTAGGGGATATCATACCAGGTCATCTCATATTCTGTAATGCAGATTTAGACGACATCCCCAGCCTGCACGACAAGGCTTTCTCCATGCTAATTATACTTGCTACCTTCCCTTCGGTTGCAGATATGAAGCAGCATTTGATGACCAAGCAACAGTTGCTCAAGTGGAAGAGAATGCCACGGGCAGCCGTGGATCTACTAAGATGGATTATGGCTTCAAATAGGTCATATATCGTACAAGTGGACGATGAATCTCCTACGGATACTGAGGCTGTTCCACCCCCCGAGAAGATTTATGGCGTTGATGGTTGGATCCAATTCCGATTCGCTCAAGGGTCTTTAGAGAAGGAAAGCCGCTTCAACGAGGTTCTGAAGAGCATTGATAAACCTCAAAAGACCCTTGTTGCTTGGCACGGGAGCATGCTTGGGAATTGGCATAGTATTATTCGCCAGGGTCTGAACTATAACGTCACCGTAAATGGTCGAAGTTTTGGGAACGGTATCTATTTTGCCAGGGAGTTTGAAACCAGCCGTTTTTATTCTGCAGATGTGAACGGTGGAGCCGTAAGTGTAATTTCCTCTACCTTCACGTCATAAAACTACTATTCTGACTATCCCATAGCCGTGTATATGGCCCAACTCCTCACTAGGGGTTCAGTCCGTTATCAGCTTAAACGAGCTCGTCAATCTGCCCGATAAGTTTGTAAACAGCAATCCTTACTTTGTGGTCCAGCATTGCCATTGGACTCAGTGCAGGTATCTTTTCGTTAATCCTACACTAGCGGTCGACCCTCGACATTCACATATCATCGACAAGGCGCCTACTGGGGTGCCAGAATTCGTACAAGACCCAGCATGGCGCCTTGCGGGTCCTAATAATAACAGACTATTTATTCCGAGATGTGCTATCCCTTCAGCGCGGTACGGATGCAACACTTCAACGATATCACAGGTAGATGGTATAAGGGGGGCAGAGAACCCCGAGATATTCAGTAGCGACGAAGATGAAGAGGATATCTCGTTCCTCTCTCAAAAGGAAGGGGTCTCTCATATGGACCAGATATATAAAACTGATTTTCGCCCTGGGATGCTTGACTTCTCTACCCTTCCACAACTAGCTCCTCCATCATACGCAACCAAGGCTGCTCAAAGGACTCTCGGGCAGGAGATTAAGAAGCTACAGAAGGTACAATCCACAACACCTCTTCATGAGTTAGGCTGGTATATCGACTTCGAAAAGATCAACAATATGTTTCAATGGATCGTGGAGCTGCACTCCTTCGACCCTGATCTCCCGTTGGCGCGGGACATGAAGGTGGCTGGCGTGACTAGCATCGTCCTTGAGATCATCTTTCTCCGCGAATTCCCCATGTCTCCGCCATTTGTTCGCGTGGTTCGCCCCCGTTTTCTTCCATTCGCTAGCGGTGGAGGTGGTCATGTCACGGCGGGCGGAGCTATGTGTATGGAGCTTCTAACAAACACGGGCTGGTCACCAGCAAACAGCTTGGAAAGTGTTCTCTTACAAGTACGCCTAGCTATCTGCAATACGGAACCTAATCCAGCACGCCTGGACAGCACAAGCCTGCGCCGGATGGACTACGGTATCTCCGAAGCGTTGGACGCATACGTTCGAGCCGCAATTGCACACGGATGGGATGTACCTAAAGACCTGCGAGAAGCGTCTGCTTCTGGATTTGCCTAATGGATATATTTTGGTCCAAGTATAAGAGAATAAACGGAATACTTCAAGGCACTATGTTAACTGGAGTCAAGATTGACTCGCATGGCGTACCGTAAGTCAGATATCCCATGTTTCACTTTAAGTGTTGATTAACTAACCTATCTTAGGCACTGGTCCTACTTCAGGATAATTTGCTTCGTACATCGCATACCAAATGTGAGAACTTAGCCGACTTTTGATCAACGACGTAAACAACCAATTCCATATGGCTTATAGCTTAGCATTTACTCACGTGGTAGCTAAGCTGTCTACTTACTAGTACTTAGCCACACTGGAAACCGAATTCACGATTGCACTTCGTTGTATTTAAGGGGCAGTCGCCTAGATAGTCCATAGTGACCATAATAAACACTAATGATTTGTGAATCAATGACGACCTTACTTATGGCATGAGGGGATGAATCTCGAAAGGTAGTTTGTTATTTGGACAGCCGAGGGATCCGCCCTTTGCAAATATGTTGTATCCCTTTAATTTTCCCACCAACCTCTCTATCCCCTATCACGCGTGCACTATAAATATAAAGCCCGCAATAAGCTGCCCGTAGAAGATCATGTCTAAAATTTTGCCATTATCATATCACAAACTCACAAGTCTCGTCACCATGTCGAAGTCACTCCTAAATCCCACGGTTATGGCCAGGTTCGGCGATGATGAGGACTATCTTCACGAACTCATACAGCATAATCACATGCTACGGCGCGCGATAGTTTTAATCTTGACGGTGCTCTCGCTAGCCGCCTTTCTTGCGATACACCGGTCGAAGGTTAGTATATACGATAGGTACCTACTTACTATCGGATCGAAAAGAGGCTAAGCAAAAGTAGTTACTCGAGTATAAGTGCCAATACGTCGGCTTGCCCTATAATAGCTTTGCGGGTTTGGAACAGCCGAATAAAGACCACTTTATCGTAATATCAGCTTCAACGAATATGTCTCGTGCCGCTAAGGACAGGTGGCTGGGTACTTAGGCTTGAAGTTTGTTGAGTTTCTGGAACGGTCGCGCTAGGACTGAAACTTTTGGTGGCTTGGGCTTGGTTGTGTAGGTTGGATATAAGACAAGTGCCTAAGGTACCTAGGTAGCTTAGAGAGCTATACCTACAATGCGTCTTGAAGGAGAGCGTTAATAACCGGTGGCTTAAGCTGACGTCCGGGGAGGCAGAGGCAGATAAAACGGGCAATATCTTGGTTGAAACGACTATGATATGGTTGAGAATGGTCGTTGATAGCTTGAACTGGAGGTGTTTGCATCCAACATTTGCTTCAATATCCGCGGCTGGAATTGCATTATGCACGTACCCGTTATACCGGTACATAATTCACCGTCTGCCTAAGTACCTAATGGTAACTTGGCCTGCATCTGCAAATCGAATAATATATCAATATATCGCTTTCTTAATTCTTGATTCCGTACCAAAATTACCCAAGGTAAATATTCAATGTTTCCTTCAAGTACGAAGTTGCTTCTCGCTTCTTAAAGGTTTTGAGATTATCCTAGTTCGGCAAGTGGGACTGCCTAGATCTGCAAGGTCCGTCACCTGTTCTCATACAGCATATCAGCACCCGTGGTACGTATCTCCGTACCTGCCGATTCCGCTGGTTAGTGGTTAGACAGTTAGAACAGGGTCACACAGCGGGCGTGTAAGTGAAATCGGCTCGCGACTATCTAATCGATCAATTCTGCTGTCGACCTGCCTGACCTTTTCCCTCGCACCCATTAAACAATTGACAAGACACACAATACCTCCATACCGCAGTTAGGTGTAAATCACTCCTGCCCAACATTCTCAACGTAAAACCTCGTTTCTACCTTCCAATCTTACTCTTTTTAACTTTCCCTATGTTGACAAAAAAACTCAAAGCAAAACTTAACCTTCAAGCGTTTTACCATTTTACCACGTTCGCAGTTTAAATTGCACCTCTTTCCATACCATATTCAATCGGCTGTACATGACTTTCTACTCCTCATACCTTACACTTTCAAGCAGCCGAAGTCCCTACTTTACGAGCTCATCTATCTTTCAACCTTTAAAATCGACTATTACGGGCTTCTTACCCTGATCAGTTCAGAATGGCCGCAACCGAATCTGCCCAGTCGTCAGCTTTGGCGGCCACTTCCAACAAAACCGCCCGAATGTCTCCTCTGCCCCAGTCTAAACGCGATAAGAGGCGACAGGTCGTAAATGACCGTCTAGCTGTTTTGGCCGACAAGTTCAGCCGGGACAAAGATAAACACTACCGAGACGAACTTCATAAGATCCAAATCGATGTTAACCTCGTCGGCCGAGTCGATCCCTATGCCGACCGGCCTCTCGATGCAATTGATCGCGAGTACCGAGAAATACAGAATGCAACCAATGCGCAACAGGCTACCAATGCTAGTAATAATGGTAGCCCTAAGCGAAGTCTGCTCGAAATGGCAGGCCCTACATTCTCTGAATGGGTTCATCAGATAGAAGACCTCGTCGAACATCGCGACTACGAGATGACTAGCCACAAGGTATGTCCTCTCTAATTTCATGATTCATGTGGTTGGAAGCTTACATTTGTCAGATTGAATACGAGAGGAAGCTTCGTGAACACCATAAGACACACGCCTACAAAGTCGAACTAGCCAGGCGTGAACATAAGATTCTTTCAAACACGCTTAGAGATCGTCTCATTAATGGTATTACGTCCAAAAAGTACCGACTGGGCAAAGAAAAGGAAGCCCTAGATATCGCCGATGGTTCTGCTCTTCTTCTACACCCGAACCAATACAGCCTCACCAACCCCGCAAGTCCTGGAGGAACGCATGGGAAGCGAAATACCCGACTACGAAGAGAGATGGAGGAGCTTCCAGGCTACTCGGATAACAAGAAGAGGAAGCGAAATGCTGCCGATGAGGAGGGCTCGCCAGCTCCCAAGAGAGGAGCTCTTGATAGTTCCAATACTACGCCTTTTTGGTCGAGCGAAAGAATCAGAGGTCTACGTAAGGAGACGGGACCAGTCTACAGCATTGAAAAGCTTTTCACCGATAAAGAACTAGCCATGACCTATAATACTGCCGCCCTAGCAGCCCACAAGCATCTCTTAATACGCCGAGACACAAACGGCAATATTATCACCCCCGACGAGAGTGTCGCAGACGGTAATGACGATGAAGATGAACCTTCTGCAGTAAATATGGAGCGACAGCCCTCACATACTACGCGAAGTACTCGAGGTGGACATGGTCAACAGAATTTCTACGATGACCAAGTCCTGGGAATAGAAGGCTTGGCCAATTTCGAGATACCGGGAAATCTCGATAAGGTCGCCGGTTCGGAGCCTAAGCTTCCCCCTCTTACTCATTCGCAATACTCGAAGGCTTATAGAAGGGACGAGTCGAATACCCCCCCGACCTTGAACGAAAGCGAGCGAGATAGGGATCTCGCAGTGATGAAATTGTTGAAGACATACCAGAACAAACACGGTGTTGGCGCCAACCTTGATGTTAATAACGGTGGCCGGAGACTACTCGAGTCTATGGCCGCGCCGCTGCATAAGAGCAAATATGTAGCTTACATGCAGGGCCCAAGGCCTTCCACAGACGCACTATCAGAATCCCTGGGTATCCAGGATAGTGACATGAGAGGCGAAGCCGCAGGTGTCGAACCAGAAAACAGCGGAAGCTCTAAGGACTCCCCAGCTGTGGGGAAGGATTCTGCGTCGGGAATTCCGATGAGCAGACAAAGTAGTCTGGGAGGTGTTGTGATGAGCCGATCAGGAAGTGCACGGGGCAAGCGAAAGGCCTAATTGCGGATTTTTGTTTTGTTTTTGATTCTTCTTCAGTTTTATCATAGGGCAGGGAGATCATACGCCCCAGCGTTGTTATGTGTGGGTGTCCGTGACGTTTACGATTTGGTTTTTTTTTTTTTTGGTCTCAGGACGCATAAAGCCTGGAGTCATATGGAGGAAGCAACACGCATGCACAGTGAGACTTGGTCGATTAGGCATATCCCGGGTCGTGATAGGAATTGGCACCATCCATGAATAGGCGCTCGGGAACATTAGATTTAGAATTTTTACATATAGCGATCCCGTCATAAAAAAAGCAATGCTGAACGATACCATTATTAAAATGTCCTAACTAGGTACCTAAGGGAACCATAAACTCGTATAATATTGATTTTAAATGTCACATCTTTAAGGCCCGAATACTAGTGCCCGTACCTCGATACTCTCCCTCCCTTCTGCATCCGGCCTCGTCCTGGGGTCTTCGAAAGCAGTATGAGGTAATCGTCCACCAGCTACACCAGAATTCTCCTTGGTACCTTCACTGTCGAAGCACTCGAGTAGCAGACGCTCATCACCGGTCATGCCGCTGAGGTAGTGCCACATCTGGTTGGGGTTGTACGCAATAGCAGCTGTCTGACCGACATACCCGGAAGGGTACCGGTGCTCCACGGGAATAACGTCTTCATCGTTCAAGGAGGAGCTCGACGCGAAGGCCAGGGGCGTCGCCTCGACGGGGTTCTTGTTCAGCGGACGCCATACATTGACGATGCGGTATCGCCCCTTTAATAGCTTCTCCGCGTCATCTCCCAAGTGTCGCCGCACACGCTTCTCAGCTGAGTAGGGCGTCTGGTCGATGTGTGCCGTAAGCACGGGACGACGCGGTGCGTCCGGGTCAGCCCGTCGGACGGTGTGGTCGAAGATGAAGACCCGGTTGCTGCCCGGGATGTTGTCGAGCAGTAGCTTCTCAACCTCGGGGTAGTAGTTGGCGGCGATGGAAGCATCGTCCGTGAATCCGGAGCCGGACCCGGTCTCCTCGGCTGACGGCGGCAACCCCTGCACGATCTGGAAGGCGTCCCGGTCTAGCGTGTACTCGGACTCCCGGCCCCGGACGTCGATGATGGTGACGTCGTGCGCGTCGACGGTGAGGTTGCGCTGGGGCTCGCCCGCTGGTGGCTTGTCTACGTAGTTGACGGCTACGACGCCGGGGGCTGGCCGGTTGTTGAAGTTGATCTTGGCGGTTACGGGGCCGCGGGGCACGGTAGAGGCTGTGATGGCCATTTTTGGTGTTAAGTGCTCGGTGCTAGGTATAGAGATGTATGAAAGGCGGCTGCGCCAGATAAACTTCAGGGGACTAGGCTGGACAATAAAGAGAAAGGTTGATATGAGATGAGATGAGATGAGATGGTATGATTGATAACTGTCTACTCTTGACTTCGACTTCGACGCCGGGTATGACTTATATAGACATCAGGAGCCTACATAGCTGTCTGAAACGTCTCTATGCGCATTTCAAATCAATCGAACGACGGAGAGAACCATCGAATCACGTCATTGGTTTGGGGAAGGGAACCCGATTAGTAGTATAGTGTCAGGCAGGGGGAGATGACTCGGAATGATTGGATTCCTTCTGCATACTTTCTCTGTAATCAACGGATAGGATTCAAAGAGATTCCCCGATACTTAAACGGTCATATGCCATGTGCAGGGCGTTAAGGTATATATGTACGTTTATGGTATAACTTCGCCTCCAATCGTTAAGGCGAGCAGTTCCTTAAGCGGTTATATCTGCCGCTCAAGTTGCAAGGTTATAGCTTTGACATGCCGAGCACGCCATCGCCCCTCGAAGTTTACTTTTATAGCCGGAGTTTTCCCAATATTCCTCAGCGTTTTGCCGATGTTTGAGCGTGTGTACCTGAGGTACCTACTGTGTAATGCATGCGAGGCATACACGCACAACATGTACATATTGATATGTACCTAAGGTTTAACGTCGTGAACGATGACGTTAGGATTTGCAGTAGTTCGAACTGAAATCTAATAACGGTATTGATTAGAAATAGTTGCTTAGCTAAGAACGTCTTTTCGGGATTTAGTTTACTGACGTCGACCCCATATTGATTTGTGGATCTCGTGCCGAGGGCTAAGCCGAAGCGGCTGTCTTTGAAATCGCCCCACTACATAGTACGTACACGTGTCAGTGCGCTACTGTTCCTGTCAGCCTTGTAAACCTGCCCTTTTACACCCTTTTACGCCCTTACGAGGCCTATCAGATCGCGCTAAAGTAAAGTAATTCAAAGTAAACAAATTGCTCCTTTTGGGTTTTCGGTGGCGGTTAGGTACCTAACCTAGCTTCCGGCGCGTATTCTGCCTTATCCTTGCATTGAATCTTTCACAACTAGGTTCATTCAATACCCAACAACTCCAATATACCAATTGCATCATTAGTTTCAATTGTCTTCTCTTCCAGACTGCCAGATCCAGACCTATGTTCATTAACTGCCTAACCTAGTATCTATCACCATCGCTGGTTGCTATCATGGATATGGATGAATCATTATCATCCCCTGACCCGCTGGGCGACGAGCCTCCAAGTTCGGCCTTTCCACATGCGCGACATACTGATCATACTTTCACACACCACGACCTCTCTGCTATTTCGATTCCGAAGAGCCAAATAAGGAGGTCCTCACCGGCGAGGCAATCTCCTAGGAGGAGAACATTTGAACTCGACGTCGGCAACGAGCACGCACCGCAAAGGTTACTCGTCACAGTCGAGGCCGAAGAGGCCATGAAGCGGGGTATCAACCGAAGACTCTTTCAATCATCTTCACCGATACGAGCTCCCCGCCGTAGAGAAGCCATCATGACTACTACGATACCACTTAACGATGAGATAGAGAACGAAGCTACTCCGCGACGACGAGGCCGGCCGCGGCGGACAAGCAATGGCACTCCTATGCCGAGGGGGAAGAAGAGGGCTGCAACACCTATGAAAGAGACTCGGCGCACGCGACAGAAGAGCGATTTGGAATCCGAAGCCAGTCTAGCGGATGCGACACCGACCGGACCACAAGTAGACTCGGTCGCGTCGAAAGCAAAGGCGAAGGTACGAAAGACTCCTAAGAGCATATCCACGACCCAGGTTATTCCGTCGTCGCAACTCTCCAACAATACGACCAAGAGGAAACGTGGGCGCCCGCGAAAATCTGTGATGCCAGAGGAGGTCGCTATATTAGCAGATGCAGGCGATGTACCAGGCAATAGTGTAGCCAACAAGAATGCCGCTCAGTCTGTCTTCGATAATTCGGAAAACCTACCGCCGTCAGCTCTGAGCCCAGTTCTTGATTTGCCCGATAAAGAGGAAGGTCGGCAAGTGACGACCAGCGATAATCTTATCGATGATATTATAGAGGCGAGTGGAAGGACACCGACGCCGAGAAATGTCTCAAACTTATATGAGAAGTCGCGCGCGGGGCAAGATCTAGGATCAGAGGCGGTGTCATATCAAGAAGAAGAAGAAGAGCTGCACGATAGTGATGTTGGTATGTCTGAGGACTACCCGGCATTGATGGAGGCCCATAGCGACGTGGAGTCGGATCTGGATAATACCGAAGGGATACCTCACAGCGGACAGGACACGCTCGCACATGCCTCCGACTTCAGTATGATTGCTGTGGAATCACTCCCTTCGTTCCATGCGAACAGAAGCGCCCTCCTCTCAGATCCTCCGGAGATGGGCGAAGAAACGAATATGATAATAAACCAAACGCTAGAGTCATGGCGAAACAGTACCCGAACGGAAGCAGAACAATCATTAGCACGATCAACTCAGAGCAACTTACCAGCGGAGGATGATCATTCTGGCGTACCGGATCGCTCGTGGGCGGAGGGTGGTGATCGCAGTCCAAAGGAACGAACGAGGAGCCCGAGAAGACAAAGGCAACTACCCTTGAGTCGACAAGTATTTGCAGGAAAAGCACCTCATGTAGACGATTCCTTCTCGAGTCTTCCGGATAGTATCCTCAAAGCAGCAACCCCGGGGCGTCTGCCTATGAAACCGACCTCTGTAGTAGAACAACATGGCGATACCACTGCATATGAGGATGAATTTTCCGAGATTTCAGACGCTATTCTCGAGGCTGCTACTCCGAAGCCAGCAACTCGAGTTGGAAGATCTACGGACGAGGGCCATACGGAAGCATCGATCGTTGATGGACAAGTCAACTCTGTCAATAGACAGACAGGACCTAGCTTTCGATCGAGCAGACTACCGACTCCCGATGATACGTCGTCTTCTAATGCTGGTTCTAAGAAGGCCCGGGAAGATGAAGCTGGCCCATCTACAAGAGAACAAGACGTTGCTGGTCCCAGTTCTAATTCAGGTTTTCAATCTTCACCTCCTATTATGAACCGGCCACGCGCAATGGATTTTGGGCCATCTCGGTTAGACCAAGAGATCAACAACACACCAGAATTACAGCATTCTTCTCCCCAACTACCTCCTTCCGCAAAAGCAGCCACGGAGCCTCCTCAAACTTTAGAACCGCCTCCTAATAGTAGACCATCGCTCTCGCCGATCGTACGCGTTGGACGAACCCTCCAAGATGTGATGTCAGACAGACCATCTCCTGAACGTCGCGAAAGTAGTCTCGGAAGCCCATTTAGAGGATCGGCTACGAATGACCCTTCGCAACCCTTTCCTTCGGATCAATCCGGCCAGCTATCTATACCTAAATCGCCATCTCGATCTGGCCGTGGCGTCTCTACCCAACTCAACCCTCGATCTTTATCTGGTCCTAGTGCTGCTCTCTCCCAAATCAGAAGGGCCAGCCTTTCTCATAGCCAATCATCAGCACAAGGTGACATTATTAGTAATGTCTCGGATCGGTTCGGTTCAGCTATGCGCAATAGGTCACAAACCGAAACATCGAGAAACATTATGTATAACACTAATGACCAAGCACCGGAACAAACTCGTTCGCTCGATCAGTCGATGTCTAATTCAGCTAGAGAAATACCGTCGAGTGATAATGGGATAAGCTGGGTCCCAGATGACGATAACCATCAGCAAAACGTGAATCAGGGCTCAGGTTCCCAGCCAATACGTCCTCAAAGTCCAAGCGTTTTCGCCACTTACGACTCAAATGTAAGTCGCGCACCAGCTGAGGCCACGAATCCTGAGGCGGAGGAGCAGCAGGAACAAGAATTGGAGGAGCAAGGAGATAGTGCGCTAGTAGACTACGAAGCGGAGGAAAGCGACATCTGGGACATTGAGGCATCAAGGCCAACACCTAGGAGACCGGAGCGCACGCAACGTACGTCACGGCATCCCGATCAATCCACACGACGGACAAAGGTTCCAAGCCCCTGGAAAAAAACCAGCAGGCGCCTCATTTACCGCGAAGAGATTGCAAGCTCTTCTCAAATAGAAATTGAGGAGAATCAGCAGAGCGAGGCAGAAGATGCGCCGCTGATGCGTCAAAGGCCGAGGGCTTCGGATGCTCACTCTATACTACAGGGGTGGAATTCTGAGGCTACTCGCATTATTGAGAGCTCGTCTCCTGAAGCGGAACAACAAATTCTAAGCCCTCAGCAGGAGATCCAGGAGCAGCTAGAAGCCCAAGAGCAGCCAGAGTCTCGGGAACATTCAGAAGCCCGGGAACTGTCGGCAGAGTCAGAAGAGCAAGAAGAGCCAGCAGCGCGTGAAGAACCAAGAAAACCCGTAGGGCCCGCGGAAACTGCGGAAACTGCGGAAGCCGTGGAGTCTGCAGAAGCGTCCGAGTATTCAATGCTAGCACAGCGGGCAGAGGCTGCCCCGGCTACTCAACAGAAGCCTAAATCTAGACTATTCGGTGGCTTTGATATCATGTCTTTCTTCTCATCACCGGCCGCATTACCTAAGAAGACTCCGGAATCTGGGCCAGCAAATACAACCGGTATAATCGAAAAGGTCGCCCAGCCTGTATTCCAAAAGCCACTACCTAAAGAAACGACGAGCCAGCCCCCTAAGGAACCGCAGAGGTCTCTTTGGTCTACAGGATTATTTTCCTCAATTCCGCAAAAGGAATTTCAACCGAGCCCAGAACCACGAACAAGCATGTTCTCACCGGCGGCTCCTTCACAATCTAACGAGACAAGGCAAAAATCTTATGTAGAAAACTCGCCCTCGCCCTCGCCCTCGCCTGCTCCATCGCTTTCTCCCGAACCTGATTCTCCCGAGCCTCCTCCGCAGTCATACCAACAATCACCTGGACAGACACCTGAACCGTTACCCAGACCGTCACCTGAGCAGTCCCCTGAAGAGTCCCTTGAAAAACAATCACCCGAACGGTCGTCTTCACCCTCTCCTCGCCCCTCAACGCCTGAACGTCAGGCCTATCCGCCAACCGCGCAGAAAAGAAACTTCACGCCGCGACCAGGTCAGTCTGGCTTGTCTCTATTTAGAAGCGAACCGGCTCCCACCAGAAGTGAGGCAGATGAGGACCTCCTTTTACTACCGAGTGATGACCAAGATGATCAAGATGAGGAGGACGAGGGGGACGGGCGGAACGAGCAGGATGAGCAGGAAGCGGATGAGGAAGAGGACGAGGACGGATACGATGAACAGCACGAGCAACAAGATTCATCGCTCTTGACAGACGGGACGGACTATGAGCGCTTCCCACCAAGAGACGTCCCATCCCGGTGGGATAGGACGCTTTCGCCGTCCAAGTCGTGCTTCCGTTCCCCCATGAAACCTACTACTCCGGGCCGGGTCGTGGCTTTTATGCCTAGTGCGCTTTCTTCCACCTCCCAGGCTCAAACTAGTGTCGCGAATCATCAAAATGGCACCAGGAGTAACATAGTCTCCCAAGGGACCGTTCTCCGACCCATCCCCGAAAATACACAGGATGACTCAACGGATTATTCGTCCTCCTCAAGCCGTAGCACTGACGCTACATCTCCTACCACTACCAGTCCTCCCACAAAGATGCTACCGCAAAACGGCAAGGGCAAATCCACCGCGCAATCCTCGTCTCGCCGACCTACCGCCTTCGCTCTATCGAAAACAGAATGGACCCGCCACCACTGGGTACGTCTAGACGAGCTCCTCCAACTACGACGCTACGACCCCCTCGCTTTCCAGCAGCAGCAGCAGCAGCAACAGCAGCAGCAGAAGCAACAGTCATGGGTGCAGAGTTGGTGGCGTCGCCAACCCCCCGCCCCCAACGCCTCGGCTCTCATAGGGAAGGAAGTCTCGGCTCAGGGCGAGAGCATAATCCTAGAGCAGTGGCATATCGAGGTCGTAGAGGCGTTCGCTCGCGAAGTCGGCGGGTGGAGCGAGAGTGCTCTTGCGAAGAGGATCTTTGCGCTGATTGTAGGCGAGGAGAGGAGGAGAACCGGAAGGGCCGGAAGGGTGGATAAGGGGAAGGGGAAGGCTGTTGCTTAAGACTCCAGCTTCGGTTTCGTTGTTTGAAAAAAAAAGCGCCTATATACGTCTAGGAGGGGGGAGAAAAAGTAGTGACGAGTTGTTTGATAAGGGTATTGGAAAGCAAAGAGCTAACGTACCTACTCTATCATATACCCTAGGCTAAGGATAGAGAGCAGAGCAAAAGGGGGGGTGTACGTGATGATTACCTGGATACATAGCGGTTTTTTTGGTCGATTAGCATTTGGTCCGGTCTGGTTACTTTATCACAGGGAGCGAGCACGATAGGTCGCATCGCATCGCATCATATTACATCACATCACGTTGGAGGAGTTACTTCTTATACCGTCGGTTCGTTTTTGTACATACATAGCATAACCACGCACACAGGGCCTTGGATGTATGCGCGTATAACCGGCGTTTTAGGCCCAGGCAGGCAAACAAGCGGGTGGTCGGGCAAGGATACATGCCATGCCATATCTTATACTTGCATTCGAGAGGCGTTTGGATGCGGAAAAGGAGGATTGGCAAATGTATAGGCAGTGAGATTGTTTGGGTGCTCGATATTAATTAGATACCCTTCTATTCGTCCTAATTTTGATTACATCTCGTGATTGGATATCTACCTTACGTGTGTGTCTACATACCCGCCCGGTAGATACGCTTATAGAACGGCAAGGTTGACTAATGTTACCTACCTAAGGTTAGGTAGATATCTTTGGAGATACTAGCAGCATCCAGGAACGAAGAAAATAAGACAGGCCATAGGACAGACAATAGGCATACACTTGGATTGACACAAGTTCATGTTGATATATGTACGAGTGCCAGAGAAGCCGCGACGCCGTCTTCATCGACGCCGGGGCCTTGGCCTGATACTTTCTCTACCTAGTAATATTACACCGGCCGAGCATTCATTCACCTCCTTCGGCGTCAGATGCACGAAGGAGCTTTTCTTGTTTACCTAGTTCACCTCTGTAAACCCTAACCTTCTCCCCTCGCAGCTCTACTCCAGCATCGAAGCCTGGTTCGTGTACAGGACATCCACGACGTTGCTCAGCTTTTCGATGGTCTGGAGAGCCGCATCGTAAGACTCGTCACGCTGCGTCTCGTCGAAGATGATCAAGCACCCGGCGCCTTGGTCAAGCACGCCGATGATCACCTTGTCGAGGATCATCTGGGAGAGCTTGCGCTCGACCTGCTGGGTGTCGAGGCCGACCATCTTGGCGATGTGGGCGATCTCGACGCGGCTAAAAGGCTCGATGACCTTGATCAGGTTCTGCTCGAGCATAGCGTCGTAGAGGCGGCGCAGGTGGTTGCGGATGAAGGCGTCGCTGCCGAGCTCGTAGCGGTACGAGGACAAGGCACGCTCGTACTCTTCTAGAGATCGGTTCGAGTGCGCGCGCGCGATAGCCTTCATGGCCTCGAGGTTCTGACCCGCGTACTTCTGCGCCTGCTTGGACGCCATCAGGTTGTTGACGTCGTCGACGAGGTTAAGCATAATCTTGCAGAGCAGCATGTACTGCAGCGCGGCGGTGGCCTTGGCTGGCTCGTCCTGCGTGTGATAGCCGTCAAGTGCCTCGATGAAGTAGGAGAAGGCTGTGTTGAAGTCCTGGTCCATGGTGTGCAGCATACCCGACTGCATGTCCAGGTTCGCTTGGAGTAAGGGAGGCGTGTAAACCGAGGCGGCGCTCGTCCTCGCGCTGGTGAGAGCGGCACGGGCCTTAGAGTTGTTTCCGAGGGCATGGTATACTCTAGATTCCAATAGTTGAACCTCTACCAATACTAACTTGTCGTCCAGACGCTTCAGCTCCCGCAAGAGACCGTTGATAAGGGTAAGGGCATCGTAGTATGATTGCTTAGCCATATACAGGGTAACGAGTCTGGTCTCGAGGTTCTGGCGCAGGAAGCTCCGCCTCTCGGAGGTGGCCCATTCTATACATGACTTGGTGACGGCGATCTGGATGTCGGTTGTGTTCGGGATGGCTTCGAAGAGATCGAGCAGCTGACGGACTATTTTGAAGTGGTGTTAGACGAACGCTTATAATTATAGTAATACGTAATATAATAAGTATCTAAATAATGAAGGAAAGCCAGAGCATACCCAACTTGGCCGTCTTAGCCTTTGCGAAGCCCGAAAGGACGGTCCTGCTTGTGGTAACAAGGTCGACGAGTTCCTGAGGTTTCCTAGGCACAAACGTCAGTTTCCAGACGACACAAAAGAGGAATGCTGAAGCCGATGCCGATGCTCACTTCTCATCCCGATACAGCTCTCCTAAGCTTATCAAAGCCGACTCGTATTCCTTTATTGCTGCATCTGAGGTAACAGAAGGAGGTTTAGATATGATATCTTTGTAGATGGCTTCAGCTTTTCGCGGGTCGGAGCTAGCAAGTGATTGCGCTTCCTTCACAGAGGGCCTCTGCGAAGCCATATTGACTGGCGTGTGCTCGAGAAGATACGGGGACTTTGGAGTATCGGATTGTGGGTTCGAATTGGTATAGAACAGTTGATATGGAAGTGGTAAGGACGTTGTTCGAATAAAAGGTATGAATTATTGAAAGTATTGAAAGGGTACGTATTGTACAAACCGAGCTCAGCAACTCGCCCGCTGTTTCCTACCGCAGCTCCAGCCTTGCGATTAGGTGATAAAGTGGATACCTACTGACGCAGCTCCGGACTGCCTGAAATGCTAGTACGGAATAACCCACCATTCCGTTCCCGGGCTCTTGCTAAGGTCCCCTCCCGTCTCCCCTAAGATAGCTGATGTACCTAGGTACTTTTTAAAATAGCACATTACCGATCCAAGTTACCATCAACGCCGCCTTTGACTCTTGAGTTAATATAGGTAACTAATATCAACACGCAAATTTTTCATAATGCTGTAGGATCGATTATAACACTTCGTATAAGTTGGACTGGTACCGAAATTCATCCCACTTCCCCTTGTTGAACGTAGTAAGTTCATACATAGACCGTCATCCACACCGTAGATATTCACACATCCAATAAGTATCCATTATACCAAGTAGAGCCTCTTCCCCCATCCCTTTTTTCTCTTCTTTCAAAACGAGGGTTACCACAAGCGCCGTCGAGATCTTCCCTATCCCGTGTCAAGCCCAAGGTTTTGCAACTCCTATGTGTATGTACTAATACGTGTTCCTCTCCATCCCCTCTCCCTCCCCCCTTTTTTTTTTGTTTTGTTCCCTTCAGCCTTTTCCAAGACCGTCAAACGCTCGTCGTTTCTGTCATGACACGCCACGACGTCAGTTATCCCTCTATGTCAAATTATTACTTTGGATGTAATCATTACCTGAGTATACATGAGCCTGCCAAGTGCGCACTTGGTTTACCCGGCCGTGAGTGGCTTGAGAACCGCTACCACTAGGCATATCCATCTCCTGAACAGAGCTGCCGCTCATCGGCCTATAAGAAACCGACCGGGAGTAACTCGACCCTGCTGGACCGCTATGCCTCTTCCCAGCAATATTAAATCCCTCGCCCCCTCCGCTGATATGCATGTTACCGAATCCAAAATCCCAGCCACTATATTGATGAACGCAATGCGGCTCTAAAATCTGGCAATTCTCTGTCAGGATTTTGTAGGTGCATTGCTCGACCTCCTGAGCTGTCGGTCTCTCGTGGGGAGCTACTGAAAGCATCCTTGCCACTACCTGCAGCATAGGCGCCATACCACGGAACACTTGGTCATCCTTTTTTGATGCATCCTTAGCAAGGCCAGCCATCCATGATTCAACCTGCCCTAGGTTTTTATGGAACGACGAGTCCAAAACTGCCCCGCCTCGGCCGGCTTGCTTATGCTTTGCGGATCGATGCGAGGCAAAGGACCGGGTCTGGCGTTTCATTAAGAAACTCAGCAGTTCAAGTATCACACATCCTAGCGAGAAGATGTCAACTGCCTGAGGGTCGAGTGAAGGTGTCGGCGAGTGAAGTATCGAACCGGTTTCCGAGTGTCCTCTATTGATAGAGAACGACGAGTTATCGGACGACGTTGATCCTGAGGAAGTAACGAGAGTACTTCTTCGGTGGCCGTGACTAGTTGACGGTCGATACCATTGTTCGGGAGCCGCATAGTCGTAGGACTCTTTGTCGAAGGCTGATCTGTCCGACGTAGTAGCTATCGCTTCTGCGCTTAAATGAGTTACGTCCGCATAGAACACATGATTGTTGCTGTTGAAAAGCACAGTCGAAGGTTTTATTCTACCGTGGGATAGTCCGCAGCTATGAAGATAGCACAGTGCGTCGACGAGGCAATGGATCCAATTCATGAATAGGCACCGTCGATCCTGCTTAGCCAACGACTTTACCGAACTTGGCGTTGTTACTAAAAGGGATCTGAGGCTGAAATCGCTTGGGAGAGTAAATAGAACATAGACAACACCCTGGTAGGCATACGATCCGTAATAAGACATGATATGGCCATTGTCAATATTCCTCGCCCTGTCGATCTCGTAGAAGAATTCCTTTTCGCTTAGCAGACCAGGGCCCGTTCCGATTGGAATGCGACGCCGAGAGAAGATCTCCCCAGGTCGATTTGCTAACTCGACTCTATCCACAACGCTGTTAAGGCTTAGCCCGGGGCGCTTATCGACGGTAAGAGGCACGATCTCGGGATGTTCGTATACTATATAGTCGCCTTTCTCTATAAATTTGAGTAGATAGTGAAACTGGCGAGAATAAAATTTCCTCTCAAGTTTGTCGTCCCTAGTGAGCGTAAGCGCCAGCCGTTCGATCTGGTCGAGCGGAATTGGGAGATCGTCGTCGTCCCAACTATCGTCGATAAGTCCGAAAATCTGGTCTGGAACACCCAGGTCTAGAAGAATGAGAAAGATACGCTTGGCCTTTTCGTCAATCCATTCCCAGTAGGTCCCGTCCGTCAACCCGTCACCGAAGCCCAGTGGTAAATCCAACCGCTTTATCTCCTCGGGGAGGAGGTGTGAACAGACGAACTGTCGAGTGACAGTCGCTTCAATCCGCGACGGATCCCACCACATGGCTACCATGGATGGAACAAGGGTAGCATTACACCATAGATCCACCCTAGATCAGTCCAGTCAGTTAATGTAGTCGACCGCCGCATGTAATTAGGTTTGTAAAATATTGCGACAGATTCGATGGGGCTCAAGGTTGGTGGTGTAAGCAATACAGGGGCGTAGCCCGTTTATACGATCTACAATCAGATGCGACACGGCACCCGACCGAGGACGCCAGCCAGAGGTGCAACATACAGGTAAGTCAGCACACAAAGCAAATGTTGCCTGCTGGGGGCGATATTTTTCGGATAGGTACTCAGACCATATACTTCTGGGCTCCATAGTTTGCGTAGTAAAGCTTGTCCAAACAGAAGCATTTAAGAAGAAGCGCGCATATGATTGGAATCCTTCGCCTTGCTGCCAGATACTGATTACCTTGTGTACCTACTTAGCAAATCATGTTGGTGGCCATTTAGGGCGAATATTGGTTGGCTTTAAGGCGTGTGATTGGCTGAGCCTAAGGCAATAGATAAGGGGATATTTTAGTATCCTGAAGTCAAGAACACCCCGGTAAAATGCCATTAATAGGGGGTATGTGCTTAAGAGGCTCTCGTGGGTTCGATGTACGTAGATATGTATCTGATGTATGTAGATGCAGCTCGAGGCGTCTAATAATACCGCCCAAAAGCGGTCTCCCCGGAAGCCCCATTCGTGGCAGCCAGCAGGAATATATTAATAGTCTGGCTCGGGTCACAGACGAACTTGAGGTTGGAACGTATGTAATAGAGACAGCATACTGCGTACTCGTACTTCGTACATGTATTCGTACCTTGTTGAATGAAGAAAGAGTCCGGACCCCGCTGGTCCCCCACGCACTTCTGCCGTAGTCTGGTAGTTCAACTCCTCTCTCCCCCAGTGCGTTTGACTCTTGGGCACTTGGCAACCAGAGACATTGTGACCTGTCTTCAGCCAGACGGAACACGGTACGACATCATGGTCCTAATATCGAAAGGATAATCGTTTCCCGTATATCCGATGTATGTATATGCAGGTGCGGTCCATACCCGTCACAGGAAGGGAAATATGGGATATGATAGCTGACGAGCATACATATACAACATACATATTAGCATCGGTGGCGTGGTGATGAAGCGCATAGGGATCTGAGGCCCTTGGCAGCCTTAAAGCAGGATAACAAACAGGGTTAGTATAGTAATCACATCTAAGGTGATTCTTATCTTTTAGAACCGCACTTGTGGTAGGCTAGCATCATCGCAAGCCTTTAGCTTCCAGCCGGTTGGTGAGTTGGTGAGTTGGAGTACGAAATAGCGCGTTTAAAACCATGTGCTTGGTGTTTTTTGCATTGGTACATAGGTACATGTATTATTGATATTCAGCTACGATATGCTTTAACAACTACTGCGGGGAAAAGGTAAAAGGGAACTTCCACCACCTAATGTAGGCCCCACCCCTAACGGATGACTAACGGCCGTCTCGAAGGCTAGACTAGACCTATTAAGTTGTGACTTCCTTCGCTATTCAACCCCTTTTTGGTAGCTTCTATTTCGACTCATCCGATGCAACTATCTATCATATTCTTTCCTTCCTTTTTAAGGTTATACGTCTATCAGATCAATCAATATACATGGGACATTGCTACTATCCACTTCCAGCCTTCTTTTAGATCGAAGCCATGTGTAAAGTTTTGTTCACGTGTCTGCTTCTACTCTAACCCCACATGTTACAAGATACCTTAGGTAGTTATCTTCTTCCTGCGAGATAGATTAAAAGAGTTGCCAAGATGATCATAAATACGTAGTATTCTAAAGAAATTTGATACTCGGTGTGCAAGATATATTACCTACCTACCACACAGGTCTGTAGACATGTAAATACGTACACATGTAGACACGCCGTGTTTTGTTTACATGAGCAGTTATGCCTCGACTTTGCCATCGTTCATTTTGTGTGAAAGGGGCTCCATTTTATGCCGTGTAACTATCTCATCTCGGGTATTATAGGTTACCTACACTTGAATGCCATGGGCCGAATGTGTCGTGTCATATGTTTAGCATCGAAGCTGACAGGTTTAATTCATGACCATCAAGTAAGAAAGAGAGGCTCCTGATAGGTACATATAATTAGAAAAATAAGGTACTTGAACATTATGTTAAATTGCTACCTAGGTAGTTTACACGACAGTATTAACTTAAGAAGCTGAAAAGAATTAGGTTCGTATATTGCCTTAATATCTAACCACTAGGTTATAGAATTGAGTATCGTACATTACTCGGCTATCTTGAACTATAGCATAGCCTACTCGATATAATACTTGATATTATATTAGCATTCCTCTATAGCACCGTAGGCATTTCGAATCCTTGGCTGACTTATACTTGCTCCAATAAGCGTTAAGCCCCTAGTATTCTAGAGCCCGGTGTGGAAATCAGTAGACAATATATTCAGAAAATATATTAATTTATTAGAGCCACACTTCCCATACGTCTTTAGCATGACGTCGTCGACCGTTAACACCGGGAGCGGACGCGAGCCGAGAGGCGAACCTGATAAGCCCGCTATAAGCAGCTTCTGCATGCTGCCGCGTGGGCTTCAAAGCCTTGGTGGCATTGTTAGAGGTACTCGGGCCGACCTACCCATTCAGAACTCGAGGCACTGCGAATATCGTATGCAGTGCAACATGCCTGGTATGCTCGATCAAAGCCAAGGGATATTAATGGCTAGCCACAACATTTGGCATTGTGACTGGTAACTTTCGGTCTCCTTCTCCTAATCGGGACGCGGGTACGATTTCTGATATGACAGATGGTTCTAGCACGGGCAATTGCTTATTAGAACACAGAAGGTTGAACTGCAGGCCAACTAACCAGTTATACAGACCTTCACTACGAAATCCGCTTTTAGCCTCGGGAAGACTTCTTTCGCATTTTAGGAAATTTTGTCGACGATCAACTTCATGTTGAAGCGCGTGCTCTTTCTTTTACTACGCAACATCCCCCTTACACATTACTACCATTACATTTTAACAGACTCGCAAACGCCAGCGTTTTACTGTCTGGTTTATAGTATGATCGTGAATATCTCGCTCGTTAAACCAAATACCTTTATTGAAGCACCAGCCAATTCGTGATGGATGCTAGATCAAGTGCCCGTTCTTCTCGCTCAGCTGAGTCCCCCTACGACCTACAAACGTAGTCATACCGCTGTCTATGCCGGAAAGTTTCCGCGCAATCTTCTGAAGGCCCACCGGCAACACGTTATACCAATCCACCCAGCGAGCGTAGAGGGGCATGCCGATGTGATCGCTTAAGCCGAGATCGATAGCCTTTATTATCTCCTTGGCCACGTCTATGGGTTCGACCACTGGGGCAATAAACGGGTTGGGAGTCTTCACGCCGTAGAAGAGTGGTGTGCTTAGCTGGCCCGGCGTAACGAGGATGGTTTTGATCTCTGGGTATTCCTGCAGCTCGGCAGCGAGAGACTTGTGCAGAGCCGTCACTCCTGCCTTGGCAGCAGCGTAGTCTGTGAGCCGAGCTGCACCGAGGTGACCAATAACGCTAGTGAGGGTTACAATGGTACCGCCGGTTTCATTACGAATCATCCCCGGCAGAAACGTCTTGATGGTGTAGAAGTGCGATAGGAGGTTCGTTGTAATGCTCTTCTCGACTTCTTCTAGATCCATATCGAGCAGCTTCTTGCCAACAACCTCGGCAGCATTGTTGATCAGGATGGTAGGTGTTCCGAGCTAGAAATCATATTAGTTGAGTCACATGCGCACCAGTAGAATACAATACACACATCGCGCTCTATCTCTGTTGCAACTCTAGCAATCTGTGCCTTATCTCGTACGTCACACTTATAATAGGTAATGCCGCGGGCTTCCGTACTTTCTAATTCAGCGATATCCAAAACCGCGACGGTAGCACCTCGCATGCCGTATACCTCAGCAATTAACAGGCCAAGACCGCTGGCGCCGCCCGTTATTACAATGACCTCCTCAGTCAAGTCGACCTCCCGGTGCATCCCATACGCGATCTTATGACTTATGACGTTTCCCATCCATAAGAGACTGACGAACGTAGCCCACGCAATGCTAACTATCATAGGGTTGGTGTTCCAGGCTTGGTGCTCGGCACGGAAGCAGAGAGGAATAATCCATGCTACGAAGGGATGTAGCAGCGTAACGTTGAGGACCTTGAGGAGGACATCGACGGATATGGGTGCCCACCACGATTCGCGTGCTGATGGTCGAGGATGATCCATGGTATCGGATAATTGAAGAGATAAATGCTGGCCAGCAAGCACTTCGAAATTCGAATAACTAATACAGAGAAAAGAAAGGTATACGCCTCTAATCAAGTGTCCTTCGTTTAAGGAAGGATGAATCGAATGATAGAAGAAGATGGGATGAAGGAACTAGTAAAATCAATAAACCAGCCCCGTGTCCACAATCGCAAGTTGAATCCCATCAGTCGTCGCAACTTCCAGCTCAGCTTCTAAAAAGGCTCCTGGGCGCTTGAAACAAATGGCCCAAGCGTCGTAAGTTTCGACTAAGGCAGGTTCCAATTGCACTCAGCCAATCGGCTGTATCCATCTAATAACAGGGGTCTCGCTAAGAGTTATCAAGCGCTTTTTTTTATCTACTACCTAGGAGGTAGGTACCTATGGACCATCTACCGATTTTATATTCGTAGATGCACTCCTGAAGCTTAAATAGGTACTAACCAATATATATCAAGGTGGGTTTAGTAGATGATGTCCTGGTTGTGTCAAATTCAAAATGATATTAAAGATCATTTCGGCATACTTAAAAATGTCCAGGAGATGGTCTCAAAACTTATAAGTCGACTCATAATCCTAGCCATTGTCTTCTAATAAACAAACATCTAGTCACTCGGTTTTGTCTCTTACTGAAGTTAAGCAGAAATCCGCAGCGAGTATATATTTTGATCCGTTGCAAGAATGTGGACGCAACCTATCGATGTCATGCCTGGTATCGAAGTCTTCCCTACCCCTTAACGCCTTGTAAATGCAGTTCATGAATATCTGACTGACAACCTGCTCATTCGAAATGGCATCCGCCATTACTTCTCTCGTGCCAGGACTACCTTATCACGTTCACTCTTCCTCTTCTCGAATTGCTTCCTTGTATGTTTCCTCTCATTCTCCTCCCGCCGCTTTATAGCCTTAAGTTCCTCCTTCTTAATCTCGGTTGCCTTCTTGATAACCTTTGGAAGATGTCTATGACGCTTGATACGTCTCACCTCAGGCTGTTGTCATATGTATTAGCACATAATTCTATAATATAATGATCAAGTTAGAAAACACGTCTGGGACATACCATATGACCATATCTTTCGGATAATGCTTCATTATATTCGAGTGCTTGTCGCTGTTTTGCGGATTTCACACCTTCTCGTTTAGAGGAGTTTGCCCTCCAGAGGCGAATGTTTCCGTCGTCCGATCCACTCAAGACATATTTGGAATCTGGCGTCCATCGAGCGCAGAAAACTCGCTGCATTCGCTTCGTATGATATACATCCCTCGAATGACCCTGGTCTCGGTTGAATAGTCGAATCGTCCGGTCGTACGAGGCTGTGACGAGCTCTTGTCCGGTCGGGGAGAACTCCACGTCCATTACCGCCGCCACGTGGTCCTTGAGTACGTTCAATGCTCGGTCAAACTTGCGCATATCAAACAGGTATACATTATGGTCTTCGCTCGCCGCAGCAAAATTCATCGGCTCCACCGGATTCCAAGACAGTTTGTTGCAGCTAAAGTTGAGAAAAGTGCGTGCGAGGGGCGAAGCTGTTCTGAGGTCGTATAGGATAATCGAGCGATCTGTAGAGCAAGATGCGAGAACCGAAGTCTCACTTTGGTTGAAGGAGACGGAATTAATCGTCTCGCCAGACGAGGGCCAGCGAAGAACTTCTGGCGCAGCAGTATACTGGTCGAGGTTGTAGACAGATATGACATCGGAAGAGACCGCAAATGCATTCTTCGCTCTATGAACACTCAAACTTGTGAAGGAATGCGTACCGAGCCAGGAGTGAATAGGCGGCGAATCGTCACGCGTATTATAAGGATCGTGGATTTTAACCGACCTATCAGCCGCGCACGTAAGAAGCTTCTGATCTGGCGTCCAGGCCATGCCCTTCACAATATTCTCGTGAGCGGTTGTTTTCCAGACCTGGTCCCTGCTCGTCAAGTCCCAACACTTTACAACGCCATCGCCCGAGCCAGAGGCAAATCTTTCGAGAGAATTGGGATCCTTCGCTAAGGAGTAAACGCCGTCAACATGTCCATTTCCAAGCTGTGCGATAAATGGCTGAGCAAACATGCGCTCTAGCTTTACGGCATTGAGGGCGCGCGTATATTCTCGTGCTCTCTCGAACGGATGGATCGCCGGGTCTAGATTGCGAGGTGCCTGGAAACTTGTAAGATACATGAACAGCAAAGTACAGGGTTTTCCAAGTAGGAGAATTTACCTTCGGAACATCAGATCCGGCGGGTTGGTACGCCTCCGTTGAGCGGGTTAATGCTTTTATCTTCTATAATAGGAGTTAGAAATGCTATAGCGCAAGTAGACGTGATGTGCGACTTACCATAATTGCGAAGCACGAAGATATCGCAATGTCGAAGCTGACTTCGCATTGAACGCGATAGGAAAGAAAAAAAGTTCAAGGTTCGTATCCCACTTTGCCGGCTGGCACCATCCGTGAGACTTCGATAAGCCTTATCAGGCTTATCGTCATTTTTATCGATAGCATTTTGCATCTCTTATCTGCTATGTACACAACGCATAGGGATATTTCCATTCCGTACTACTCAGCTACTATATTATTCCAGCATATCACATTATTTATTGTTACATTTTACAGTCGGAAGATATAAGAAGTAGTGTAACGTATCCTAAAACAATAAGGTATATTTCTATTTGCACCAAGGCTTTACTCGTCCGACTGTACTTTATTTAGAGCGTGGTAAGTAAACGAGGAATGCATCCATCTCCAATTCATAAGATCTACTTACAGGTTACTGTTTTAAGAGAAATATGCTACCCAAATTCACGTTACCGCGCACATAAGCATCATAATAATAAATGGTTGATATTATACCCAAGCTTATCCTTTCAATACGTCATGATGCACAAATGGGCGGCTAGTTTAGGAGGCATGCCTGCGCTTCGTTTACATAGGAGGTATGGCTAGAAACACTTCGAAGCTGCGTGGTTGCATGAGCGTTGAACCCGCATTAGTATTTAGTTGATTCTACTACATTTTAGGTTAAATTCATCCAAGTAAGCAATTAGGTTAAGGATACTCCCGAATGTCAATTCGGATCTAACCTTATTCCATACAACATCGCGATGAGATTAAAGTATTAAAGATGCAAGCCCTATATACATACTAGATACGCAAATCAATAATATCTTTCTACATAGCGTTATGTATGTGGTTGCTTGAAGGATTCATTGCGTATCCCTGCTGCCCTGCAAGCTACCTATGTATGTTAGGTTCCGTATTGTACCTAACATAACCCAAGCAGCCAGGAAGCCCGAGTAATGTATGTAGATCTGTGCAACGGTACATATGTAAATCCCACCAAATCTCTCCTATCATGAGCAGCACATCTGAATAGAAGGTCTGAAACACGGAACCCCATGATACAATGAACCAATAATGATGCAACTCTCGAAGCCGTTTGCAGCAACATCTACCTCTACTAGGTATGCATACGATATTTGAGCCAATGTCTTCGTTGCTTGAATTTTATAGCATACGCGTCTACGTTTTACAGCGTAAGTTAGTGACAGTACTACATAGATAATAGTCACCAATCGACCGGGGAGGGCCGGGGGGCGTTCTTTCTGAATTTTCTTTTGGCCGGAACAAATGGACCGGGGGGAGGCCTTGTCGATCCTTTTCTTATCCTTGAATTTTCCGACCTTTACATACCTCCTAGGTAGGCCTAGGTAGGTCCTATGGAGAAAGCCCCAAAATCTTATCTACAGACCGATGCCATAAACTTCTGTCATTGGCTGCCAGTGGCTGCCAGTCGACCTTCCAGCCTATTAGATCGAAGCTTTGCCAAGCTTGGATCAAGCTTCCCCAAAATCAAGGTAAATAGTCTGGTATTTACAAGGGGTTGCTTAGGAGAAGGTCCCGCTTCTTCGATTAGTTACGGTAGTAGTGCGTTTGATATGTAGGTACAGGCTAGGATTGCGCCCTACGAGACCTTAGCTGCTTAGGTACGCTACATCACGTCCATATTTATTCTTCTCCGGATCCTTCAACCTTCTCTTTTCTCTCTCTACGTATCTCGTGTTATCCGTGATTTACTTCCGGAGGAGTAGCGCCGCAGAGATTTGGTCGAGTCAAAAATCGAAAAGGGGAAAATCATAAACATTCGCTTGTCCGTTCGTTATCCGTTCGTTGCCAAGTTTGATCTGGAGCGCATTCGTTTCGACTCCGGACATTGATACTCTTTCTGGCCCTCGCTAAACAGGATTCATCCCTAACGACTCGACTCACACTCGTTCGACCATCGTGACTATTCAAGCTTTACAATAATCATAGAACCGTGGAAGATTCGCTTCAGAACTTTATAAGTACCTAATTTTTCAAACACTATAATCTACATCGTTACCGTACAGTCGCTCTCGATCCGATAATATGCGCTCTTCACTACTTCTAGCGCTATGCAGCGCTACGCTATCATACGCCATACCGACAGTTGAGGCAGTCGGCGGCAAGTTCTTTACAAGCGATGGCGATCAATTCTTCATAAAGGGAGTTGCTTATCAACTCACTGAGAGTAAGTCCAATACCCAAAACATGCGCAATTCAGTAAACCAATTGTTTTATAATACTAACTAGTATTCAGAGGACCCGTTGATCGATACTGAGCAATGTAAGCGGGATGCCTCGCTCATGAAGAAATTAGGTGCCAACGCCATTCGCGTCTATCACGTCGACCCGGAAGGAGACCATGACGGTTGCATGTCCGCTTTCGCCGACGCTGGTATTTATGCCATGGTAGATATGGATACTTTCGACACCTACATCTTGCCCGTAAGCTCAAAGTTCAGAAGACTTATCAGTCTTCCTTCAAATTAGCCAGTACTAAATTGCTTTAGAATGATCCTTGGTGGAACCAAACCCAATTCGACGCCTACTCCAAGGTTATGGATACATTCCATGACTATGATAATCTATTAGGCTTATTTGTGGGAAATGAAATTATCGCCATCAACAATCAGTCGTTGGCCGCGCCGTTTATTAAGGCAAGCACTCGTGATCTGAAGGCGTATAGAGACTCGAAGGGATACCGCAAGATCCCAATTGGTTACTCTGCTACCGATATTGCGGAGCTTCGACCTTGGCTACAAGACTATCTTACCTGTGGAGGAAATTCGTCCGAGAACATCGACTTCTACGGCTTGAATTCATACCAATGGTGTGATCCCACCGACTATCAGACCTCCGGTTACGCCAACCTCGAGGAGCAGGCTAAGAACTTTCCCGTGCCTATTTTCTTCTCCGAGACTGGATGTAATAAGCCTGGTCCGCGATTGTTCGACGACCAAGTCGCTATATTCGGCCCTGAAATGGTGAATGACTGGAGCGGAGCTATCGTGTACGAATGGATCCAGGAAGCCAACGAATACGGTTTAATTTCGTACGGTCCTAAGGTCGACCCGACTGTCACTGGTGAGAATATCGTCGGTGGCTACACTCGTGCGGGTACCCCGACACCTGTCACACCCGATTTCGACAACCTTAGCAAGCACTGGGCGACTATCACACCCACTGGAGTTCCCAGATCAAAATACGACACGAAGTCGGTCTCGACACGTGCATGCCCAACTTCAACTGCCAGTGGATGGCTTGTTAATGGCAACGTCGCCGTCCCAAGTTTAGGAGCAACACTTAGCGCCAGCACTTATTCGTCCGTGCCTAGTGCTACCGGTACGGCTGCCAGTGCCGACCCGTCAGAAACTCAAAATGCTGTCTCTGGATCGAAAGAAATTGCCGGTATGGGTGCCGGTCTCGTAGGTGTAATGATGGTTTTCACATTATGGCTTTAATTCAACTTTGATTCGATTGAAAGACTTGAGCACTACAACTTTTTCGGTCCTGACGTTCTATTCCGCCGTGCCCTCCTCCCTTAATTAATCCCACACAGGAGGTTTTATGGCCGGCACTATTCGTCAGATACCACCTAATCCTTCCTTTCGACTACTCGGTTAGGGAAGTTTCTTCGGAGCATCCGCAAGACATTGTACACGGCGTCTGTTGTCTTGTGTTGGATAGCTCCAGGCCATTACCTAATGATCGGCGTCTGTCGTGGACATCTGGACATGTTTAGATGATACACTTCAGAAGATGACTGCGAGGAATGTGCTTCGGCTTGCATACGAGGAGGACGAGTTAAGAGGTTTTCAGATAAACGACAAACGACACTCATGATTGTCACGAAGCAACAATTACACAGCTAAGGAAGATCAACTTCCTGATGCTAATTAAATAAAAACGCCGCTTTGGCTGTGATACCCTTCACTCATTATAGAACGTTTTGCTACAGTGTGATTATCGTACGTTTCTACCTGTAAGATGTGAAGAAGGAACATGTACCTAATTAGCCAGTCTTTAGCTGCCCAACATGTAAGCCGTTAGTGTTTCCAGTGAGAACATTATTCCTTCCATAAATTACAATTCAAGCCTTCTCACAGGAAGGTGGCCACATACAATGTCTACCCTCTATAAAGGAGGTGCTGCTTGATTACATATATACATCGAATGAAATGTCTCAGATAATAATTCTACCAACCCTCATTTCTACCTACACGTAAAACTCCTAGTATCACCTACAATTTTTCCGGCTCAAAAGTGTATTTAGTATCTGATAGCAACCCTAAAGATTCCAACAGCTCCATTAGTCCTACCTAGATACATGGCAGACGAAAGCCAACCCCAACCACAACAGCCTTCGGTAGTAGCCGCTGACGAGCACTGCGATAGCCACAAGCGCAAAGCCTGGAACATCAAGAACGAAAACTGCCTACGAGCCAAGCTCGACTGGCATCGGTAGTGCCCGTTCCAGAACCGGCCTACGCTGCGATGGATCTTTCTCATCTCGCTCGTCGTAGTCGTCGTCGGCGTGCTGATCACCGGCGTCGTCTTCACCGTCTACTACGACGCCATGTACTACTCGAGCGGCGCCTTCTTGCCGAAAGACAAGGCCAAGTCTACCGACGGCCAGTCCACGGGCCCAGACACCCCGCCCGTCGTCCCAAGAGGTGCGATTGTCGATATGTGCGGCGAGAGGAGGGATAGCTGCGAGGCTTATAATCAACCTGTTCGTATTTCTCCTGATATCATATCCTTATATATATTGGCTTTTCCTTTTAGCTTTTTATCGTCACCTAAGGGAGATGATGATGATGGCGTAGGAGGTATAGATAGATAGATAGATATAATCTAACGAGAAAGCGAAGAATATATGCTGCCCCGAAGGAATGGTCTGCTACTCGAGCGACTTCTCGCCGTCGGGCGTCTACTGCTGCGCGGGCAAATCGCAATGTCTCGCCAGCGAGGTCCAGCCGCCGCGCTGCGACGGCAAGATGAGCCCCTGCGACAAGAGCATCGGGGGCGGCTGCTGCGCGCCGAACACGGAGTGTACGAAAGACGGGTGTCTGAAGGTGTACCGCGCGGAGCCGGGGCTCGCGACGGGCGTTTTAAGCGGCCCACCGCCTACTACGACTATCACGAGAACGACCACCGTCTTGGGGGTAGGGACGGGGGCCGGCGGGGTCACGGTCACGACGGTCAAGATAGCGGAGACGGGGCTGAGTGGCGGGCTAAAGGGGATTAAGCCCACGTTTGGCTTTTCCAGATACCCGCCGTTAGAAGTGTTTGCTTTGGGGTTCGCTCTTGCGTTCTCTTATATGATGGTTTTAAGGGGTGGTTAAGACTGTTTTGCTTGAGGATCAGGGGTTGGGCCTTTATATTCCTACAGATTGTATCGCATTCACGGTATGAACTATCATGCCTTTTTCATAATTCAATTAGATTAGCATGTTTAGAAATGTCACTCTCTTAGACGTATTTCTACTTATATTCTATCTGTAATAGTCGAAAATATGTCCAATAGCACGCATTACTATAAGATATTAGATACTAATTATTGACTTCAATAAGTACTCGACTAAAATATAATTAGGTATCAAGAGAGTATCGGCTTTAGTGAGTATATCTTGTTTGAAAAGGGCTTCGAGGTTGTAGAGCATGAGTACAATCGGTACGCAAGGTTGCAACCAAACGCAGCTTGGGCAACCATTGAATCCATCAGTACAAAAGGTCCTTTAGATCGCCATTTGACACACGATTGCATTCGGAACGAATTCAACTTACGTCCCGCCGGCTTTTTATATTTCATTCTTTCAGTAGGATCTGAAACCTGGAGGAACCGAAGGTGATCTGATATTATTGACTGCGGAACTCACTATTTGAGAAACTTGGGAAGAATATTCTTCTTGCATACCTAATCCAGCTTAATCGTCCGAAATGCAAACGCTTTGCGGTCGAATTAAGGTTGGTCGCGGCCGGATGTGACCAGACAAGGATGTCGATGTCTCTACGAGAGATGTATGGAACTTTACGTTTCGCTTGGATCAAGGATGGTGTCATTTATTCCATGTGTGCAACAATGGTTCTAGGATGTGAGGGGAAGCTTTCAATATGCAGGTTTCGTCTTCCCGGGATATCCCTCGATAATACCTGGGTGGAAAGCTATTTTCTAGTATAAGACGGCCCCCTCTTCTCTTTCGCCAGGCTGATGTACTACGTGGAATTCTCTATTTCGTAGGTCATCTATACCTTTTAGGATGAGAAGATCCACCGTTCTTTGCATTGTGCGACCGGCTTCGATAGCCAAACCAAGGACTCGATGGCGAAATCAATGCTTACATCGTACTTAAAGAATATAATGATATTCAAGAGGTATAGTCTCTTTGAGCTGCTCTGTAGCTAATGTTAAGAAAGTCTCTACGCAGCCTTTCCGAGACGAAGTCATAGAAGTAGCTCGCCAGTACATATCGACCTCTGGGCCACAGAAGTTGAACCTGTCCCATGAAGATCGAACTGCTTGTTTTCATGCTTTTCAACATACGACACACCCGTCCAGCTTTCTTTTAGTGTTTCTGACAGCTGAGACGAAGTTGCGAAGATATAGTCATCCCAATCTCATCCGATGGAGCACTTGCAATATCAACCCCTTGCAAGTTCTATACGCAAGGGCATTAGGGGCTCTTATAATAATTTTGGCCATCATACTGAACACAATCCTTATCCTTTCCAAGTTCAACCGCCTGAATCGACTATCTGCCGATCTGGCAAAAGATTTTTGACGTCTTTGTGGCAAACCATAACAGACATCTGAGAGCTTTACAAGACAGGGTCGTCTTTACATCGTTGTTCTGAGCTTGTTTCTTAGTGGTGGTGTTGTCGGTTGGTTCAGTATTAATACCTTCTGGTAATGTGTTTGAATTATAATTCGAGGACTAAGTTTAAAAGTAAATTATATGACACGCTTCTATTCAGTGTTGTAATTATTCGAGTTTGGTGCATGATACGTAGATGTACATAAGAAGGTAAGCACGGGTCACTATACGTTGTGTAATGTCACACAGAAGCTTCTGCTCCGTGAGCTTTAGGGGCCGAAAATTAGCCGGGACCGCTGACGTCGCCGCGACGTCGTCGCGTGTTAAACTACAAACCGTACTACTTCAACATTTATTAGTGTTACACTCAAGGTTCAGAGACAAGTTACCAACGATTCTTTGTTTGAAACGACGGCAACTCCCATGCAAATCTGCCAATACAAATATGAGTTAATGCGGTGACAACTAGCACCAGTGGTATCTCAGTATGACAAGTCCAGCGGAAGCTCCCCTGCTATCGCATCAGGAGGACGAACTAGAAGAGGAAGTGCGCTCAGATGGTGAGGATGCGATAATCGAATGGCCTGCTGGTCGCCCGGGCGTTTTTATATGGCTCTTGACTCTGTCCGCTTGTATTAGCGGGCTCCTGTTCGGATGTAAGTATAACGCCTTCAATATTCCGTGCAACTGCTTATACGTGAAAAAGATGATACGGGAGTAATTTCGGCTACGTTGGTTTCGATAGGCACCTCGCTGTCCGGGAGGATGTTAAACTCGCTCGATAAATCTCTCATCACGTCATGCACCGCGCTATTCGCCCTCATCTTGTCCCCGATCTCGTCCATCCTTGCTGATTACTTCGGTCGAAAACCCGTTATACTACTGTCGGATCTGCTCTTTGTAATCGGAGCTGTGGTTCAGTCTATGAGCTTCACTGTGTCGGGCATGGTCCTTGGACGGTCGATAGTCGGAGCCGCCGTAGGTGCTGCGAGCTTTGTAACGCCGTTATACATTGCTGAGCTAGCTCCGCCGGCTTACCGTGGTATGCTCGTAACGATGAACGTACTATCCATCACTGCCGGACAAGTTGTAGCTTACGTTATTGGATGGATGTTTGCTGAGCATGGCGATCCCTCTACGGGATGGAGATGGATGGTCGGCTTAGGGGCTCTGCCCGCTGCACTGCAATGTCTTCTCCTATTATTCATGCCTGATACTCCCCGCTGGCTAGTAAAAGTAGGGAAGTCAGCCGATGCTCGGCGCGTTATCGAAAAGACGCTAGGATACGATCCCGCTTCTCGCCGATTAATTGACAGCGTTGTGAAAGATATTGAGATGGAGCTTAGGGAAGAGCAGGGGAATTTAGCATTGGCCAATAATGGAGGCTGGAATAGTAGTACATGGCTTAAGGGGTGGCATGAGCTTCTTAATGTGTCAAAAAACCGACGGGCGCTGATTATCGCCTGCTTACTTCAGGGGTTACAACAGCTTTGCGGTTTTGTAAGTCATTACGCCCCTCCTAAATATCCTATTCTAATTGATTGTGAAGAACTCATTGATGTATTTCTCTGCCACAATTTTCACTATGTTGGGATTCTCGGTCCCGACGCTCACATCGCTGACAGTCGCCGCCACAAACTTCGTTTTTACCGTATTTGCACTACTTTCAATCGACCGCATCGGCCGTAGACGGATCTTGTTATACTCATTACCTTTCATGGTAATCGGCCTTTTCCTATCAGCATTTGGTTTCAGCTTGCTTAAAATACCGTCTGGCGATACTAATGTCGGTGGCGATGCACCTGTCACCGACGCCGCTTCGATATCTTCGCGAGGTGCTGCTATTGTTATTCTAGTAAGTATCATGACGTACGTTGCGGCTTACGCTCTGGGACTTGGTAATGTCCCATGGATGCAAAGCGAACTCTTCCCGCTTAACGTACGCTCACTTGGTAGTGGACTAGCGACAGCTACGAACTGGTTGGCCAATTTTATCGTTGGGTTGACATTTTTGCCATTGGTACGTACTCAATATTCAGACAGCCGTACCTATACTTTAAAAATTTTTTTATTGGAGTTCAACTATTAACACATCTTATAGTAAGTAACTAACAATTTCGGAATTAACGTCTTCATATAACTGAATCCATAACATTTTTTTCTCGCTGTGGAAACTAACTCATAACAGGATGGACCTGTTAACTCCTTCGATAACGTTCGGTTTATACGGCATCGTTTGCGCTATTGGTTGGTGTGCTGTCTGGAAGATATATCCGGAAACGGCGGGATTGACTCTCGAAGAAGCCACTTGTTTGTTAGAAAACGGCTGGGGCGTAAAATAACCGCGGCCTGTAGTTTTCCGTACTAAAAGGGCGTGAAATCTTTAAATGATTACGCTCCTGTCGGAAAAGCGATTTCGGTGTAACGCGGCTATGCAAATGACCGATCCTATGCACGAGATAGGATAGCGCAAGCTTACGCCGTACGTCCCGTCCTCGTGGTAAAGTTAAGGTTGCATGGACGTGCTGCTAGGTATCTATTAATGTGCAACCGCAGTCAGCCCTAGCTTGCGCTCCACCTGACGTTAGGATTAGTTAAGCCGTACGGTGGCTTATCACCGCTAACACCATCTCCGAGTCACCGTCCGAATCGGCACGGCCGTGGAGAAAGGATGTCGTTCGAACCGGGTTTACAAACACACCGATCCATTGCATACTATGTAATTGGTCTGACAAATCGAAGTGAGTGGATCGTCTCAAGTGAGCCCCTCCCACAAAATTTTATTTAGGTAGCTGATCTGATTATCAATTAGAATTATGCACGAGTAAGCGCAGTGGCATGTGTAGTGTATGTATGTATGTACATCGGAATTATACTAACCGACACGGTGGTGTGATGGGCACCAAACTATTACTTACTTACGTCTAGCGAATTACCCACCCGGAAAGAGAGCCGCAGCGTTGACCGTAGTGTACAGGTCTCTATGTAGGATGATAATTAGTAGCACGAGCGCTAAGTGGAGATATATAACCCAACATGGCTAGTACGTAGCTTTGCATACAAATTTATATATAATAGTTAGTACAAAATGTCAATGGAGATGACAACTGAATGACTATATTGATTGTAATCCTTTTTCATATCGTGGGAATCGTGGGAATAGATTCAACATTTTTGCTGTCTACCACCTGGTAGCATATACGATTTTACTGTTATACATCGAGTAAGACAATGTTTTGAAGAAATCCTCAGGCACGACCTCCCAGGCCCTTTAAATAGCCTCATTGAGCTCCTGCGAATTCAACGATTCCACATGATAATGAATGAATATCCAGCCAGTCTTTCATCCAGGCCCATACGTTTTCAATAGCGTTTAAATCAGGGCTATTGGGAGGCCGCTCAATAGCAAAGATTTCGAGCCTATCCATCTCTTCTACAGTCGCTTTTGCTGTGTCGGGTTAGGCCTTTCAAAGCCCAGGCCTTTCAAAGTACGGCTTATCACGATGGGGCCGTACTGAGAGATCTCGGGGACCACGAATCTGAGGTCTCCCCAGGGTATCTCCCGGTGTGATTGGTCGGCGTTTAAGAATTTTAATAGGGCCTCCAACTCGTGAGAAGAAAGGTCTTTATAGCCACCGATGCCTTTCTTTTTGGGCGTAAGGGGACCCGTAAGGGCCGTCTGGACCTGGGCTCTCGTAAAGCCCGTTTTGAGTGCTATGTCGATATAACTCAATTCAGGGAAATACTTTTTTACGACCCGAATTTCGAATCTCTCGTCTCTCGTCAGTTCTTTAGCTTTATTCTGTTTCAACTCCTCAGGCCCTCGATAGCGATATTGTTTAAACCGAGGCTGAACCTGGGCCTGGGCGCCTGTAAGTTGACGTAACGGTTGACCTGTAACTTGTGGATGTTGTTGCCGTGCAGCCATCCTCTCGGCCGCTTCAATCGACGGCGAGGTGACCTCTAGCCGTTGATGTTGCACCCAATGTAATTGATCCTGTAGATTCATCTTTTTGCAGGCTTTGATTGTTTTTTAAAAAAAAAGAAAAGAAAAGAAAAAAGGACGACCTTGAATACTCACGATTTGATTATAATACTCTATTAAAGTAAGGGTGTCTATTCGAAAAGATAATATTTAGGATTACAATCAATATAGTCATTCAGTTGTCATCACCAGTACATACCTACATGACAAATATGGAATCCCGGTGTTGGGGCATTGCCGCTCTGCCACTATCGCATACATACTTTACGTCTCATTGACGTATGACTCGAGGATCGATTTTGCAAAAACTAGACATCATAAAGAAACGTATTGGATCATACGCTAGGTTACCTAGTACATAGGTACCTATTACTTATTGTATGTCGGATTGTGACTGGTAACCGGTGCGAACATGTTTGCTATGATATTTTGTAACCAACTGGTTTCTTGGTTACACATTACTCGCAACCTTTAACATCGTATTTATTACGTGTGTTTACGTACACATTATTTTCTCTCGGCGTTGACGAGCCGAGGCTGATTAAATTTTTAATTTTTTTCTTGTTCCTTTTGCGATTATGTAAGATCAGATTGCAAGTCTAGTTTTTTTTTTTTTTCCCTTCAAAAAAAAAAAGTTGATTGTTAGCTCACCGCTGTGAAGCGCTTCAAACCGAGCCGGGTAGAGCAGCCGAGCAGGGACCCGTGACTGATAAACCAATGTTTGAGGCCCGATCTTTTGAATCTCGACTCTTGCTTGAACAGCTTTGGGTCTTGACATATCCTTGACACCGCACGTTCAATAGGTTTTTTAATGGGGTTAATGGATATGGTGGAGACTGGAGTCGATACTTGTGTACAAATCAAAAGATCTTAGATACGAAGGGCCCCGCCATCGTAGCACCTTTTCCCCCTTCTCTAATTTGCACCTCGGCCCATCCTACCCTTTCAGTCGCCCCCCCTATTGAAATTTTTCATTGTTACCTATCTTCTGAATTCCATCCAGCAGGTTAGAATACCTAAGGTGCGGCTGTGTTTACAAGGGTCCCGTTCTTTTGTGATTATCAAGGGATCTGACTTAAGCATACCCAATTAATAAATCAATATTTTAAAAGATCTATTTGGAGACTTTTATCTACCTACCCATTGAGGTAGATAGGTAAGAGAAGTATAAGAGAGCGCAGATAAGAGAGGCACAATCGAGTCATTCGGAAAGCTGCTTAATAAGTCAACCTTACTATGTATGTAGTCTCAAGTTTTCAGGTGTTATTAATGGTCATGCTGTCATAACGCCGATGGGATGAGGGCATGGATCGGGACATGGATGTGGCCGTAGTGCTGGGTCCATTCGCGTATTTTCTAGAAATACGGTATAGAAATGCGGCATAGTCAAGCTTTCTACTACTGTATGTACGATTAGCGTTAGCTATTATGATAGTGAATCAAACAATACGGTCGGGTTCATGCACCATCCCGAGGGCAGGTACGATACAGCCCAACGAATCAACCCCCCGGCCACTATGTATTTAGGCTGCTTACTAGTTGAAAGGCCCTGTGGAAATCTTTACATACCCTTCGTCATTGAAGACCCAGGGCCTTCTGTCTAGGTTAGTAGGTAGATCCATAATTCTTTTCTAGTTACCACGGCAAAAAGCGAATGCCGAACCCCTTCTCTTTATCGCCTCTAATAGATATTAGAGCTTTCTTAATCCCGACCCAAGCTGTTCCATTTCGAATGGATTTTTTTTTTTAAAATTCCTTTATTATCAGGGTACCCCCGTGGCCTGATTGAAGACTTTTTATTTTTTTCTTTTCTTATCTTCAATTCTCGTTGAGCCCCTCTTCGCGTTGCAAGCGTGCGCGTAGTTCTATTATATCATAGTTACTATACTCGTTGTTTCTTTGTTCTCGAGTATACCGTACATAACGAACTATACCTTTGTTTGTAATTTAGTTACGAGCAACCTTCTACTTGCCTCTCTGACCGCCACCACAACAAAGCATATTATAACCCATTTGGTAACAAGCATATTATTTTCAATTATTGTTGTGGTTAAATATATTCCATTATCGTTTGAATAATGGACGAGGTCGATCGCGAGCTCATCCGAGCTGAAGAGGATGCCTTACGGCATATGTCTCCTACTGCATCCAAGGCCAATCCCGAACATCCGTACCGCCGTGCCAGTAATGAAGTCGAACGAGTTGTTTCGGCGTCGTCTATATCGACGACTTCAAGTGACGATGGTATGGCGCATAGAAACACAGGCAACATGAGCCGTATTCCCACACAACGAGACCTCGAACGACATCCTACCGAACTTAGTCGTATTAATACCGCCCGAAGTCAACATAGTGCTACCGTTGGACGAAGCCTTAAGAGCCGGGAGTCGAGAAAACCGTTACCTGCTTTCGGGGCCGGGAAGCCCTTCCCGCCCCCTTTACCCAACCAAGAAGACTATGTTGTGGAATTCGATGGCCCTGATGATCCTTATCACGCCCAGAACTGGTCGCTTAAAAAGAAGTAAGTTATATTATATATAACAATCACAAAGTTATAACTACCTACCTGTCATACAATTCTCTAACCCGAGTTCCCTATAGGTTACTCACAGCCGCTATGCTCGGTTACACCACAATGACTTCTGCTTTCGCCTCCAGTATTTTCTCAGCCGCAACCCCTTATGTAGCTAAGGAATTCGGCGTCAGTTCCGAAGTTGGCATATTAGGTGTTTCTTTGTTCGTGGTCGGTTTTGCAACCGGCCCGACATTCTGGGCGCCCCTATCCGAATTAAAGGGGCGACGTTTGCCGATAGTCATAGCTATGTTCGGATTTTCGGTTTTCTCCATTGCTTGCGCAACGGCCAAGGATTTACAGACGCTCCTTATCTGCCGGTTCTTTGCCGGTTTCTTCGGTGCTTGCCCGCTGGCTGTCGTTGCTGCTGTCTTCTCAGACATGTTTAACAATGCCACTCGAGGTGTCGCTATTACCCTTTTCTCCATGGCTGTTTTCACCGGTCCCTTGCTAGCCCCTTTCGTAGGAGGTTTCATTGTGACGTCTTATCTCGGATGGCGCTGGACCATGTATGTCGCGAGCATCATGGGTTGGTTGGCGTTCGGCCTTGATCTACTTTTCTTAAGCGAGACTTACCCTCCTGTGATCTTGATCGAAAAGGCGGCCGAGTTGCGTCGTCGTACTAAGAATTGGGGTATCCACGCCAAGCAGGAAGAAATTGAAGTTGACTTTAAAGAGCTGATCCAGAAGAACTTTACTCGTCCCATGCGACTTCTGTTCGGCGAGCCAATTGTCACGCTGCTTTCGATCTACATGGCTTTCATTTACGGACTGCTTTATCTCTTCCTAACGGCGTATCCTTTTGTCTTCCAAGGAGTACACCACTTCAACGCCGGCCAGTCTGGTCTGGCCTTCTTTGGCATGATTATCGGTCAACTCCTGGCAGGTATTGTAGTGCTGCTCGACCAGCCTTCGTACCAACGTAAGCTGGCTGCCAACAACGGCATACCCATCCCCGAATGGCGTCTCCCCATTGTTATCGCTGGTGGTGTTTCGTTCACTGGCGGTATCTTCTGGTTTGGATGGTCAGGTTATCGATCAGACATCCACTGGATTGTTCCTGCCGCTTCGGGTATCCTAACAGGCTTTGGCCTTATGGGTATTTTCCTTCAGGCTCTCAACTACCTTGTTGATGCCTATCTTATGTTCGCCGCCTCGGCTATCGCAGGAAACACGTTCCTCCGATCTCTCTGCGGTGCCGGGTTCCCTCTATTTGCGACATATATGTTCAATGGGCTTGGAATCCAATGGGCAGCTACGTTGCTAGGCTGCGTAGCTGCTCTGCTGGTACCTATTCCAGTCATGTTCTACCTATACGGCCACAAGATCCGTGCCAAGAGCAAGTTCGCCCCATCACTTCCCGGAAACACACCGGGCATTGGCTCCAACTCCAGCAACGATACGGCAGTCGACGGAGAGGTGACAGATCACGCTGCCGCGTCGAGCGCCCCAAAGACTAATGTCGAGACCGAAAAGGCCTAGGTGCGCGTTTTTATTAATTATATATCCGGAATTTATGAAGGAATAAAAAATACCGGGTGGATTATACGGCTGGGTTTAGACTTATAGATGTTACGGAATGATGCGTTGTTATGGACGACGTAACTTAATTATACCAATACCAATAGATGACAGGTAACTTGTAAATACTTAAGTAGTATATAACTGCTACTGCTACGACTATAACTCGTTAGGAGTAATAATTCCATAAACTATCAATACCCTTAATAATTATTGTTTACGTTTCTTATTGTGATTAAGATTGTTATCAATAAGTTGACTTATCTTAAAACTTAACTACTTAACTATCATATCTGGTTTAAGTTTATTAACCTTGGTTGTTTATAAGTTAACTAACTGTATAAATTGTTGGAAACTATCGTTACACAGAGTCTAAGCCACCATAGAATTCCCGCCAATGAGGTCGAGATACAATGCCCAATTCGTAAAAGGGCGTGCCCTAATTGCTTACGGCTTACATGGGAGAGTCGAGACAACCATGGATATTCCAGACTAGGTTCCCTGGCCTACCGATCGAGATAGGCACGTATAGACGCAGTAATTACGTACATAGCCAGCAAATATTTTTGAATCCCTGCCCGTCGTACAATACAATGAGGGCATTTGTTCAGTCACTTATTCGGAGTTTTCCCCCACAATGCCCCGCGCCCTTGCACAAGACCGAGGGAATGCATTGCATACCTAACTTCTACATTTAACATAACTAACATATCCATAGAAATAATAAGTGAGTCAGAGTGCTGGAAGATAAGACATACGATTAGACATACATATCTACATAATATTACCAAAACAGGACAGGGTTCTTTGATCCTTCCCGTACGGATGTCCGTGACAAAAGGACCCCGCGGTTTCTTGGATACTAGGTTGGTTTACGTGGTATGTAGGTACTCGTATATTAATAATCCGCCCGTGGAAATATTTATAATAAGACGATTATACTCCTCGACCTTATATTATAGACTTAGCTTTCTCGATCTGTCAACTGCCGTATACTCCTTCTTCTTCTTCTTCTTCTTCTTCTTCGTTTCTACCGTATACACTCATTACTCAATTCATCTGACGTACGTACCAATTCTACACGCAAGTAGTAGATTACGAACAGCGGGCTGGTGGTAGTAGGCGATATATACGGTAAAGGTAACAAGACAAAGACCTAAAGGACCGGGAAAGAAAGAAAGAAAGAAAGAAGTAAATAAATAAATAAAATCATGAGTTCCGCCGCCGCAGCCGCAGAGCAGAAGGTAGAAGACAGAAAGGAGACGGGAACATACGAAGCCGGCTGCCACTGCGGCTACATCAAGTTTTCCGTCACCCTATCGCCGCCTTTCCCCGAGTACAAGGTCCTCAACTGCAGTTGTTCCGCATGCGCCCATTTGGGGTATCTGCTCGTCTGTAAGTTCGATCCATCCTCGCCACTCCCAACTATATATACACAAGCGGTTACCGAAGGTAAGTATAGGACAGTACAAACACTAACAAACACACCCGCCTAGACCCCAAGGCCTCGGATATCGTATGGCATAACAACAGCCGGGAGCGATGCGCTAGCTACCGCTTCAACACCAAGCAGAAGGATCAGATGTTCTGCCCCAAGTGTGGTTCTAGCCTGGGTATCGACTTCTTGGGGACGGTTAAGGAGCATGTGTATGGTATTAGCGTAAGTACATGAGAGAGAGAGAGAGTGTGTGTGTGTGTGTTGTGTGTGTGTGTATGTATATATGTATGGTGTATAGTATACTCCAGAAGAGAACAGACGTCAGAACCCCCCAGCAACCCCCTTTTGCTAACAATCACAATCAACACAGGCCCGCTCGTTCTACGGCATCGATCTAGACTCTTTGACGTACAAGAAGATGGACGGGATGCGCAGGGTCGAGCCCGCGCATGATTTGTCCGGGCAGGTCTGGGACGAGGAGAAGCAACAGCTAACCTAACCGACGACTCTAAAAGTTTATGACTTAGGTACCTAAGGTAGAGAGTACTGTTAGTCCTAGAAAACGAAATATTATGACAAGTTAATGATCTACCAAGTTTCTACCTAGCGAGTCCGTAAATAATTCGAAGTCCTCTTTCAATAGCTATCTATCCATTTACCTACGGTTCTCTTCCCGATCTGCTACCATCTGTGTTTGCATTAGGAGACGCTGGGTCCAATTCATAGGTACAACTGAATCTGTGATCTACTCTTAAATCATGCCCCCCTTTAAGAACGGCAAGTGTAACCAATGTCATACTAAAACATATACATGACGGTAAACAGCCACATTAGTCCTTATAAGTTATACGAAAACAAGTAGTAATCACTCATCTCCAAATATCGTTGAACCTTTCAAGAAGAAGTAAACAGGCCTGTATAGAGCACGACCGAGAGGCAGGGCCAAGTAAAAATAACAATTCAATAACTAACCTATAAGGGACCCGTTGACTACGATAGTCCTATTCCCTATCTATTTTTTGTATACTCACCTACGCCCTTAAATCTCAATCGATTTAATTTCCACAGAACCTTTCCAGTAATCATCCGCCATGCCCCTTTCCACATCGTCTAAGTACTTAGGTAGGATATATGCCTTCTCCCACTTAAAGGTTCAGGGTTCAAATTCGAATGTTTGGAGCCTTGGTTAGCTTGCCTCTCTCCTGGCTCGGTATAAAGCAGCGCGCAGAGTAAGTAACGATTATCACAAGCGCATCAATCCAGACCAACCAGCCTTGAAGACTTCGGATTGGAATTTCGTTCAACCATAACCCCCAAATCTAGACGAATACGATCGTATCAAGCCGAGACGCAAATCAGATCTTCTATTTCTGCTGTCTTTTCGCGTAGAGATTTTCCGCTGATGTGATACAATGCGTGTTAGCCCCTAGCTTGTTTATCGTCTCTATCCATTCCTCGTACGGATCCGAGTCGAAGACAATTCCTCCCCCTAATTCAAATGTCAGCAATTACAGAAATCAGAGTAGTTTAGGGACAAGAAAAAAGCTTACCGGCTTGGAGATACGCAACTCCATCCTTAACCAACATAGTTCGTAAGGCGATGCAAGTGTCCATAGCACCTTCGATCTCCTTTCCGTTGGAATCTATGCTACCGTACCCGAAGTATCCTACGGCTCCGGCATATACACCTCTCTTCTCCTTCTCAAGCTCAGCAATGAGTTCCATTGCTCGGACTTTTGGAGCGCCCGATACCGTTCCGGCAGGGAAGATGGACCGGAAAGCATCGAACCTGGTTTGGTCTGGCCGTAGTACGCCTGATACTTGGGAAACAAGATGTTGAACGTGACTGAATTTCTCCACTACCATCAGTCTATCAACCCTCGTGGTCAGCGGATCACAGACTCGGTTGATGTCATTCCGCGCTAGATCCACCAACATAACGTGTTCGGCGCGATCCTTAAGTGAGTTGCGAAGTTCATTAGCAAGCCGTTCGTCCTCTTCTGGCGTCTTGCCGCGCTTGACTGTGCCGGCAATAGGATGGGTAATGATTCGTCCTTCTTCCTCCTTTACCAGCAGCTCTGGCGACGCGCCAACTATTTGGAAATCTTGGCAGTTGACATAGAAGAGGTACGGAGAAGGATTGACCGTCCGCAAGTGACGGTAAATATTGAACGGGTGTAGCGAAGTCGGACGGGCAAACCTCTGGGAGGGGACAGCCTGGATGATGTCGCCAACAACGATGTGCTTCTTCAATTCGGTCACGTGTGATTCGTATCCTTCTTGACCAATGTTGGATGTATACTGCTGGCCGAGCTTGATGGGTTGCTGTTCGGGTATGGGTATCTCGGGAGAGTTGAGAACGTCAATGAGCTCGTGAATGGTTGCAGTTGCTTTGCTATACTCATCCGCGAGGGTATCTAGGTTCTCAGGGATGTGAAGGTAGGTGATCACTTTGATGACACCGAAGAACCTATCGAAGGCCACTATGGTATCGAATAACATGAATAAGGACTCTGGTATTTGGAGAACGTCCTTCATAGGCCGTGCGGTCTTAGGTTCGAAATAACGGACGCAGTCATAGCCCACATAGCCAACGGCACCTCCAGTAAGGGGAGGTAGCCTGAGGTCCGGGATCTCAGCCACAACATTTTGTGCCAGCTCTTTCTCTAGCGCGGGTAACGGATCTACCGACTCTCCATGACCCTCTCCGGTCTTCAGGATTTTGCGCGGGCCCGCACCAATGAAGCTATATCGACCAACGCGTTCCGTAGCGGCGCTCTCGAGGAGGAAGGAAAAGTCCGTCTTTGAGTGCTCTGACACTTTTAAATACGCCGCGGATGGCGTTATTAAGTCGGCAGATATTTGGCCGTATAGAGGAACTAAATTTGGCTTCTTAGGTCCGACCGTGGGTTTTGACAAGATTTCCTTGACGGTGTCCAGCGACGGCAGAATCACGTCCTATAGTAGACATACTGCTTGTTAGTTTGACTTGGAAATTCTCTGGTCGAGTATAGTGTGTATACTATGTATACTAAATAAATTGAGAGAAGATCTTACAGCTTGAGCCATGGTGGGCAGGGCAGGTTGTTGAAGGAGGTTAGTAAGAGGGAGGATGCAACTCCTTCACTCCTCCCTTGCTCTTGTCAATTCTCACCACGCAAGTATGTGACACCAAGTTGACTCAGCGTACCTAAAGATGTTTAAACCCGCTAGAGCTATTTTAGTTGGTCCTTAAACTTTTTGGTACCTTACATTGATTGCTCCCGCTACACATTTTATCCGAAGACGGAGCTGACGGAAGGAGGGGCATTTTAGCGATAACTTTGTACCCCATGTTAGGTAGTACTATGTATAGGTATTGTACATATCTTATCACATATCTTATCACATATACGGAGGGGTACATACATACTGACATATTCAATATACATAGCATGAATTGAAGCTTAACGGAATCTACCTTAGGTATATTAAGTAGATTAATGCTTTAGACTGTGATCGGCAACGGTTTTTAAGCAATGCGTAAGAAGAAAATCGTTACATTGTAGCCTTATATTAAATAGGTGGGACTGTAATGTAACGATTTTCTGAACTTTATGTTTGGCGCTCACCGCCTTCCTTTTTGGGGCATGCAAAAAGTTTTCGAAGTTGGTTAAATAGCGTTGTAAGGCTTATTGCAATAACGTTATAAAGCTTATTATAATAAATATTACTATTTTAATAGTAATGTAATTTTAATAGTAGTCACTTTTTAAGCTTATATTTTTTAAAACTAATAAAAAAAATTAATGTTTACATAATATAATTTATTTTATTATATAATTAATTAAATAATATATATTATATTTTATAAGGTTTTATTTTTTTAATAAAAAGCCTTTTTTTAAATTAAATTATAAGTTTTTTTATACGTATAAATCCTTTCTTTTTTAATAATAATCGCGCGGTAAAATGATAATATTAAACCTTTTAAAAAGTGGTTTTATTAACGGTTTTCCCGCCGTAATATATAACGCCGTTTATAAATATTTATTATAATTTTCCCGCGAAAACGGTTTTAACATTATTAAAACGTTTAAGTTTAATTAAGTTAATAAATAATTTATACGATATAAGGTATATTATGATTATAAGTTTTACATTAAACCTTTAAAAATAAAAAGTTATTAAACTTTTTTATAAAAAATCGATTGTTTTTAAAAAAAAAACTTTAACGCGATAAAAATAAACGATCGTAAATAAACGTTTTAATTTATTAAAAATTAAAATAACGGTGAGGTTTTAACTTATAATTATAACTTAATAATTAATTTATTAATTTACGTTTATTATTAAATAATAAAAAAGGAAAATATTAAATAAAAAATTAAAGTTTTTTTATATTTAATATTTATAACGCCGACGTAAATCTTTTTAACGTTACGAAAAAAGTATCTTAACTTTTTTATCCGATTAAAAAACATTTATAATGTTTATTTAAAATTTTATAAGCGTGAACGATAAGGATTTACGAGTACGTAAGTATTTATACGTTATTTACGCGAAAAAAAATTTAAATATATTATAAAGTAAGTTATTAATAACTTTAATAAAGTAAAAGCTTTAATTTAAACGTATTTATATTATAAGAAAATATAAAAATGCCATCCGTATATATTTAATTATAATAATATATATAAAACGAATTAATATTATATGTTTTTATTTAACGTTATTAATTGTTTTTTTATTAATTTCGTTTTTAATATAACGTTTAATTTAATATTATATAAAATTAAAAAGTGGTTTAATTAATTATTTTAAACGTTAAATAAATTAAAAGTTATAATTAAAATGTAATTATTAAATATAATAATTTTCGATTATAATAAATAATAAAAGAATGTAATTAAAGTAATATACGTTTTTATATAATTTTTATTTTATATTTTTTACATAAATAAAAACGTTATATTATAATTTAATTACAAGTAAATAATAATAAACGAAACTTTTAATGTAAACGTTAAAATAAAAGTTAAAATAATAAAAAAGGTATTTATTATTATAATTAATAACTTTATTTTTTAAAATGTTACTTTTTTTAAAAACTTTAATTGTTTTAATAAATTTAACGATATTTCCGATTTTAATAAATTATTTAAAAAAATTCTTTACATTTATAAAAATATATTATTATATTAAAAACATATAATATATTTGTAAAATAAAACCAACTTTAAAAATACTTAACGTTAATTAATTAACGAATTTAATAAAAAACAATTAATAATTATAAAATATTTTAAAAAATATTATTTATTATATTATATTAAATAAGTAAATTATTATATAAAAAAATATTTTAATTTTAATATAAAAATAATATTTTTAATTAAATTTAATAATAAATTATTAAAAAATTTTATTTTTAACAATTATTTTAACTTATTATTAATTAATTAAATTATTAAAGTTATAATAATTAATATAAAAATAATTTATATATAAATAATTACTTATAATAACTTTAAATAATGCATTAATTAAATAAACCGGAAATAATTAAAAAACGTGTTTATAATTTATTTAATAATAATAATTAAAAAGTTAAATAATGTTTATTGTAAGGCTTTTAAATATTTACTTATTAAAACATACTTTTTTTTTTTTTATAAACCGTAATGTTTACACGAATTAAGAAATTAACATAAATTACCGTATTAATGTAAAATTTATAAAAATATTAAATTAATTAAAAAAAAACTAAATATTAAACCATTTTAAAAAAGTGATTTTTACTTATAATAACATTTAAAACGTAACTTAATTAAAAATAAATTAAATCTTTTAATTTAAAAACCGTTAATTATTTTTAACTTTTATAATAAACCGTTTAATAAACCCGTTATACTTAAAACGTCATTTATAATAAATGAGCGTTAATAAAACTTTTAACTTTTTAAAGATTTTATTAAACGGGTATTATTATAATAAAAATAAGTAAATAATAAAAATAAAATTTACGATATTAATTAACCACCGGTTAAAAAGGTTTATACTTTAATAAGTAATTTATATAACACGTTAATATAAAGTTAAGGCTTTAATTAAAGCTTTAATTAAGACTTTACTTAAGGTTTTAATTAAAGCTTTAATAATAACACCATAAATAAAAAAGGCATTCGTAGTAAAGGAAGTACCCGTGAAAGGCGTAATATTAAAAGAAATACTCGTGGAAAAAGAAATACTCGTAAAAAAGAAAATACTCGTAAAAGGAATACTCGTGGAAAAGGAAATATTTATAAAAGAGGAAATACTCGTAAAAAAAAAAATGTTATTAAATTTACTTATAATGTTATAAAGCGTATACGAAAGCGACAATAAGTTATTATTAAGGTTTAAAGGCTTTAAAAGTAAGATCTTTTTATTAATTACTTCTTTAATATTAAAGATATTTTAAGAGATAAAAAAAAAGGTAAAAAAAGTGTTAATAATATTAACGTAATTAATTTAATAAACAAGTAAAGATTAAAAGGCTTTAAAAGGTTAAAATGATTAATACGTTAATAATTATATATATATTTTAATTTAAAGAGGTTTAATTAATAAATTTATGTATAAAAAAGTTTATTTTTTTAATAATTTAAGGTAATTTAAATGGTTTATTTTAATAAAAATTAACGAAATTAAATAAATATAATTTAAAAGTAAAAATATTTTTATTTTAATGTAAATAAATTAATTAAAAAAGGTAAAAATGTTAAAAAAACGGTCACTTTTTTAAATAAACGGTAAAAAATGTAAGTTTAAAAAGTAATTATTATTAAAATTACATTATTATTAAAATAATAATACTTGTTATAATAACGTTATAAAGTTTATTATAATAACGTTATAAAGTTTATTATAATAACGTTATAAAGTTTATTATAATAACGTTATAAAACTTATTATAATAACGTTATAAAACTTATTATAATAACGTTATAATAACGTTGTAATTTATTAAATAATGTTATAACTTATTAAATAACCTTTTTTATTTTTATAAAGTTATTTAGTTTAAGTAACCTTATAAAAGAGGCTTTATTAATCTTAAAAACGGTAAAATCCTTACATTAATACTTTTTTAAACTTAGTTTACACCCCTGCTAGCGCGATACATGTCGTATAAGGCCTTAACTCAACCTTTTAAGACCCTTGTAATTTTAGCGCCAAAATTAGAGCCAAAACAGGTAAAGCGCGAAAATTAAGTAAACTTTGATTACTTAAGACCCTGTAAGTGTCCTTAACTTTCGTTGCCGATCAGGGCCTTACTATTTCCCAGCAGTCATCACATCCGATCAATCAACTCTCAATCGCCAGCGCCTTAACGCCAACAAGCTTCGCGCTTGGCCCGTTACCCTCCGTCGTGACGACCCAATATTCGACTTTGACGCCTCCTTTCGAGACTCGATACACTCTGACGTCGTTTCCCTTGCCTGCTTTGCGCACCGCATCTAGGATCGACTTATACTGACCCTGCGTGTCCCAGTCCGCGGGATCTTGAATTTCAATCTGCGCATTTGACGGGTCTGGATGGTGTATCAACGATGCGAATTCCTCTATAGGCTCAGAAGTTAGTAATTGTACAGAGACCAACGACTAATATCTATTCCTCCACGTAACCTACCTTCGTCTGGTAAACCTTTGCCGCTCTCGTTCCATGCTAGATAGACGGGTACGAACGGCTCGTCTGCATCGCTAACGTAGAAACTATCCTTCGTTGCTTCGTGGATCACGGTGGGGATTTGCGCTCCCTCATCGGTCGTTTTGAAGTCTTGCTTGTTTGCGCTCTGCGTGTTTGTGTATCCTTCGCTCGGGTTTTTGTTCGCCTTGTTTAGGAAGGCCATGTAATCGTCATCGGATGCCATCCTTAATGCTCTGGTTGTGGTAAAGTTTCTTAGGTTACCGACCGATCGAGGGAAGCGTATGTTTTGTAGAGTAACCGTATTGGTGGAGGGCAGCCAGTTAAGTTGATTTCCTTCTGAGATATTAGTGGTACGACACGACGCTGTAGCTCTCTTTGTTAATCGACTGCTATATCGATAAAATGATCTAGAGCTGACGCTATGGTTTGAAAGTAACGTCAATGACATTGATCCAGATATCCGATAGACAGGTAGATAGAAACAAAAAAAAAAAAACAAAAAAAAAAAACAAAAAACAAGCTTGCAAGGCTGTCTTTGTCGCTAGTTACATCATAGCCCCCGAGGAAGCGTACATGTACCTATCGTATAGCAAACGCCCCTTTTAATACATATCTTTTAATATTCCTATTTTGTACCTCCTGTAGGTGATGTAGTTATGCAATTGTAATAGTTGAAGGATTCCATGATTGTTGGCCGGACATGTATTAGCCATGTATAGAATCATTAACAGTCGTTAGTTTCTGCTGGATGAAGGTCAATAAGAAAATGGTTATTAAAAAGTTTACTCAACTGTCTCATTATCAATACGTTATTGCCTCGGTTTATTGACATATGCCTTTGTCCTAAATATATGTATACAGTACGCCCCCTGTGATAATGTTATTCAGCGGACCCCTAGAGCTACTTCGCTGAGATCCTGAAGCGTATATCTCTATAAGTGCACATCCGAAAAACCAACATTATTTCAGGGGGTGAACTGTACGTTATATATTTATATTAGGTAGTTATCTAGTCCGGACATATTGAATTTTCCATCGTATAATCAACTAGCTAGTGAGTTTACGTCTAGCGATTAAATAGTTGACCTGCTACTGGCGACGTTGAAACTGAACTCTAAAGTAAGTTTTCATAGCTGCGCAACAACTTAAATCACTTGAGTAAACACGTGAAGAGTTCGTGATGCCCCGGCGCGGTGTAATTTGGCGGATCGGACTACCCGAAAACCATAACTTTAGAGCAGCATTACGTCTCCTGATGAGCATAGAGAATAGGTACATGTGAGCATCATGAGAGATGTATTTACATGTACAACTATGTAAATCGGCAAGGATTTAGCTCAAGTAACATGTTAGTATAATGCGCACTTTCTGTCATCTTAGCTCACCAGTTACAAGTAAGGTCGAGCTACTAATGGGGTATGTGTCTACTTGGCTTAATGTTACTATAATTTAGTTACTGTATACCTAGGGGACTACGATGGCTTGTCACGAACGTAGAAAATACGCATCATATGGCTTTTACTTCATGCATTTGTTCATTAACTTCTTTTGAGTCTCAAATGCCAACCCTAGACCATGCCCATCGCAGTAGCCGAAAAAGGGAACCAGGAACACCGATGCAAAGACAAGATACAAGGAGACGTAAATCTCTCTACGAGCTCTGGAGGACGAGATCCTTCTTGAGCGTACCCTGGTACTGCTTCTTCTCGGCAGGCGTCTGGAAAGCACCGTGACCAAACTCGGAAGATGTGTCGATCCATTTCAGCTCCACCTTCTCCAGTGCCTTTCTCGAAGTGTGAGTGAACATGGACTTCCTTAGCGTCGTAACACGCTTCTTGACACCAGGAACGGAGCCCTTGACCATGACGAAGTCGTTCTTGATCTCACCATATCGGACGAAACCACCCAGACTATGCCATACATGTTAGCGGAATCCTAATATATAAAAATTGGCTGTGACTTACGGAGTGATGGTCTTCTTGGTGACATCTTGCTCAGTGGAGGCGTTAGCCTCATCGTCGCCCTTACCGATACGGTAAACCTTGTGGTTGACCGAGGTACGGTGGTGGTAACCCTGCTGACCAGCACGGGCAACAGTCCACTGGACGTGGGAAGGATGCCAAGCACCGATACAAGCGACCTTTCGGAGACCCTTGTGAGTCTTACGCGGCAGCTTCTTAGTACCCCATCGGGCGGTAACACCGTTGAAACCGTGACCCTTGGTGACGGCGATAACATCAATCACCTCATCTTGCTCGAAGATGGTGTCGATGCTGACGGGCTTCTCGAAGAGACCGTGGCCGAACTCGACCTTGTCGGCAACGGAGCCACCGTTGATCTGGATCTCCATAAGGTGGGCCTTCTTCTGCTTGAGGGGAGTCTTTCGGATCTGGGTGTGGGCGAGGACACGAACGACGGTGCAGTACTTCTTGATGCGCTCGAGCTCGCGGGTGATGGAAGCGCCGTTGCTCTCTGAGTGCTTCTTGGCGTACTTGGTGAAAGCCTTCTTCTTGCTCTTGTACCAGTTCTTGTAGAATCGGCGCTTGACTTCGTCGCTCAAGTGCTCGGCCCACACGGTGGTGAGTGATCGGAGACCGCGGGGGGTCTCAATGTAGCCCACAAGACCAACAACGATCATCTGTGAAGATGTTAGCCATAGGCGCAAAGCCAAGCGGGCTGCGTTGTTCGTACAGGTGGAGTGTCAATAATGGTGACTGCCTCAACAACCTCCTTCTTGTGTGCCTTTGCGCCGGGTCGGTCGAGGTCACGAACGATCGTGGTCATACCAGCCTTGTAGCCCAGGGCGGCAGTAAGGTGGACAGGCTTCTTAGGGTCATCCTTGGGGAAGCTGACGGAAGCAATCGTAAATTAGTATCAAATTCAAAGTACGAGGTTTATTTTGCACGACTGCGATTTGATGAAATTGGTGTCAACTTACGACTTTACCTTGCCGCGATGACGGGCAGCACGCTTTCTCGGCAAGAAGGCGAGAGAGCCGTGGCGGGGAGCCTCGAACTTACGGTGCGACATCTTCGATTGATCCTTTGTTGTTAAAAGGAAGAAGTCAATCGACAGGTCGTGGGTGGGAGGTTTAAAGGATAGAAGAAAATGTTCGATATTGAGAAAAGCTCAATCTTTTTTTTTTGGGTATTTGGGTAGTGGGTAATGCAAAAACCTGTGGGCTGTAAAATCCCGGCAAATAACCGAATGTGGGAGGAAAGGCAAATAGAGGAACCCTAAAGCTCGGACCATATATGTAATTAGAGAGCTTTTCCAACCCCACTAAAATGATCTTCAAGCTTTTGTTAACGAATCATTTTTTAAAGGTCCATTTCCTATTACGAGTACCTAGGTAACCTACTACGTACATATAGGTATATAGAACTTGCGGGTTATCATCATATCGGCAGTGCACGTAGGTCTGGGGCGAAATACTTTAGAAAGGATTTTTGAGTTTATTGAACCGATAAAGCACATGTTTAGAAACGATAGACAGACTTCTTCTCGCCTTGCCAGTATCTAACAGAAGGCTGCTCGCCAACTCGGCCATTGATATACATAGGTAGCTTTGAAATAATCCTGAACAATGAAATGGTATGTATCGAAGCTCAGCATTTGTTGGCTTGTTACCAAATGCTGCCGTCTTTCTTTCCTAGGCGTTACCCTCCGCTTTAGGTGTAGGTCCCATTATTCCATTGATGCTGGCGCTGGTTGGTGTCGTATTCTTTAAGTCTCCAGATGTTGAGCCCGGCCCCGATACCGCGCCATTAACGCCCACCTTCTTCTCTTCTTCCCCACTATCGTCGTAATCATCATCAACATCCATCTTTCTGGCAGCCCGCTCTGGTTCATTTATCTGTGATGGGGTAGGAGCTGGTGGATGCTCGAGTCTCTGCCGCTCATCTTGGGGGTAGTCTTTTGGGGCAGGGCTTGGCTGCGATCCGTCGTGAATTAAGCCTGGCAATGGAGGAGGTGGACCCTGCTGCATAGGAGGTAGATGGTTTGGCATTGCGTGTGCTGGTGGATGATGAGCGGCATCTGATGGATGATAACTTTCGGTCGCATGCCGTTGCTCTTCAACACGTCGCATTTCTTCGAGTCGTCTTTGTTCGTCGACGCGTCGCTGCTCCTCAATGCGCCGTTGTTCTTCAAACTGGTGAGTATTAGGAGAACGACGGTAAGGATCCCGCGGTGGAGTGGATTGTCGTCGGTGACGTATATCTTCCATGCGAGCCCGAGTCTCCTCGTTCGCAGGTTTTTTTATGGCAGGCTCGTCTTCCCACTCTCGCATCCTCTTGGGCGCTACTGAGGACGGTCTATCGTGATCCCGATGAATATCGGGTCCAATTACCCCTTTTGGGTGAGGGCCTGGTTCCATATTGCCCGGCATTCCCGGCTCTTGCTGGTGAGGAAACGGGGGTTGATGCTGAGGGTAAGCCGATTTTGGTGACGGCATGCGGTTGTCATGGAGGAGTCTTGGTTCCGAACGAGGGGAACCATTACGGTAAGGCATTAGAGAGTGCGGCGGGGCGCCATTAGGCGGGCCATTCGTGGGACCCATGTTTGAGGAAGGTGCTGGCGTATAATTCGGATTATTAACTCTAGCCGGTCCTTGTGTAGGCGGCGGAGGGGGTTGCTGCGACGGTCCTGGTAAAGGGGGTGCGTATTGGGTGGGTGGGCCTGGAGAAGGACCTCTCCGAATCGGTGCTGGACCTGGACGGCTTGACTCTCCGTACTGCCTCATCTCTTGCCTAGGGCTAGGCTGTCGCGGGAGTGGAGGTGGCGGCCCGCGAAAGGGCTCGCGCTGCTCATAGGGATTAGGTGGTTGTGGTGGGTTGATATCACTGGTTCTTTGGCCCCAACCGTTGGCTGCGGCAGGCCCCGGGGGCGGTCTGTGAGGGCCGGGTCCGGATTGCTGCATTGGAGCAGAGCCAGTCCATGCAGGCGCCTGTGGTCCCTGAGCGCCGTAGGATTGGGGATGGACGTCAGTGGGCACAGCTTGTGGGAGGCTTCCCGGAGTTTGACCAGCCCTTAGAAGCTGAAGTCTCGCCTTAATGTGTGGGTTAGCGGGATCCAATTCGGCGGCCCTCTGGTAGGCGTCTAGAGCGTCATTGATCTGGTTGTTACAAGATTCATACTGGAAATATTCGTCAGCTAGGTTGTACCTATGGAAGACAGCAAACAAAACTTACTAGAGTACCCAGATCATACCAAACTTCAGATATATACGGGTTCAACCTAATCGCCCGAGAATATGCATCTAAAGCATCGCGGTACTGATTGATCTGGTAATATAACACGCCAATGGAGCACCAGAATGTAGGGTTCCGTCCGTCACGATACACCGCTTGCTGGTATGCTTCATACGCCTTGGGATACTTCTGCTGTGACATGTAACATCGGCCAAGGAGGTACCAGCTTTGGGCGTCGTTATTGTCTGCCACGTGTGAGTTAGAAATGCACAAATTTCATACTATATATTTAACCATGACTTACCCGCCGCGACAGATTTCTCCAGGTACTCGATAGCCCGTTCCTGGGTCTGAAAGCTACTGCTTTGCTGATGATGGAGCCAACCCAATTGCTGCAGGACCTTGGCATGGTTCGGGTCACGTTCAAGGACACGCATATAGGCTGCCTTAGCACTATCATACTACATAGGGGTTAGCGTATACTCCAATCATACAATCAACCAGTACCTACATCTTTCTGCTGTTCATGAACATGTCCAATTTGGAACCAGATATCTTCTTCGGTCAATGGCGGCGGCGGAGAGTTTACGATATACTTGAAACACTATAATGGGTTAGAATCAAGTGGGCCAGCGCTAATTAATGGACTATACTATACCTCTAAGCTTGGGCCGTATTTTGATTGTTGTTTGTAAATTATACCAAGCCGGAAATAAATCTCGTTTGCCTTCTCGAAGTCTGGCTGCATTTGCATGACCTGCGAAAAAGCTTCTTCGGCATGGTCGAGAGAACCATATCTATCGTATAAAATACCGATGCCATACCACAGCTTAGGTTCCTATTACATGTTAGCTGGGCAATAGACAAGGGGTTCAAAGCTGTTGTTTACTTTAGGGTTCGGCAAATTAACCAAAGCAGATTGATAAGCAGCATAAGCTTGCTGCAAATCGTCCATCATAAGGTAGCAATGCCCTGAGACCGAGTGTTAGCTAAGTTAATATATACGTGTGGATATAAAGTTGAATATACCTAGGCTACCCCAGACTTCGCCATTGTTTGGATCTATCTTCAGTATACCTTGCAAGAACTCTACCGCCTTATGGAAATCCTCACGCGTCCTCAGGATTAGGCTGATTGCATTCATCGCGGGGATAGAGCTCGGGTTCGCGACCAACGCGTGCTCGTAGGCGTTCATGGCTTCGTCTAGGTTGCCAAGGAGTTCAGAGAAACTACCTATATAAATTATCAGTTAACTGCACCCAGTGAATGACGCTCTCGTATTACACTCACCAATCTGCATCCAGAGTGCTTCATTAACCGCAACAATATGTCGCGACGGAGCCCATTGACTCCCCTGGGCCGGGCCGGGAGGAGCAACAGCTACTTGCGGGCCATGGTGCTGCATTTGCATCGCCATCTGTGGCGACGGGTGGTGATTTGCCATAGATATTTCGACTTGTCAGCAAAAACCGCCTCACCGAGGCGCTTAGGTGTTTTCCAGCTTCGGTAAAACACGAAACTAGATTAAAGCCTTATGATGCGAGGACTCGTTTGCGACGTAATTATGCTGATAGAAAGTACCTAAATATACGCAGTATCAAGATAGGCAAAAAGCGAATTAAAACTTGAAAGCGTAATGCGCAAGCGCTTAGAAGCTAGTGATAAACTGCTGGTTATATTGTTGCGGAGTGTGTCCCTATAGTTTCGACGGTCGCAAGGTCGTAAATAATGACTTGGCCCGGGCAAGAGCGCTTAATACAAGCTGCTAAGTACTAAGCAGTATAATAACAGTGTATAATATGTTCGGATCGCGCCCAAGCGGCAAATAACGTCGACAAACGACAAGTTTAATAGTCGGGACGGAATAGAAAGAGAATGTTGAATATGAGGCTCAATCTTTGTCTTGATGACCTATTTGCTTAGGGGAGGGGAGAATAAGCGGTGGAGAGGCTGGACGGTAGACGGGAAGAAGAGAAGAGTTTGGGAGAAGACCCAAGGAGGATTTCGATGGACAGCAGCTACCCTAACCCACGATAGCACCTGCAATATTTAGGTAGATAGAACTAGCATGGGAGTAATATGTGGGGCAAGGAACGAGTGTTCCTAGACCTAGAAGTCGTCTAGGCTAGGTAACTACAGTGTATACGGTAGTATAAGTGGGCCACATAAGACGTGCAGGTAATACGAAGCCCACTGTTCTTTTAATCCAGCCCCAATGTTCCCTATACTTAATTTTCTCACTTTACTCAGCTAAGTTGGACCCTTATTGCTTCTTCGCATCCTAAAATACCCCTACACGCATACATCTCACACAGCTTCGTTGCGATCTTTACAGTATTTGAATTACATAGACGATGCTTTAGGTACTTAGTTAATATGTGTTTCAGCACTTTAACAGCTTGCGGATACCCAAAGAGAAACTTAATTCGAGTCTGTTAGAGCACGTCAACTTAAGCAACATATAAATACGTACGGGTAGCACTCGCACTCGGGTACTCTGAGTTATTTTTCGCTGCTGAAATAGATAAAGTTATTTTCCCTTTTTATCTTCTTCCGTGAGTGGCATATATTTAGAGTATGCGTCGTCATTTGTTGCGGGCGCTTAAATATCCTTCTTTTTTAAGTTTATACCAATTAATGCTAAAATTGCAGTCCTATTGACACTTTTTATTGTTGGGATGTTTGGAGCAAGATTTAACTAGGTATTGCCCGAGATCACGGCGCGGCTAGGAAAGCCGCTGTAAGTAGACAGTACGTTTTAACCTTATTGAAACCAAACTCTGCAATGATGGTTCCTGCAAGGAAGAAGGGGAAGGGTACGAATTAGTTACTTTGCGGAAACCTGGACTAAGGAGCGGGCAAAGTTCCGAAACTCCTACAAATTTGGTCAATCCCCGGTGGTAGCGGCTCGGACGGATTCGCTCTTACCTTGCCGCTTGGCATGGGCGAGCCCCAGAGAGGAGGGTTGCTTGGAAGGCAAGGTACAGGGTTTGAGAAAGGGCGGGTGTGGATGGGTCATATTGCGGCTTGGCATTCGAACCGCACACCCTCCCATGTACATATGTACATTACATACCTAGATACTTCATAGACCCGCACCTGGGCAATGGGGCAATCCTCATTGCGTACTACATATACATACCTAACACATTACCACAATACCACATACCACATACTACATAGTACGTACGTCGCAGACGAGGAGGAAACCCAAGGGGAAATCAATTTAATTTTTTTCTGAAGAACGCTTATCTCTCTGTCGGAGTATTTATCCTCGTCGAAGCTAATCTCACGAAGATGGCTTGACGTACAGGATCGAATTACCCAAGACAGTTAAAACAAAACCATGTCTTAACAAATTCCGACGTTTTGGCTTGACACTTGTCAAACATACAGGCCACAACCACGCACTCGTCCGTAGCGTGCTGACACTCGTTGATATTTTATTATTACGAGTGCGAATTGTAAAACGGACCAGGCATTGCAGAGGTCAGGCAGTGGCCATTTAACGTCGAGGATCCGCGTTCGAGCTCATATTTTGAACCTGTTGTTGGACAGACGTACTTTTAACAGTATTGGTCAACTCGAAACAGTGGGTCACCAACACATCAAGTAACTTGCCATTGCCGAGTTTTCGTCATTGCAAATCATGCGGAAGCTCATATATATCATCCCCGTCCTTGAGCTTATATCTGAATGTCGAATCATGAATAACTACCCAAGGTCAAAACCAGAGACACGCTACCAATATTGACGAGTTTGAATAATCGTGGGTGATGGATGGTAACATCTCAAAGAAAAAAAAAAAAAAAAAACTGGACAAAGGTTTGCGAGGCTATTATGGGTTTTTTTTGTTACCGGATTGTGTCAGCAAGGAAATTGAGGTGGGAATAGCCAAGCGACCAATCTCGTCATCTCCCGAAGATCGAGGGTGAAGAAACACCGACAATGTGGCACCAATTTTTCTCAGATTTGGGGGAAACGAGAAAGATAATACCATGGTGGCCATTCCCGTTGAGGTAGTGTTGTTGTTGGCGCTAACGCGCTTCTAGAAAGCCCACGTGTCATAACAAGAAGGGGCTGGAATCTGTTCGTGACCTTTAAATGCTGTTTGGGGCTTATTACCTACTTTGTCATAGTGTCCCTCCCGAAGAATCCTTCAACCGCGCAACCTTACTAAACTACTTTATTTGTTTCATCACCTCGGGCTTTTCCTCGTCAACTTTACCCTGCTCCGCCTTGGGCCTCCTAACTTACCTACTTGGGTACTAGGTACTACCACATTAAGCAACGGTAGTCGACCCTATCAGAGCCATGTTTCAAGCCTGCTATGAAATCATCGCGCGTACCTGAGTACCTGAGTACCCTGAGTACCCTGAGTGCCTTTCTTAGTCAACACGCTACCCACGCAACCACGCAGCCACGCATTAGGTAGTTTTCGAAAAGCAAGTCGGGGGAGTGGGGTTTAGTAATGGTCCTTGGACAGGATTATCTATTCATGGGGTTCATGAGTCGGGATGTCAGGGTGTCGCTTTTTCGATAATCTACTTAGATTGATTAATCATTTGGAAGATGGCCGGTTGGCTGATCACTACTTGTGTGATCGTCATCGCCAGGCAGTTAAAAGGAAGCTTTCTCCCGCGACCTGCACGCAGTACATAACGCATGCAATATGTGATTGCCCGGCATAAGTGTCCACGGAGTGGGTGTTGGGATCTATCAATGGAGAGGGAGTGGACGGATGATACTGCAGCTATGGTTGCACAATGGGCGAGTTGGTTCGAAGCGCCCCAGGAAAAGAGAGGCAAGTTAATAAAAGAGTGGGAGAAGAGGGGGGAACGGTCGAGGGGGCGTGTCGTAGCCGGTGTGACTTTTCCCATTGCCCATTTATGTACATCCATATACCTACCTAATACCTTACATATGCGGGTTCAATACCGTATTTCGGTCCAACCCTTTATTATTAGTTCAGCCAGATTAAGGCCAGTGGAATGAAGAGTACAAAGGTACGAAGCGCTAGATATGTGTGCTGCATCTCGCGCATATGCAGCCGTTGGTTGCGTGGGCTATTATTCGCCAAGAGAGCAGCGGTCCGTACGGTTGACGTGCCACACCTCCAGATACAGATCACCCTACCACCCGTGTGAATGGAGCTGTCAACCCTGGCTAACCGTCCTGCCTGCTTGCATCGGGGCCCCGGTGGTCTAGTAATGATGATGATGGTGTGCTTTAAAACTCACAGGGTATGTACTTGTCCTGCGTCGCCTAGGCACACCTGGGCTTCTCCTGGCACACCTCCGGATATAAGTCACGTACCGAAGTAGGTAGGTTACCTAGCCCCATGTGTACGTACATAATCTGCAAGCGCCTTTTCATCATGACCGCTCCGCGGGCTGACGATGGTGGCAGCGATTTATTTCGGGACGGCCTAGCATTAAACAAGCAAGCAAGCAAAACCGATCGGCCACGGACTATACTGCCTACATATTGCAGCTGATATGGGGTTAGACCCCTGCTGTTTTGGCATATATATGCATTCCCGCCTCGTTACTTTGCTTAGGCGAGAGTACGAATAGAGCAAGATTTTTCGCCGCATCTCAGTTAGAGAGAACCTCACCAAATCTTCTACCGCATTTGGCGCTTGTATTCCCTCAATCTGCAACTCTAAAGTTGATATTGTGACTTTGCAAATGCTTAGCCAGCCAACGGTTAAAGGGACGACGCTTACCGACCGATGAGCAAGCTCGACCTATAGGTATTGTTCATGAACTATTATGCGAAATAAGCAGATATATAAGCAGATATGTGGACGTTGGTTTGCGGCGTTCGCTTGCTGCTTGCTAGAGAAGGAGGAATGTGGGTTGAAACATGGCCGTCTTTGTTTTAGTATTATTTTAGTAAAGCCCGTGGGTTGGGCAAGGTGGACGGGAAGAGAGGGCGGACTGTCCCAAGTTCCGCTAGCACAGCTGGCGTAGGAGACGGACAGCCAGAGAAAATAGGATTTTTTCGGAGTGTACAGGGGCTTACACGGATCGAAACGTTTTAAAGTACAAGTGTACTGTGGTAAGCACTCTTCATTGCATTGATGTTCTGCATGTTCTGCATTGTACAGCGTAGCTCCCGAAGAGAAAAGCGTGAGATTTGCCGATTTGCACACTCGTTCAAAGTCACATGTAATGGACCTGAATGGCTTCGGGGATAGTGTGCGGTGCGACTCACACTCGAGCGATACGTGTGCACATGTACTCAGCCGATCCGGTTGTACTCAGATGCAGTGGAAACCGATTATGATGAGACAATGTCCAAGGGTGTCAATGTCCAAGGATGTGTACCTGTTTGAGGTTTCCCCAAATTGACGTACGGTATAAGCCACATATTATCCACTATTATTAGGATCCACTCTTGGTGCAACCCGCCCGACTTGATCTAGGCAAGCCACAATGCCACATCTCAGAGCCACGTTACAGGTATTAACCTTTTGCGCTACCTGCAGGTGGGTTTTAGACATCCGTATTTAGACGAATTAGACAGGGTCTAGATTGGGTTTAGCTTAGGTGAGGACTTAAACGCCGTCACTTAGGTACATAGTAACCTACTATAGTACTGACTAAGACAAGAGGATTTCTTCTGTGTTCAACAGTCGTCAACAGTTCCGAAGTCGTCTCATGGTAGTACATGTAGACATATGTATTTATGATATGAGGATATATATATAGGGGGAGGAATTACCCATCATGAATTAAGCAATTTAAAGCTCTCTACTGCCGAATCCACCTCTTGTCTTGTGGGCTTGGTGATTGATATATGTGTAAGACATGGCTTCGGCACAGCCCTAGTTCGTTGAAATATTGGCTAAAGATTGTTTAACGGTTGTTCCCTTTCTTTTGTGGAAACCGCTAATCTACTTAGGCACTTACTATATAAACTAAAGACATAGTATTTGACTCCTAAATAATTATAACTATTATATATATAAGTATATATATTCGCCTACCCCCTTTATTCGTTGTTCTTAAACTTATTGCGAAGCAGGATTCCAGTGGAGCGAGTTTGTACGATACTCTAGGCTATTGTATGCTACGCGACAGCATATATCCGTCTGTGGGTGGTATACTGTAAATCATATACGTGGACAGTATGGTATGTGATGACATATCGTATTACCCAAATGCTAAGCAGTGCTGATATTATATCTATCGTAGAATTGACATATAATGCTGTAAGTCAAGCTCGGTTTATAGTCCTCGACAAAACCAAACGGGAATCTTAACCGTAGCTTGCTGAACAGCCAAACTGAACCCGACAGCTATCCGGCCATCATGTGAACTACACTGCAGCCGGCACCTCGATATTGCTCAATTAGGGATACTTCACTCCCTAAACTCGAAACCCAGATGCCTCATCCTCTAATGCCGACTCCGAACTCGCAAGTGCTCCCAAAAGTAGAAATACACGCGTATTCGGACATAAGGCAAAGGGGGTGTTTCGGGATCCAAACACGAGAGCCCCCCGCCAGCCCCCGCAGAAAATTAAACGCTTTAAGAGTCGCTCTTATCGGTATGATCATGATCAGGATTATAGTTCGTCTCTCCTAACACGGTGGTCGGCTGTGATGTCATCGCAGCCTGAGCGTTCGGCTGCTGATGCGTATGTACCCCCGAGCCGCCTGGCTGGTTAGGAGGTTGTGATTGACTTCGTGAGCCACTACTGGGTCCCGCAGTTGCAGCATGGAGACGTTGGTCAAGGACTTTTAGGGCCAAGGCCCTCCGTCTTTCAGCTTCAGCCCTAACACCTCCATGACCGCTACGTTGTATAAAGTTACCTCCTTGCGCGGCGGATATATCAGCCTGTGAGAAAGGCGTGCATATCCTCATTGCTACCAACAGGTTGAAAATCGGCTCGGTAATCGCGGCAACGAATGGCTTAACTGGTCCCGGGAAGAATTCAGCAAAGGCAAACGTCTCGCTCGCATCCCCGCGCATAGACGCCGGTTGCGAAGAATCAAGGTCTGGGAAAATCGTCTTATAGAATCGTAAATACGTCCAACTAGCAAGGAGACCGAATATGGATAAGAACAAGGAAGCGCTCGTGAGCAACGGAGTCAAAGATAACACGGCAACAATGCCGATGTAGATGAGGGGAAACTTCGGTACGCGCAAAGAGAGAACACCTCGGAAGAGAGTAACGGTATGCGCGGGAACGAGTTGGCTAAAAGCGACAAGAAAGGAGATCTGAAGGGGTATCGTGCCAGCAATAGTTGTCAACCTGAATTTTCTTGTTAGCACTCCTAGCTGCATGTAACAAAATCCTAGGATATCCGGGGAGGAACGGGACTTACGTCCATCTCTCGTTGCGAGTGATAGTGAACAGTGTGACAAGAGTCAGAAAAGTTAAAGTATTGGGTATCAGGGATGCCACAAGTAGAAATTTAGCAAATTCCCTTGAAGACCAAGCTCTCTCCAAGTATTTCCCTCCATGATAAAGGGTCAGACCAGCGATCGCTAATGTAAAGATATTGTTCTCAACTAGAGTAGCCGTTAAGAACGTCCAGGGATAGAATAGCGATAGTTGAGGTATGAGTGTCAGCCATTCGACGACGATCTCAGAATGCGCGGACCACTGGCGGTAGCGCACGGCAGCACTTAAGACGGATTGTAGAAGCAACACCACAAGTACCACTCGGGTGACAGGTGGGATGTTTAGTCGCGGAGGCATGACGGCGGTTTGGATATAGGAATTTGAGCTTCGAGGTAGAGTTTGAGAGATGTCGGTTTTTCGGGGTCGCGTCGAAGCCGCACATCACCTTAGGTACGAGGTTGTGGACTTAACCTAGTTTGGTAACGGCTGATGTGGCCAGTGCTTTTCCCGTCAGCCACGATTCTTAGTAAGCGACCCCTTCCGCAAGGAGAGGTAGCCAAGCTTTAGGTATATTACACTAGATAGGATGGATGCCCTGTGCTTTAAATGGAAAAAACATCAAAATTAACCTTCACGGATGTGCCGCTTCCTGCCTCCGGTCAGGTACCGTAAAAGTACCTAGGTACATATACCATATCAACACGATACGAAACAAAGCTTCAAGCTGTTATTAACATGGCCAAGCTCTTAGATAGACCCTTAGATAAGTCTCTATAGATACTTGCACGCAATATTCATCCATCCATCCGCCTCCGGTTTTACCGATCCGGGAGCGAGAGAGATTCATACGTGTGCGTGACCTGAATAAAGTACCGAGTACCTAAGATAGATTAGCCCCGGCCTCTAGGGCCACGAATTTTCTGCAGGGGAGCAAGGTTCGAAAGGGTTTCGACTGATAAAAGCCGATGATGTGTAACTCGTGGAACCCATAGATTACACGTCCTCCTCATCCTAGTGCAGGCACATGCATACAGGTATGTATGCTGCTGTATGTATGTATATGATTTGCAGCTTCATAATAGGATAATCCATTGAACCATTTAAGAATATTAAGTCTCGTGTGCTTTGGGCGGTAGGTGATGCTACTATTGCGGATTTTGCGGTCATGGTAAAAGGCTTCGAGGAAGTAAAATAGGACTAACTTTCTCTATCTCCTCTTCGCCTGTACTAACCTAGTGTAAGCATCTTTAACTTTTAGCGCTGTCGTATATTTACTATGGTAGGTATTACGGTAGGTATTATGGTAGGGATTGTTGGTGATGCCGGAGAGGCACAATGCTATTTTCAATGCACTAAGCCTCAAGCGGATAAGGCGATTCGCTAGTCGGATGGTAAAGTCTTGAAAGATCGTCTGTTTCTCTCGCCTAAACTTGGTACGCTACGACTTTCTCTGGTACGTACTCTTCTCAGCTCTATGTAGAGGCGGCCGAATCTAAACTTCCTTTATACTTATTACGATATACATGCTTGAAATCTATATAGCTGAAATATAGAATTAGTATTGACCTTCGGATCTATTTACATATATAATAGACAAAAAACTCTTACTATAATGCCGGTATATTTCCTTATTGTGTTCCTATTGCATTGAAGCACGACCGATCTCAGTTTTTTTAGATCCTCTCCGATTGCGAATTTCCGGGTGTACCCCAGCCAAGGTAGCCAAGCCAGGATGACGGATTAATAAAATGATAAACCCTGGCAATTACCTGTGGAGCCGTCTGGAGTTTCGCTGTCGTTTCTATTGTTCAAAGGAAAATTACCTCATAGGCTAAGCCGTCTTGTCTCCTTAGCAGAATAGAGTCTAGCCTCTCCATCCATCCCTCCCACCCGACAAAACACCTGCAGCACCAGGAAACGCCCTACCGCTACCGCGTGGATCATCAACAAGATGTGGTCAAAGAATGACACTGAGACACACTGTATGATGAAAAGAAAGCTACGATGCCGAACCTGATTCGGACAGGGTTTCCATTTAAGTAACATGCAGCAGAGCTATGTATGTATTTTGACAATGCAATTTGATCAAGACTGTTTGCATGGTACTATGTAAAAAATGGGGGTCCTTTTTAAATCCCTTTTGAGGGAGAAAGGGTTCAGAGAGGGTTCGACTAATAAATCGACTTCAGTACATACCTCTAATGTCCAGTCAAAATCTTGCAGCGGAGCAACAGCCCTACCTACACTGTACAATCAAAGTCGCCCCGAAGCAGGCCCCTTGCACTCTCACTCTCAGAGATTTCCAATTCAACTCTCGACCCCGTACGCTGTTATGAGGTAGCTAGGTAAATTAACTACCTAGGCGAGTTAAATGTGTAAGCCGTTTGCGCTGGTTCTACGTTGATAACGCTTCGTTTAGGCGTTTTATTTTAAAGTCGGTCGCCGTCTGTACTTCACTAGGTAGTACATACATAATGTACCTAATATACCTGCATACATCCAATATGTAGATACCTAGGTACATATGTAAGTTGTTTAGGTAGTTCCATACATACCCTGTAGGTACCAAGGTAGGCTGTAGCTCCCCCAACTAGTAGCAACGGCGTGTAGGGTATGTACTTAAGCACTCCGTACTAAGATGGATTTGGCTTGGATCTACTAGGAAGGCAGTACCATAGTAGCTTAGCCCCTGCCCGTGGATGCATCTCAATCATTCAAGGCCTGACAACCAAAATCTCGTTGTCTTCTTTCCTTCACCATCCTCATGAAAAAGAGATCAAAATACCGCCTATCCCCGTACACGGACACCACTATTCGATCTATTAGATATTGTAGCATCATACTCCTTCATATAGCCCCTTGTTTGCGACCATGAAGGAGTATTTAGACTCTGACCGAGTCAATTTCTTGATTTGGAGGTATGTTTTTCTCACTTGGGTATCTCCGTTTTTCTTCACACACCAAGGTGCCTTGTGCCTTTTTCCGTACCCCCGTTACTCCTGTGCCGTCGCTTTCTACCGGGTCATTGACATGAAATCGCAGATATTTAATAGAAGGCAGTACGTGTTTCTCATAACGCCATCGCGCACCTCACACATCTCAAGCTATGCGATGATGTGTGAGTGTGTATGTGTGTGCACACAGCGGTGACGTTGCTATAGACGGCCGCAGTCAAATTAACCTGAGGTTGCAGATTATCGAGAGACAGCCGTCAAGTTCCAAAAAGAGTGGCAGGTCAAGGAACCTCACCGACAGCTACCTTTCGCGCAACATGTCAAAAGTCATGCGCTAGTCAATGTCATAAACAAGGGTCTATTGTATAACTCGTTAGAAAGAGAGCATGCACAATCGCAACAGGTATGTGGATGTAAAAACTGAATTCGCCCTAACTATCTTCTATGTGAGGTGCACTGCGCGCAACAAGTCTCCAACACGGGTTGTGATGGAGTCAAAAAGAAAGAAAAAATCATTTGCTCTAATTTTGTCTAGAATTCGGCCAGATGGGCACTGACAGGTTTCTTCTGCGTAGTTATCCCGTGATGCCACCGCGGCGGCAGTGGCCGAGGCGATGCAACTAGGTATTTTTGGTCCACTGCAACTTGCAGGTCCACCGCTTCACCAGCAGGAGAAACAGCAGCAAACGGAGGAAATGGACCAGGATGACGAGGCAGAAACAGAAACAGTAGCTGCAACAACAACTACGTCCGGTATTGATGCAGAAAACAACCGAAAGCGTCAAATTGAAAGGCAATCACAAACGGCGCTTCTGAATGGCTCCCCAGCTAAGCGACCAAGACTGAGTAATGGGTACGAAAATGGGGTGGATGCAGCCACAACTCCGATGGAACTTGACGGGCAGAACGACGACAACCATGCTTACCCTTCCCCCCAAGAGGGCGAGCAGGCGCCAACACCAACTCCCCGAACTGACGGACCCGACCAGGGCACACAGGTCGACAAAGTCCAGGAATTGGCTACCGAAACCACATTTATCCCCCTAGGCTCTGGTCACGACGATGCGCCAACATCTTCACCTACCACAGCATTGGCAAGAATCAATGGCGAGAACGCGCCTGTGCTACTGCATTGTCAGTGGCATCCCCGAGATCCCACCATCTTGGCGGCTGCTGGAACCGATGCGCTAGCCCGCATCTGGAACGTTTCTCGTGGAGCCACAACCGACCCTGCATTCAATGGTCACGTGAATGGCGCCGTTCCAAGTTTCCACTCCCTAGTCGAAGACGATATCAAGTCTACGGCCACAATTACTGCCATGGCCTGGAATTGGGACGGGTCTACTATTGCTATCGCTACAGACTCGGATTCGAAAGCTCGAATTGACCTCTGGACTTACGAAGGTGCTCATCTACAACGTTTCGAGGTTGCCGAACCTCCCGTCTTTAAATTGCGCTGGAATCCTAATAATACAATTATCTTGGGCATCGCACCAGATAACGGCGGCGCTTTAATAACTATTTATCATGCCTTATCGAATAATACACTGACATATTCCCTCCCACGACACGATCTTGATTCGGAGCCGCTTGATGCTGCATGGATTAGCGAATCCGAGTTTCTAATAGGTGGTGGTGACTTATTAATGGCTTTACGGTGTGCTGATGGGGAAATTGCTGAAATCCGAAAGTTCGACACTCGCGAAGGTGATACCTTGACCCAAGTCCAATTTGACTGGAAGACATCGCTGGTAGCTACTTGTGGGGAGAAGGGTTTTATCGACGTAAGTAGTTCCCTCCAGACGAAATTCGACAGCTTTCTAACGGATGCACTATTAGATCTGGGACAGCAACGGTAAACGGCGTGAGATAGAAGCTCACTACGATGCGGTCACGGCGTTAGCTTGGCAGCCCTTGCAGCAGACGCCCCCGGATGACGAGCGGCTCTTGGCTTCTGGTGGCGAAGACGGGGCTATTTTTATATGGAACGCCCTGGCTCTTAACGGGAAAGCGAAATGTTCCATGACCATGGATTCGCCAATCGTTTCGATGGCGTTTACCCCCGATGGTGCATTTATAGCTGTGGCTACGATCGAGAAGATTTTAATCTGGAAGGTCGGTGACTGCAATATTCCCCGGGCAAGTTGGAGCCGAGCGCCCCATCCTGGTTGGCTTAGCCCACGAATGAACTCCGAGTCGGAGAAGGAGGATGAACATTGTTTAGAATGGGATGTAACAGGTCATAAGCTTGCTTATGGAGTCAACAGCCGGGTAAGTCACAATACTTAATTTATTTAGCCCTAAGCTAACAAAAAAGCCAGCTCGCTATTATCAACTTCCGATGATAGACTACAATTATACCTCTGTTACCTCCACTAGCAAACGCATAGAATCACGCTATATCCCAGTTATCGGTGGGATGATAGCGACTATCATAACGTATCAGGATATATCTGTCGGCTCAAGGCCTCGACTGGTTGCTGATAGCGAAAAGTCGCTACTGAAGGCATACCAATATCATACAGCATTTTCGAGTGCAATAACTAGCTCCCACGAAGCTATGGAATCTATGATCTAGTACCGCAGGGTCCAAATACCACTGGTAACGATTTGGGGAAATCAAGGACAGCCGTTCTAGGTTGTGAAACGAATCGTCGCGATAGGTGTCATGGAGCTACTACGGGGACTGTCATTACTGATTATTATGACAAAAACGAGGAGAAGACTCCTGGGTATCGAATCGGCATGTCTGGCTATCTTGGAGGCGGCGAGGCGTTATTATCATATAGCTAGGAGCATTGGGGTGAGGCATTTTTCCAGGGTATACATAAGCCAACGGATTGTCCTTTTTTGTATAAGCACTGCACCCGGCATCCACAGCGAATCCGTGTTAGCGTACGAACTGTGAGAGTCATGTCAGATAATTCTATTATGTCGTTCAAACCTAGCCTAGGTCAGCTCTACGACTTCCATCTCAACAATGTGAAGGTGTGCTTTGCAAACGCGTATTTTCCCTGACCATCCCACTTCCCTTCTGACAAGCTAACCTCTTCCTTGCCCTCTTTATTCGTCGAACTGACCTGAGATCCAGACACGGTATATACAGACACATCGGCACCAACACCCTTTAGCTGGACGGCGAAGTCCTCCGTCTCGCTGATGTTGACAACGGCTAGGTTTACGTAGCCATCGTCCCCAAGAGCGGCACTAACATCGAGCCACGGCGCACCCGTCTCGCCCAGCGTCCCTTGTAACCAAGCCGGCGTCGTCTCCCCCTCGTAGGCGCCGGACCGCACGTGCGTCGCAACAGTCCAGCCGCGCATATACTTACTAAACAGCAGCAGCGGCCACCACGTAGCCTGGCGCACGACGCCATGCTCGTGCGTCATAAGCGGGCTGATAACGTTAACCGTCTGCGCAATGTTCGCCATGCCCACGTACTTGCTCTGCCGCACGAACACGTTCAGCCACACCCCGACGGCCAGCGCGTCGGATAGCGTGTACTGCTCCTCGGCGCCCTTGTCGCCCGGCGCGCGCTCCGGGTCCCACACGTTCCACTCGTCGAAGCAGATGCGCGTGGGCGGCTTCGCGGGAGAGACTCTGTTCTCGATGCGCGCGAGATCGATCAGCGAGGCGGTGATCTGGATGGCGCGCTCGGCGGCCAGGGGCGCCGTGGCGTTGTGCAGGTGCTTGCTCGACGCCGTGTATATGTGGATGCTGTGCATGTCGACCCAGCCGACGCACTCGTGCAAGACGTAGTGGTCCCAGGAGCTCTGGCCGTCCTGGCCGCAGAGGACGAGCTCGATGCTCGGGTCGAGGAGACGCAGGGCTTTGGCCCATTGCACGGCCTTCTTGGCGTAGTCTTCCTTGGTCATCTGCTCGACCTGCCAGGGGCCCCAGACCTCGTTGCCGAGGGCCCAGTACTTGACGCGGTAGGGGTCGGGGTGGCCGTTGGCGCGGCGCAGGTTCGCGTAGTACGTGTCGCGGGTGCCGTTGCAGTACTCGAGCCAGGCGAGGGCCTCGTCGAGGGTGCCGGTGCCCAAGTTGAGGCATAGGTAGGGCTCTACGCGGCGGGGCCTGCCGGCGCCGAGCTTGGCGAGCCAGCGCATGAAGTCGTCGGTGCCGAACTGGTTGGTCTCGGTGCCGAGCCAGGCTAGTTCCGGGCGGGAGGGCCGCTTTTCGCGGGGCCCGACGCCGTCCTGCCAGTGGTACGTGGCGACGAAGTTGCCGCCTGGGTACCGCACTACCGGGATGTCGATCTCGCGGAGAGCCGAGAGCACGTCTGTCCGGAAGCCGTCCTCGTCGGATAGCGGGTTGGATGGGTCGTAGATACCTCCGTAGATGCAGCGGCCCATGTGTCTTAGTTTTTCAGTTGTTAGCCATGTTGTTTGTTGTTATATACCGAATATGAATGTCCCTTACTCGGTAAAGCCGCCATATGTCATAGGATCTATCTTAGACAGGCGCTTGGCTGCGTCTACCTCGATGAGGGGAGTTTCATCTCCGGCGATCTTGGTGAAGGTGGTCATTATGGTTTATTCGTTTGTCTGTTGGGATATTGTTCCCCTTTTTCCTTTTTGACGGCCTCAGACTCAGAGTATAGGAGAAAGGGTCTTAAGAACAAACATCCTCTCCTCTCCAGTCCGGGTTCACTTGCTATTCATATTGTCGTTGGGCTCTCCGCTACGCGCCTCTCCCCTCACGTATCAGGGTCCAGCGGAGACCGGAGCGGGTACGGGAAAGTTGTCCCATTCGGGAGAATCTTGCCCGTGGGAGTCCCGATTGGTGCGCATAATGAGGCGCGACAAGGAGTTTGTTTGATCCCGCGGCTCAGCTCAGCTTTGAAGGAGGTCAGAATGGGAAATCAATAGTTTATTATAGATTTTCCGGGATGTTAGATATTAGGTAGTTACACTCCCAAGGTGATACTTGGATGAGATAGTTGGATGAGATGAACATTTCTTATAGTTAAGGTGAATAGGGTAGGTACTTATATACATTATGTAACTACATACATGCACAGGTTACTAATGTATTCAACTATTGAAACTCGGCTCGCTCCTTGTCAATCCCAATCCCAGATCAGATCGGTCAGTACTCACGTTACCCCGCGGCTACCTAAGATACCTTTTCCCCAAGTACCAAATTATGTACGTCAACTTACCTGCCCCCACATCAAACCCGCAGCACGTACCCGGCACCGCGGGAAGGAACTACTACAGTATCTGGCTTAGGTTTAGATAAGTGTGAAAGTGTGATGTATATGTCTTAGGTAAATATTAGACGCCGGGGCCAACTGCCAACTCGCTACACACTTACTCGCTACTCGCTACCAGCTAACCTACTTGTTACTCGCTATTTGCTACTTCATTACACTATGTACATGCATACATACATCCTTACCTTACCTTACTTACAACCACCTTACTTACGACTTAATCAATTAACCCTCGACATCCCCCTTTCCCCCCATAAAACCACCCTCATTGGGTCAAGCTCCTCGACCACTTATCACAAACTAAACCGTCTTATACATACCTACGTACCTAGTAGTTAATATATTAGGTACATATATACAAAAACCGCAAACCGCCTACATTACCTACCTACTACTACTGACCGACGACACATTTCCAGCATACCGAGACAAGGAACAGAAACGCACATTAGCTTCGCCAGGGCCGCCCCGGTTTCCCAAGAAAAAAAATTAAAAAAAATATCCACCAATACATACATACATACATACATAGGCCTATATTCCGAGTCCAGAGCAGTGGGGGACTAAAGCATTCTCGTCTAGTCTAGTCTGGTCTGGTCTGGTCTAGTTTAGTCTTCTAATCTAATCTAATAATGAGCAATCACCACGTTCCCACCGGCGGCTACACCCCTGGCGGAGCCGTGGGAGTGGGAGTGGGAGTTGGAATTGGAATTGGAGCTGGAGCTGGAGTCCCGGACGACGAGTTCACGGCCGAGATGCGGGACCGACAGGCTCGGGGGAAGGATCCGTACGAGTCATCCGATGCTAGTAGCGATTGGGGTCTCGAGGGGAATAGGAAGTATCGGGCTGGAGGGTATGTTTTCTCTTATCTTATTTACTTACTTACCTAGTGACACTTACTCCTCTCCCCTTTGCTCGTATACGTCACTCGAGAATTCGTACAACTATATACACACACATACATACATATATAGAATACAAACTAACACACCCGTCTCAACTCCAGCGGCAAAGACGAGCCCTACGCCGTACTCGAGCGCCGCCGCGTAGCCGCCCAAGTTCTAGATAGCCCGGAACTACTAATGATGGCAGCGCAGCGGGACAACGAGGTATTCCCCCCCTTTCCTTCTTTCTTACAACCCCTATTTCCTCCCTACCATTGTAAAGACTACCAGTATTCACATCCCCTGTGCTCCGGTTGTACTCTTGCATCCCAGTACCATTTCCTTTCCTAGGTTCTTTCTCTCAGTTTTTACTTCCGCTCCCTTACGTCCCAGTCTCGTGTATTTATTCGCCCCCCCTAACAAGAAACACCCAGAGCATACCGGCTACCCGGCTCCGCTACACCCGCATGCTATGCGGTTTCGAGGAGCCGCCGCAGCCGCAGTCCGCGCGCAAGAAGTCGCACCGCAGCGGCGGTAGTGATTCCTCGCGCGCGCCGGGAGGCTCGACGCCTGGTCGTTCGAGTAGGAAGGAGGCTCGGTGAAGCAGCATGGGCGGTTAGGTTGGCGGCGGCGGTAGAGAAGATCGAAGGGGGGGGGGGGGGGGCGGTGTCTAATTCGATTGTTTGGATAGTTGGGCGTTGCCTGTGTCTGTTGGATTATGATGAGATCTATTAGCTCGACGGGAAGAAATCCGTGGACCCTACATTATATACCTACCTACCTACCTAGTTAGAGGGTGAAAGTTAACAAAAGTAATAAAAGGGGAAAGAAAGGGGGGCGTTATGATGTAGGCACAACGGCGTCGAGAAAATATGGGTTGTCATCTCCTCGAGCAACTATATCTACCTACATATAATATATCACCGGTGAGGAATAGACAACATTTATCCCCGAGGCATTGGGCATTGGGCAGCCAGAATCTTAGCGTAGACGCACGGGGTACCCAGGGAACGGGCCATCTGTGAAGTCTTACTACCATTAGTTACCAAGTACGATAGATTCTTTTTTTAAGTGCGTTCTCCGGGAAAAGCAAAATACCAAGTAAAATCGTCGCCGAATCTGTATAAGTATTAAGATCTACGGCATTACAGAAAGCCTTTACAATAGGAAAGCATATAGAGATGTAGAGAGATATAGAGACAGGACCGGGGGCTTATAGTGTATGTTTATTTGATCCTGGTCATAAGTGTTCGTCATCCAGGGCCGTAGTATTTAACCAAACCCGGGTTCCTCCTCTTCTATCCTTTCCAGAAGCCAAAATTCTGCTGAAATCCAAGCTGATTCGCTTGCTCCCCACAACAGATAATTCCTAGTCCCAACCCAATATGCCAACTAGGTAAGTAAGAACTATAGACCTATACCTGTACATATATACCTAAAAATAATGGTCTCCGATGCTATCCAAACACCAAAAAAATAAGTCCCGAGTTTCGTGGTTGTAAGTACAGTATATGTACCTCAACTAAATGCATGCTCGGCCTAGAACGCCTGAAACACCGCAATATGATAACCCTGTGAATACCCTCTACTTATGATGCCCTACAACTTCTCGGATTTCCCGGTTGCCAGCCTAGGTTCTCCCAACCCGAGCGGCTACGCGTACCGCGTTGTAGGTGCTCTGGGCGCCGCCCACTGATTTTCGCCTTGCCAGGATTGTTGCTGTTGTTGTTGCGGCGGACCTCGATTGTTTCTTCCCGGGGCTGCTGGGGGTGGACGGGAGACTGGATTCGCAACCCATGCACCGCCGGTACCACCAACCCAGCTACTATTCGGTTGAACTGTCTTGGCTATCTTTCTTCTCCGTGCCCTACGTCGGCAAGATGAAAATATACAACATAATATGCAGAGTACGACGAGGCCACCAACGGCTGAGACGACGGGGATGATAATGTTCTTGTTGTCGTTGAAAAAGCTTCCCACCTGGTCGGTGAAGTTGGACCCCTTACATTGTCCGTTATCGCATTTCCCTCCACCTTGGCAAGGAGTACCGTCTAGGAAGTGCTGCTGCATATCATAGCAGGCGTTTGGCCCGAGCTGAGATGAAGCGCACCGAAGTTGACAGGTCTGCGAGTCACAAGCTGACGTGTCGTTATTATTAGTCAACGAACCCACTAACGTCCGGCATTGTAAATCACGAGAAGTGCACTGTCCGGAGGCGCAAGTCAAGCCATCACCACTGGCACCGCAGGCTTGACCATCTGCTGCTTTGACATCGGCAGGACACGTCCCAGAATTACCACTGCAGGTCTCCTCGGGGTCACATGAACCGGTGCTGTCTCTACAAACCGACCCCGACGATTTGAATTGACATTCGGCCGTACAACAGTCTTCGTTGGTCGGATCACATACGGCGTTGGTTTTGAATCGACAGGTTCCTGGATCGCAACAGCTGTTATTGGCGCATCCCTCTTCACCTCCACAATCGCAGTCCTCTCCTGCCTCCACGATGCCATTACCACATTGACTTGGTGAGATCGTAACGACGTTTTTATTGTTTGTCAAACAGCTTGACCTTACACTATTCCGACCCATGGCGGAGCAAATATTGCCAATAGTGCAAGGGGAGAATTGCGTAGCACGGTCAGAAGTAGACGGGTTCATAATGTAAGCTCCATTAGCATTACAGGTAGAACTACTAAGTGGACAACACTTCTGCATCGAAACCGTGCCGTCCGAGCATGTGTCGGGAACACAATCATGGAAAGCACCAAACGTGTGACCTGATTCGTGCGCAAATACCTGCCATTCGGTCGAGGTTCGAACGACGACGTTGGCTCCCGCGATCGTTTCATTCCCTCCGCTCGAGCCTGATGCTTGGGTTCCCGCTCCTTGGGCGCATAGCTGTCCTAGCCATGCTAATCCCACAGCCGCATCGGTATTACACGTACTCATTAACGTCCAGTAGGCATTGGTGTCGTTGAACCGGCCTCGCCACTCGGAAAATAAGTTGAGTCGATTCGTAATCGTGACACTATCACTACAGGCGACGTTCCATTTGGCACTATCCGGAGGAGTTCCCGGACATGTCGCATCGCTGATGGTTAGATTCTGGATACCAACGGAGATATTGAATGAACTCTCGAATAGCGCTGAGGCTGAGCTAACCTGCTGAACGATATGGGAACGCACGTCACTCTTATTAGCGAACTGCGCTGTGTACGTGCAGTCGGCTGCAATTCCGACCAAGGCAATCCTGCGGGTAGTAGGACAACCCTGAGTAGACCCAATACTCTGAGCAAGATTGACACCAGCACCGTTCCCAGTAGTCGTCCCGTCGATCTCGTCTCGGCCGAAAAGGCTATTTGCATCTACCGCCGACATATCACGGAGATCCAGGCCCCGGTGCACGGGGTGCTCGTCCTCGTTATTGAAGTTAAGCATATCAGACGAGCACGAGTTTTCACCGAGCCCGCGCTTTAATTCCGAAACATCGTAACTCGATTTAATGTCCGAATCCCTCCAAACGACCATGTACTCGTCGTCGGCAAAATCCGCACTGGGATCATCTTCGTGTTGTGTTTGTTTGTAGTTAGAGACCGTTTGGATGTGGTGATGGTTCCCGTTGACCCGAAATGTTCCCTCGAATATCGGCCTCGGACCATCTCGATAGACGGTTATCCTCGCCCAGCCGGAATTGATCCATTCGGAATGATGCGGGTGTTGTACGAAGGCGTGGCCCTTGAACACCTTGTGGTCGGTCCTTTGTATCTTCTCCTCCGTTACGGACCCGTCAGGGCTAAGATAGCGTACCACTGCCGAATCTGAAAGCACATCGAGGTTAGGTTCCAAGGATATCCGGATCTTGTCTTTCTCGTCGTGTAGTAGGAATGTGAGATCAAATGAAGCATAAGCGTGTACTCGATTGGAGGCGGTATGGATTACGGGGTTATCAAGCCGACTAATATAATTCAAGGCATTTCGTTTAACGGAATGGGCAAGTGAGGAATGCGATAGCGCTGATAGAACGACGGCCGCAGCCTTGAGAATACCGCGCATGATCGAATGAATGGGTGAAGCCCTGCTCCGAGGACGATTGCTTGTTCTCAAGACCCCATGCGCCGGCGCAATACTAACAAGCTGTCGCCACGGGCGTCTCGAAATCGAATATTAAAAATATATAAAAAAAAACACTAGGGAATTATCGTTGTAGTTGGCAAATCGACGAAAGAACAACAATTGGAGTGATTCAATGCTTCAACGGGCATCAAACGTGTATTAAGATTTCCAAGGAGAAAGCGGAACCAGAATGAAACGAGCGACAGATGCCGTAGGTGCCGATGCCAAGTGAATTACACGCAATAAGGACGAACTAGATAGGCTCGGCGGCGTGCTGAGGAGGCTTGGTCTTGGTAATGTTCTAGAGGGGCTAGGATCTTCGTCGGGCTGAACTTGGTTTTTTTTTTTTGTTCGGTGCTCACAAATCCCCGTATATATCAATCGCTAAAAAACAAACGATGATTTTGCTGACCAAGAAATCTGGGGAAATGATTAGAGCCAGAGCTGACCACGGCCGATAGGAAAGAAGGAAAGTAAAGAAAGACGACGTTCAAAATGTTTCAATCGCAGAAAAAGGGCGAAACGAAAAAAAGAGGGTGGGATTATGGGAGATGTGGCTGCGCAAAAAGTCCTTGGCCTTGGGGGATGCTGGCTATGTGAAGGGATGGGGCAAAGAATAGACTTTGGAATAGTTACATTAGATAGCTTAGAGCCAATGGCAGTCATGTATGTATTAATTCGATAGGTATTGCTGTATGGTAAAGGGCAAGAGAGACTGTCCCTGAAGCGGGGAAACTGCTACTTACCTGCATGTACGCACAAAGGTAGGTACGGATCCGGATGTGGTGTAAGTGTAAGTATGTGCGTTACCTATTATATAAGATCCGGGGTTCCTCTTCACGTATCGTATTCCGTACAACGCCGACAACAATTGGTCGATCCTCTTTCCGCGTCTAAACCTCAAAAAAAGTTACTTCAATACGAGAATAGAGGATATAAGTGGTCGAATTCGTTATCAACGTTCATACATACATACCTACCTAGGTACGGATAATCAATAGCCTACAGAATATACTGTATTAAGTAAACCATAACTAGGTACCCATACATATGCTCGACGTCACGGCAACTTACCAGATTTAAATTGCCAACCAAGTATCGAAGCGGCGAAGCAATCCCGGCTCACCTGTATATATTACTATTTATACGAATTACTCCGCGAGCATCCTGTAGGGGTGTTTCAGGAATCTACCCGGACAAGCCCTGTGAATTAAAATACCACGTAGGTTAGGTACATAATTCCTGTTGTGCTTGCAATTGGAAACGCTGTTTATATTGAGCGTAAGGCCGTGTCGTTTAGGATGTTGTTTCTGTTCAACTAAACCCCTGGTCGGACCGAGCCGTGTACTACGTGTAGACGGACGGTATAAACCATAGCTACGCCCCTAACAAACCACTAGTTCCGGCAACGACGGCATCAGCCACTCCTACCCGCCAATGTAGGTTATCTCCGTGCTTTGCGTTATAGGGATCGGCTCTTCGTTACCTTCCCGAGGCCGTAAATCCGTCTATATCTCTTGTTGGCACTTCTGCCAAGAAACTGGCTTGCGAAGCTCACTTCGAATTAAGACTTTGCGTGACGCGTCCTCCCGTATTATCTTTTTATATACGCTGTTATTTCTTCATCGCCGTTATAATGTTACCAATCATAGGCATTTCCGCAGCGTGTCTAAGGCGGTCTTGAGCTGTGCCTCCTTCCTACGGATATCTACCTACGGACGTAACGGAACTGGATTCGTGCAACGTGTATTTTAGTATTATAGGTAGTAATGTAGCTAATGAGCCAGTTAACGCCCCTTTTACGTACTGCTCATTGGGTGAAGAACTGCAAAGTATACTTTGCAAGAATGCAATTAGCTAGTATCAACTATTGTGTTGATACGCCGCCTATACACAGAGCTAGTTTCAGCTATTTGTTGACGGGGTTGTCCAACTGCGATGCCCAATGCTGGGTAACATTCGTTGAAACTGGAACGTCGAATCATCCAACTCATGGTCGTATCAGTGCCACGACACCGGGAGCACAAACTCAACCGCTAAAACATCGCTATCACTAGTTGGATCTTATACGCTCCAAAATCTCCCGCATATTAATGGTATCAGAATTCGAAAAAAGGAAGCTGAAGCCTTTATATGCTTCACTTTCTCTTTGCCTCGTGTACGATGGTGATGATCTTCGCAACTATTGAGGGGTCGGAAAGCTATTACGGGATTAGAAGGCATTCTAGTAGAGAAGAATGAGAAGATACTTACTGTTGTTACATCACCAAGCTGGTCTTCCTCGCCAGCTAGAATCTTTCTCAAGATACGGCGCATAATCTTGCCACTTCGGGTCTTCGGCAGATCGGGCACTATGAAAACTGCCTTAGGTGCGGCAAACGGTCCGATACTCTTCCTTACCTGCAGGATGAATTCTTTTCGTAACGCATCCGATGACTCATTGCCGTTCTTGATAGCCACAAACGCGTTAACCGCTTGTCCAGTAAGTTCGTCAGCAACACCAACAACGGCAGCCTCAGCTACAGAATGGTGCTCGATCAGGGCAGCCTCAATTTCTGCGGTCGACAGACGGTGTCCACTAACGTTGACCACATCGTCTACTCGTCCTCGGATCCAGTAGAAGCCCTCGTGGTCACGACCAGCTCCGTCACCGGTGAACTTCAATTGGTTAGTAACCCGAGAAGCACAGTTAGAATCTGTATACTTACGTAGTAGCCCTTGTAGACATTTAGGTACGTATCCATATATCTCTTGTGCGCACCCCAGACGGTGCGGGCCATGCTAGGCCAAGGCTGCTTGAAGGCCAGAACACCCTCAACGTCGTTCCCGTGTATCTCCTCGCCGGAGATGGGGTCGATGATGGCAGGTTCTATGCCGAAGAAAGGCAGAGAAGCACTGCCCGGCTTCGTCGGTGTTACTCCTGCCAGGGGAGTTATGACATTCGATCCAGTTTCGGTTTGCCAGTAGGTCTGTCCTATTAGAACACATTCCTTCAAAGACGAGAGGATTGAACTTACATCAACAATCTGTGCCTCCTCCTTGCCTACGACTTCGAAATACCACTTCCAAACCTCAGCCGCGATAGGCTCACCTACCGATCCGAGTACTCTCAACTTCGGCATGTGAGCCTTGACGTAATCGTCACCAGCACGCTTCAACAGTCTCAAAGCAGTCGGTGCGACATAGAATTGGGTGACTCCGTGCTTCTCGATAATTTCCCAGTATCTCGAAAAGTTCGGGTAGGCCGGAGTGCCCTCGAAGACGACCGTAGATATACCGAGAAGAAGAGGTGCGTAGACGACGTATGTGTGGCCGGTAATCCAACCGACATCTCCACCGCAGAAATACCGATCTCCATCATGAATGTCGAATACATATTTGCCAGTCAGCGCGGCACCGAGCAGATATCCAGCAGTGGTGTGCATAACACCCTTTGGCTTGCCGGTCGAACCCGATGTGTATAGTAGGAAGAGGGGATCCTCGGAGTTCATTACTTCAGGGGGAATGTATGATGGCCATTTCTCGACCTCCTCGTGCCACCACAGATCGCGACCCGGAGTCCAGGGAATATCAGCGCCGGTGCGCTTGTAAACCAGAACGCCAGTTACATCGGGGCATTGCTTGAGCGCATCGTCAACTATCTTCTTGGTGCCGATCAGCTTGCCACCTCGTTTTCCTTCGTCTGTGGTAATCACCACTTTGGATTGGGCGTCGATAACACGGTCACGTAGGGAGTCGGCCGAGAAACCAGCAAACACGACGGAGTGGATAGCGCCGATACGTGTGACTGCAAGGAAAGCAATGACGGCCTCCGGAATCATTGGTAGGTAGATAGCGACTGTATCGCCTTTTCTAACACCCATCTTTTTTAGGACATGTGCGACTCTGCTAACCTCACGAAGAAGCTCGCTATAAGTTACATTTCGGCCTTCGTGAGGTTCGTCTGCCTCGTAGATGAGCGCGACCCTGTTGGGGTCCTTGAATGCATGTCGATCGACGAGGTTGTAAGAAGCGTTGAGTTGACCCTCGACGAACCAGGCAACATCTCCGTTAGCTAGGGATCCAGTGCGAACGGTCTCGAAATCTCGCTGCCATGTCAACAACTCCCTAGCTTTCCTGCTGAAGAACTTCTCGGGCTCGGTGATGGACTCTTTGTATAACTGTTGGTAATGCTCAATACCTATATGCGCATTAGAAAAGAGGTCTAGTTTTTTATTTCTCACGTAGTTTATAGTTTAGCCTTACTATCGAGATGAGGTTTACTAGGATGCTCTAGTAACCAAGTTAGCTTCATTTATGATTTGCGCATTGAACCTAGTCCCATAAATAGGGGTCTATCTCACTTTCGAGCATCTTTGCCGGGGGGTCTATTCAAGCTCCAGTTAGCATTGTGGTCTAAGAGGTCACAAATACGGCTGGGGAAAGCTCACGATAGGTGTCAACCAGATGGGCCTCGGCGACCACCGGCGACTTGGTTTGCTCGCCCATGATGATGGCGGGGTGGTGGCGGCGTAGTGGTGACAGTAATGGTTTAGTTGTAGACAGTGATGGTTTACTGCGGGGTACTAAATCACGAAAAAGTCTGTTGGGAGTAGCAAAGGCCAATGTCTAGATATTTAGAAGGGGATATTGTTTCAAGGTTATATAGGGAATAGGGAATAGTTGAACCACTACAGCTTCGTGCAAGGTTAAGAGAGTAAGGAAGAAAGAACGAAGAACAAATCACGAACGGGTAGATCTAAGTATCGGTGACGAGGGCGAGGCACTTTTTGTATCACGCCAAATTTATTAGGAGAATATTGAAATGAGAAAGGCGCGGGACGTAGCAAGCAAAGCGCATTGAGGTATAGTGCGCCCACATATGCAGTTCCAGGTACAGCAGGTAGCACGGAAAGTACAGATAGCTACTTCCGTGGTCCCGGTAACTTATGTACGTTAGCTGGTTAGGTAGATATAGGTAGGCATAGGTAGGCAAAGCTAGTTAGTTAACGTATTAGCCTCTAAAAGCCTCTAAAAAGCCTCTAAGACGTGACTTTACTAGTCAAGTTAATCAAGCTAGTCAAGTCGAGCCTTGCTAATCCGATACCAGATGCACTTGACTGGACTTCGTTGGGGATTCGCCGACCCGGACCGGGGTCTGCTATACTGTAGTAAGGACCATAAAGGACTATGTGGGTCTATTATCTCTTCCGCTCGACCGTTCGACCGCATGGTGCCTATGTATCGTACCTTTAATCCCCGTCTTTTCTCCATTCTGGACTATTTGACCGTTGACGGAACCTTCCAACGCCAACACTTAGTTGCGATGCCCAGACTCCAGAGCGCTAGAGCGCCTCAGTTCTTTGCTCGCGGGTTTAGAACATGAAAACGAGCATTCACCTGACTCTCGACGCACGCAGGCTGGTAATTGATCTCACACCCTCCTTAACTTGCTATGTACCCTACTACGTAGCAATATGTAAGAATGGGTAGGATAGGTAGGCTAGCTGAAGCTCTAGGCCGCAGTTCCCTTTGGACCGGGTTTTGTTGTTGGACATGTTGGGGACCTACATACTCGATAGATTACCTACCTAGGTATTTGATAGTTTTCCCGAGCTAACAAACATCATCTACCAGCGAAGTCGGATGGACATGTAACCTATCGTAATCCATCTCTCTCATAGCGAGACCGCACCGTGGGATTTATGGGATTTATGGATCTTTACCGGGACTATGGGGCGATATTTAAAGGTGAAGGGTAATAGCGTCGCAACAGCGTCCCGGACGATATTATCAGTACGCCGACAGGGCTGATCCCCCTTCTGCAAGGTTGGCCGGATCTAGACGGGGGAGTTATGCAGGTGAGAAGCTCAATATTTGTCCCGGTCCAACGGGGGCAGCTGTTGTACTTTATTGGCACTTATGAGACGAGAGATTCATAGCTTACTTTTTAGGCCCGCGTGGCTGTTATTGCTAGCGCAGATGGAAATATGTATGTAGGGAACCAACATGTCACTTGATGTAACCAAGGGTTGTAGAGTGGTATCGACAAGTATAGAATGTACAAACCTCCACGTCTTCGGTGTCGTGATATCGGCTCTAGTATACTGGATGGTAATAACTTCTGTAATCCTATTAGTCAAGACCTTGCTCACCTTGCACACTAAATCCCAATAACGAGGGACCGGCAAGAACTCTAAACGGCCTCATCCCTCGTCCTCTTGCCCCTCAACCCCGCGTTCACCTCTCAAACTAAACCAAGCCCTTGCAGCCAAGCGTACGCTAATATTCGTCACTGGGAATACCTCCGCAGCTCCGTTGCCCTCGTGCCCATTTAGAAGGATTCAATTTCCGCTGCTTACATATATGAATACATGTCATTTGAGTATCATCTACCCTTCAATAGGGTGTGGCGATGGACCATTCGTTTGTCATGGAAGATAAAGATATCTCCTGAATTCTCGATCTGGATCCTACCTAAACAAAAACAAAAACACTTAGTTACCTTGAACCCTGGTGGTCTACTTCATACACATATCGCAATGGCGTCACCTTTTGCCAAGCTTCCCTCCGCCCTTGTCTAGAGCTCGATTTTTTGTTGACGAGAGTGTGGGGAAAGCTAGCCAGTACTCTTTCTTCCCCGGTTAGCCATGTGAGATATGGCTTGGCGATATAGTCATTATCGTAAAAGGCGAGCTAGCTACTATCTTTCCCCGGGATGTTCTCACTTACACTATGACCGTGGAGAAGCCTTCCTTAGGTAGTCCTGGAAACTACATCATGCCATCCACGTTCTTCCGAGATAGGTGTGTTGCGATAAGATCTATTGACATGTCCCTAACCGAGGTAGAGTTATGCGACTCGTGTGGTCTACGGTTGTATTTATGCGACCTCAGAGCCTCACGTCCGACGGCCGTTCCGTCCGCTTGGTATTTAAGTCGCTTGCATTCGGCTTTTTTAAACATGGTCATTGCCGGATCTTACCATCCGGGCGATGACATCTTATGCGGGCCGGGACCAACTCGGCCTTTCGGAAAGACGACGTTCAACAACCTTTCCCGAACTATCGGCTAATAAAAGGGATGTTGAATCGGCTTTATATTCTTCTAACCGCGGTCTTCGGACGTCTAATCCGGTAAGCCTATTAGATTTCAGTGTAGATCGGAGTCTATCTCATCATCGCGAAATACACTACAGTTACTTTTCGGGGTAGCTCCACCGCACCATAGTTATAAAACCATCCGTTACTCCATAAGCTCCGGGCAGTCCAAATATGCCATCCTTCTACCAAGTAGTGGGACTAACTCACATATCCATGCTCATTAAATACATCTCGATTATCCGCATAAACTTCGCTACAAAGGCCTCCAGGTGGAATATCACCTTGGTTCCTGTTCTTATCCTATGCTCGTAGAAGGCAGACCACTTAATGACTTCATACTTCAAGTCGTCGTCGATCATAGGAATTAGCTTGAAAGTCAGCGTCTTAAGTATCGTCGTAGGAGGTATGCAATGCGTGAGCAGATCGTATAACTTTGATCGGACTTGCAAGATACGGGCCGGTGAGTGTTCCTCCATAATCTCCTTAGCTATTTGTGCTATTAATGCCTCCCAATCCGGCGGCGGAATGGGCGTATCATCTGTAACTTTCTCGCTATGATTGGTTAGTTGGGTCGTGACATGAGCAGGACGAGATACATACTTTTGAGCATGTACGGCCTCGTACATTAACAATGCTCTTCTGAGATTACGTCCGCTCTCTTCGGCAATCCTCTTATGAAGCCCCGCCACAACAGGCCATCCCTCTTTCTTAGCCGAATCTGCCAGGACATTCGCAATCTCGTCGACCGTTGGGGCTGCGACCCGCACGAGGAGCGTTCGACTTCGAATGGGCGCAATGATATTGGCTGTGCTGTTGGCGAGTAATATTAGTCGTAGATTTGGACTGTATTTCTCCATCGTCCTTCTCAAAGCTGCCTGAGCATCTCGGGTCAGGTGGTCAGCCTCATTTATGACAACGACTTTAAACTTCTGTTTGGCTGATTGATCGACTTGTTGAGTCTGGGCGACCTCTTTTAGTAGGTCTTGGACGACAACTCGGTCATAGGTTCCGACATCTGACGGTGTGATTTCGAGGTGGTAAACAGAGGCGACGATGTTGAATTCTAATTTGCGGTTGCTGGTAGTCTGGAAGACACGGGCGTCGATCTTGATCTTTTCGACTCCAGGGCCGTAGAGCTCCTTTAGAGTCGCGACAATGCGAGTCTTTTTACCCGCACCGGAAGGCCCATATACGAGGAGGTGAGGGAAGTCGCCGCTTTGAGCCTATGATAGAGATTACTAGGTTAGAGGTGAAGAACCACGCAAAATCGGGACTACGTACCAAAGAACGAAGCCTCTCTGATAACTCAGAGTGGTACGTTAAAGAATCGAGAGACCGAGGACGATGTTTGTCGACTATAAGTGCCATATTCACGATTATTCTGTACGTTTGTCGAGTGATAGTGGAGTTGTGTTAAACGGGCTTAAATGTTACAAGGACATTATTCGCAAGTGTCAACTTGAAGCTATCAAAATGCGGATACGGATTATATGCTGCCAAGGATTCGAGACGCGTTAATTGACTTTCTAACGCGTTTGTCTTTTTTCCGTCAGTGACCACTAATGCCTGCAGTTTTTGGGGAGAAGTGGCGCTAAGACATTATTATGTGGGGCATATGTATGTATTATGTAAACTAGCATTTACTTGACTAAGCCCGGTATACGAAGACGGGATCCCCGATGAGGGGTCTTTAGGTAGTGCCCCTCACCGTTGAACTAGTACCTCGAATACTCACTTGGTCTGTATTTAGTTTGCGTACCAGGTAACTATAAGCCAGTCAAATAAGTGCGTAAGTCATGTATCTTCGAATATTACTCGACACGTAAGTCCCGGTCCAAAAAAGGTGTCCCGGATACCAATAATCCTACTTTTACTCAAGCGCAAATGAACAGATAAACAGTTCGGGAAGGCAAAACATTGGAACGGAGCTTCAAGACACGGCGGGTCGTACGAATACGGAACATAATGCCGTTTCACTCGCGGATGTCTGTTTCCTGTAACCGGGCAGGTAAGATAATATATAGGAGGCAGGGTAGTGAATGTATTGGGTAGGGATGGATTCTCGTGCCTTAATTTGAATTCCGGTTTCTTCCATCATGAGGTTTCCAATCGTCGAATTGCACCAAAGTACGAATATCAGGCGTATCCATTCACACTATGCGTATTAATGTGTAAGTGCTACATGCCGTATACGCGATGGGAAAACGAAGGCAGTGTAACTAGAAATCAGAAATTAGAAATTAGAAATCCTACCGCAACTTATTATGCATATTGTCGGGTAGCATGCATAGATCGATCAGCGTCCCTATTTTACGACATCGATGGGTTGCCTCCTATGTACGGGTCTGATTTTCGAGTTGGGATTGACGAATGTTCTGTGACATTGACTCCCACTAGAGTCATGTAGGTACCATAGAATACATAGGTACTATAGAATGGATGTACAATAGATTAACGTTAATAGGTTGGGTTAGGTAGGTACGTAAGAGATAGTAAGTGATATGGGGCAACTGTAGACGCCATCACCAGAATTTTGTCCACTTCTACCTACTACATACTGTATCGTACCTACTTTCTACCTCTTAGACTCACGAGGTACAAATACACCTTCCAGAAAAAATAACAATAATTTGAACACCTTCTCCCTTCTCCTAATAACAGTACGTAGGTACTTACCGTACAGTACCCAATATCAGACCCAGTCTTGCCTGATTATCTTGTTTTTTCCTTCTTTTCTTCACTAGGTACGATTAGAAACAACTTGAGGTGAGTTCTCGCATTGGACAGATTTGATGTCAGACTTGATTGATCACCGACCCGCATCCCCATCCCATGACTTGCCTACTTTCCCTACTACTTCTTCAAGTTGGCGCTTCGATTTCTGCGTGTACTTTTTTTCTTTTAAACGATCCACACTACCTTGGAATCCACCCAAGCAGCACCCCCCAAAGCACGACGTTCCTCTTTTGTCGCACCCCACTTTCTCTTTAGAACCCAAAGGGCACACCGACAACTATCGCGATATCATCTTCTCCTTTTCCCATTCTTTCTTAAGTTATACTTAAGCTATACCTGTCCTACGGCGTATTCTTACAACTGACGTCCCTTTTAAAAGGAGACCCATCCCTCTTGGTTAATTGACAACATCCAGCCAAGTAAATTCCATCTTATACTCCAACTCGTTACCTTCTTTATTTATTTATTTTTTTTACTGACATTACGTCGTCAGGCTCACCAACCAAGTCGCGAATATGTCTTTCGGCAGTCGCAAGTTCTCTATGTAAGCTCATACCTCGACCCCTCGTAGCTGACTCTTCGTCACGCATCGTATACCTACATTATAATTATTTATACCTAAATATAACATTACTAAACCACATAATAGGAACAGGAACACTGGCGTTCCCCGACGAAGATTCAGTATCGGTGACCCAAGTGCTAATGGTATAATCTTTAGTTTCTATACCTCTACACTAGCTCCCCGGATATTTGCGTTCATGCTGTAATACCGCCAAGGATAGCACGTTGCCGTCCTTGTGTTGGGTTTAATATAGACTTGTGGCGGCCTTGGCGCTTGGCAAACGTGGTCTCCATGCTATCGTTCCTGTATGTCTTGGCTGATATACAATAAATCGCTAACAATATGTCTTGGCAGAAACGAGTTCCAAGATCCATCGCCAGTTCCGTGCTGCAAACCCGGGTCATCTTCCTCATGCAGGGTTGGACGCCTCACGTGCTTCCACGGGTGTCGTATGGTGTACTGAGCGAGCCGCCGAGTATGGCTTCCTTGACGAGCCCGACAAGTGGGCCAACCTTGGTCAAGGTGCTCCCGAAGTCGAGGATGATATCGAGGGATGCTTTGAGCGCCCTACTACCATAGACGTCTCTGTTGCTCTTAGAGAATATGGTCCCACTGCTGGTATCAAACCTCTGCGTGCCGCCGTTGCCAGAATGTACAACGAGATGCACCGCCAAGGCAAGGATAGTCAATATTCGTGGGAAAACGTCGCCATCGTCCCCGGTGGAAGAGCCGGTCTGATCCGTATTGCTGCTGTGCTGAACAATGCCTATGTTGGCTTCTTCATTCCCGATTACACAGCTTATAACGAGATGTTGTCGCTCTTCAAAAACGTAAGGTAGTTCTCATGAACTATAACGTCTAGTACCATTAACAATATATAGTTTGCCGCCATTCCGACGCCTCTTTCGGAAGAAGATGGCTATCACATCCACCCCGACGTGATTGCGAGAGAGATTGCGAGAGGTACCTCAGTTATCATAACTTCGAACCCCAGAAACCCTACGGGCCGAGTAGTGGCCAACCCCGAGTTGGCCGAGATTCAGGACATTTGCCGCGGACGCGCAACTCTTGTCAGCGACGAGTTCTACTCGGGCTACAACTACACTAGCAACTGCGATGGCACCACGATCTCGGCTGCTGAAAATATCGAGGACGTAGATGAGGACGATGTTCTCATTATCGATGGACTCACTAAGCGATTCCGTCTCCCTGGATGGCGTATTGCTTGGATCCTTGGACCCAAGGAGTTCATTAAGGCGTGAGTCTTCGAGGAAGATATACCACAACCCGGGAATTGCGCTAACGTCGTCTCTAGCATCGGCTCTTGCGGTTCATACCTTGACGGTGGAGCCAATGCTCCTTTCCAGGAAGCTGCTATTCCTATGCTTGAACCATCCCTTGTCCGCAGGGAGATGGCTGCTCTTCAGCACCACTTTAGAGTTTGTCATCCCTGCTATACCCTTTCGTATATTAATTCAAGCTGACACAGTCGTGTAGGAGAAGCGAGACTACGTGGTTAAGCGCCTACGAGACATGGGCTTCGTGATCAAGTATGTGCCGGATAGCACCTTTTACCTCTGGCTCAACCTTGAGGGTCTTCCGAACCCTATCTCAGACGGGTTGAATTTCTTCCAGGCCTGCCTAGAGGAGAAGGTCATTGTCGTTCCGGGTATCTTCTTTGATCTGAACCCTTCTCGCCGCCGAGACTTGTTCGACAGCCCTTGTCACCATTGTAAGTCATATCCCTTTACATGCATAGCCTTCCGTATCGTATCGTTCTTTTAGTTTGATTGCGTAGGTGCTAACATCCCATCACAGTCGTCCGCTTCTCATACGGTCCCAGAATGGATGTTCTCAAGATGGGCTGCGATGGTATTGAGAGAGTCGTCAGCAAGTAAGTCAATGTAATTATTGGGCCACAAAGTGTAGAACTAACAGCCCTATAGGTTTAAGAAGTATGCCTAAATAGACACACTCATGTTTTACGAAAACATAGACCGCGGAGGACGGGTATGATAGGTAGCGTAGGGCAAAGATGGCTGCATCTTTGAAACCTTTTCTAGACAGCGAAGGAATATCTTAGGCCTTAGCTTGGTCTCATATTAGAGGCTCATCAATGAAATGATTTTTTTTTCCTTAAAAATCTTGTCCGTGTCATGCTTTGGTCTCACCGCTCGATGTCCCTGGCCGTATAAAGAGACTTGAGGTTGGATATGCCAAGCTTAAGAAGCTTAGACATAGGACCACAGAGCACGTGAGACCTTATACATATCTAACCTTATATCTGGCACCTCCGCTTTCTCCCCGCCCTCACATTTGATAAGCATGTAAAATATGGAGGTCTTAATATCCCGAAAGAAAGCTCGATATAAAAATTTACAGGACTCGATTCTACACGTATGTAACATATTGTTTATGCAATATAAAAAAAATGATAGCACTGCATATTCACCAAATAGGAGCTTGTTTGACTTCTTTATCATACACATTATGAAGACTCGAAACTCAGTAGCAGAATCGTGTATCCTCTTCTCGAATTAATACCTGAACCCTATCGCGCATTTTCATTGATGACTGAGCCCCCGCGGACCTCATAAACACAAGCCCCTTTCCTGTTACCACTGCTAAACGTCAAAGGCAAAAAATTGAAATCAAGTCAAGCTACGGTACAAGCGATGGAAGGAGATATTGATGCAGAAGAGCACCATTCCGACTGAAAATCAATCCAGGTCTAAACTATTCGCTCACTATATGCTGGTTAGCTAGTGGACACGTAAAGTGGGATTGTAAGTAAACGTACTAGAATTTCATCCTCCATTGGGGCGTCACCGCTGGTGGCAGCAGGTGCAGCGCCGTTGGTGTTCTCATTCTGATTGCTAGCTTCGAAGTAATCTGCCATCTCGGAATCGAGCTCCTCAGCTGTCTTCTTGGCTGGGCGGCTGTTGCGGGGTCCACGGCGCTTACGACCACGAGCACCAGCACCTGCGGCCTTCGAAGCCGCTTCCTTCTTGTCGTTTGCCGCAGACTTGGGCTGTGCCTTGGGCTGGGTGATGCGCTCGGTCAAAGTCTTCGCAGGAGGCGCTATCTCTGCGGCCTTGGCGGCGCTAACAACAATCTCGATCTGTAAAATGTAAACATGCTGCCCGGGACAATGAAATATAACACACTAACCTTGATTGGTCGGTTGTCAACAAGAAGGCCGTTTAGGGCGTTGAAAGCCTTGCTGGCGCCATCGGGTTTGGCAAAGGTAACCGTAGCGATGCCACGGCTTACGCTGTTCGGGCCGTAAGAAAGCTCCACTCGCTTGATAGGTCCAACTGAGGTCGCAAAATACTCCTATGGAGGGCACGAAGGTTAGTCTCATGAAACCCATTCGAGGTTTGCGCAAGGCGATAAGGCAATATCGATATCCGTGAGATCCCAGCCGACAGAGAAACATCCAGGTTCAGCATCCAAAGGTAAGTCAACATCAACGAGCACGCAGTGAGCGTTAGTAATCAGCATTCAGCCCAACCGTGGGTAAACAACTCTGAAAGATCAGCCATCCATCACCACTACCCCCAGTCCCAGAAGTTGAATACACTCTTGAAAAGAGAATGTGATCTCCCACTCAACCACCAGACTGCCTCCAGGCAGTCCACCTTCATGTTCCATACGATATTATCGCGTCTAAGAACAAGATGGAAAGGCTCGCCCCGCGTAGCCTGATATAGGATTTGAAGTAATAATACCTAAGTCGGGATCGACAGTGAAGTACTTCGCCTATTATTTGCTGTAACGCTGATGCTCACTGCCATGCTCGTTGGGTTGTAATTGTCCTATAAAAGGATGTTGTCCCGCCAGAATTATGATCTCGTTTGCCGAGACAGCCAGCTTGTCATGATATGCCAGTCCATCTACGTCTGCGCATTGTTACCTGCATGGAGGGTTGCCAAGCCTACCGGAGGTTGAACAATATTGGTGCGCGACAAGGACAGCTCAACTCCTGACGTTATAATAGCGCGATGCACATGTTATCGATGGAGGAGACTAGGCATTCTGACAGCTTTGTACTGGTCAAATTACACCATCTCTGGGTAAGAGGATAATCATTTCGATCGATTAAGACACGAGCGTGCGTTTCAAGGAAGATGTCGACGAAATTCCGCGGGCGACAGCCCTAGGAAACATACCTTAATTTGGCCTTCGTTCACATCTTTGGGCTAAAACGAGGTTAGCTAAGTCTGAATTTGAAGCCGGGATATGCATAACGACTTACTAGGTTGCTAACAACCACCTTGCTCTCTCCACTGCCGGTTGCCTTAGCAGGAATTTGCTTAGCTGCTGCAGCGCGAGGCTGCCTCGAAGTCTTTTGAACGCCACCAACAGGAGCAGTTGTAGCGGGTCGTCTTGCAGATCGACGGGGGTTTTGGCGGCCTTTACCGACAACGCGGCGCTGGGTAGAGACGATTTCGTCCAAAGACTGGTCGAGCTTTCCAGACATGTTGATTATGATTGATTACGACTGATTATGAGGTGGTTATATGTGATCAGGAAAACGACGCGAGGGATATTCGCGTCGAAAGGGTCAGGCTATAGGTAAAATTGGCCTAACGGATATGGCGATGCGAGCGCAACGGCTTACGAGGAACTGCTGTTAATGAACAGCGATGATGAACGCTTGATGATTTGGCGATAGCTGAGATGAATAAGAGCCGTAAGCGCGTTGCACGAGGGATAAAGTGGCGGGAAATAGTTGCGCGGGTAGAAGAGATGATGGTAGAAAAATATTGTCTTGCGAGCTGGCAGGCGTCGACAAGGCGGTACGGCTGACGAAGTTGGATGCAACCGAAAAGAAGAGAATAAAATCTGAAGGCGAAGCAACTCTGTAGTCTTCTCTTCTTGGCAGATTTATGAAGGAAGGAAGACGTGTTGTTGAGTTGGCGTTGTTGATGAAATGGAAGAAAGCAGAGGTTGCTTGGGAAGAGGCGCAGTTAAAGAGGAAATCAGGGAGGGAGCGCGACGTTGGGTGGAAAACAATGAGTTGCTCAATCCCAATCATCCACTGAGCCGTCTACAGTCCCCACTATACGTGGCGTTTGTTACCAAGCTAGGGTTAGCGCATGATTTCTCACGTCGGATATGGCTGCTTAAGGTTCCAGTTACCTGAATACTTAAAGTATGTACCTAGGTACATTTATTATTGTGTCCGGTATTACCTATCAATACATTAAATTCATATACGTAATAAGTGCATTCAAGTACCTCAACTAGACAATTTCAGCCAATCTATCGCGACTCAAGAAATAGTTAGGTAGCCAAATCACCTTCTATTAATTGTTTTGCTATGAATTGGTTCTAATCATAGAGCGATATGAGGCTTCTTTATCATGGATGTACATATTTACCATGTCTTGAGAGTTCTGTCTTAACCATAGTCACTGTAAAAGACGGAATATCGAATTCATTGTATATGGGATTTGAATACGGCGCTTAAAGGATGAATAACTTGCAATCGAATCGTAGTCCAGTAATCCCTTAATCCGAGTCCCTTCTACAAGCAAGTAGTTCCCCAGGAAAACGGAGGCTTTCCAGCTCATTCTGGAACACATACGATCACCACCTTCTTATGCAGTGTACTATAGTAACCCATCTACTGCAATCCCCTCTGGCAGATATCCGGATCGAGACCGATCAAATTGTTTGATCGGGAAATATTCCCTCGTAAAATAGCTCTTAGTTGAACCCATGGCTTGGCCATGTCCCTGAGCATCCGGGTTGCATGGATCAACAACCACCCAGATAATGTTCCCTATCTTAAACAACTAACGCCTGGGACCATAAGTTTAGAATATTCGGTTCCTTTACTTTGCCACTCCCGATTGCTTTCCCACTGCTGCCGGCTGCTGTGCCGGCGTTGATTTCGCGGCTTTCTCGCTCAGGGCGCCATCCTCTTGTGAATTGACCTCGAAGAAATGGTACAGCACAATTAGGACCATGGCCGTTGAGCCAAGGAATATGGCCAGGGTGTACAGATCGTCGTCGGAAATCATGTTGAGGTAAGGAGGATTGGATTGCCTATTGCTTCTTTGTTTATTGAGAGAATCTGGTATAGAACGTCAATGATATGCTACTGATAGTATATTGGAATTGCAAGAAGTCTCACTGTGTGTACCTCTAACGAGGTTTCTTCGTTGCTGGTTTCACAAGCCCGCCGAGAAGAAGGTAAAGGAGTGTTGAGGTGGTGGATGAGTGTCTTTATATGTCTACATTGAATATGGGATAAATTGAGGCCAGCTGGAGCTTCCAGAAGCGTCGTAATGCACCTACCTAACCTATGTACCTCTTAAGGTTGATTGAGGTACCCCGGGAGGTACATACCGTGTAGGTACTGTATGTGGGGCAGTAGCATTGTGGCTAATATGATATGTTAAGAGCATACCCTTACGATACATGCATAAGTAAGTACCTAAACCTACCTCATGAAGGTAAGTGATAACAGACGCTTACCGATACGCCACATTCTTTTCACACGTGACAAAGGTATCCCCAAAAACTACGTATGTATGTACCCCCCGCTAGTTTACAGCCCACCATCTTTCATTCTTTAGTGTTCGTGATCTTTAAAGTACCTAAATTATCTACTGCTCCTACGTAGAAACTTCGCGCCGAAACGTTAGAATCCCTTCCATATAGCCCAGCCGGGCGCAAACTTCGTCCGATATTCCGCTTAAACGAACTGAACATCCCTCGTTTCGTATAAGACTCTCAATTGCTTGTATTACTCCATCCTAAGATGCCTCCAAAGAAAAAGGATGAGCCCAAGGGCAAAAAGCCTTCGGCTGCCAAGGTTGCCGAGGACAAGACCTTTGGTATGAAAAATAAGAAGGGTGCTGTTGCCCAAAAGCATATCAAGCAGATCCAGGCGACAGCCAAAGCCGGCGGTAGCGCAGAAGAGAAAAAGAAGCAAGCCGAAAAGGAAGCTCGAGCCCGCGAAAAGAAGGCCGCCGAAGATGCCAAGCGAGAGGCCGACCTACTACTCAACAAGCCAGCACAGATACAGAAAGTTCCCTTCGGTGTCGATCCTAAGACTGTTGTCTGTATATTTTTCAAGAAAGGCAACTGCGAGAAGGGAAAGAAATGCAAATTCGCACACGATCTTTCGGTTGAACGAAAAACTGAGAAGAAGAATCTCTACACCGACGGTCGGGGAGAAGAAGAAGAGAAGAAGAAGCAGGAGACATCTGAAGACTGGGACGAGGAGAAGTTGCGAAAAGTTGTCCTTTCCAAGAAGGGCAACCAAGTCACTACCACCGACAAAGTCTGCAAATTCTTTATTGAAGCGATTGAAGACGGAAAATACGGTTGGTTTTGGACGTGTCCAAACGGAGGTGACAAATGCAAGTATAAGCACGCTCTTCCACCAGGGTATGTTTCCTCTATGTTAAATTCGTGTATCGGATTATCTAACATAACCAAATTAGTTTCGTGCTTAAGACGAAAGAACAACGCGCAGCTGAGAAGGCTCTCATGGATAAATCTCCGCTGAAGACTCTAACCCTCGAGGATTTCTTGGAGTCGGAGAGACATAAGCTTACCGGAACACTCACGCCTGTCACTCCAGAAACATTTGCGAAATGGAAGAAGGAGCGGTTAGACAAGAAGGCGGCCGAGGAACAGGCCCGCCAAGCCAAGGAATCAACTGGTCGTGCCCTGTTCGAGAGCGGTAACTGGAGATTCACAGAAGAAGACGAGTCAGAAGAAGAAGATGAGGCTGATAGTGCCTGGAATCTGGAAAGGCTACGACAAGAAACGCAAGCAATCCGAGACAAGAAGGAGGCAGAACGGATAGCGGCGGCTGCAGGATACTCTGCCGGTTCTGCTCAACCTCCAGATACCGGCGATGGTACCCCTGTAACCGCAGGCGCCTGATACCCAGCCCCGTCCTAGTGGAATAATGGAGTGGAATCTCCAAGTGAATCAGCGTCCCACCCTAAAAGATGGGCACCCAATGCAGGTGGCTCGTCGAAACCAATGGCACGCCAGCAGCTCACCTATCGCATTCCGGAGTACGGAAAATCCAGCGTAGGTCGAGCTACTATTAGTCTTTGAACCGTACGGGACAGTTGAAACCTATTATTAAATTGACGGGTTTAGTCTTCTGACTTGAGGTTTACGTAGACCATACCAATCAGATTGATTCAAATGGGGAGCACAGAACAACTCGATCCTTTTTAGCCCTTGCCTTTCAATGGCGAGGTGGTTAGTACAACGAGGTAACCCCCTTCGATTTACTACTATATTGCACCCGTTGAGCACTCGAGTTGACGGGGAAAGATGATTCGAAGATGATTCAGGATGCATCAAGCAGTTTGTCTGTGTTCACCAAGCTTGTTTTAACACTTATAAAGCTGATTTCAATGAATTCAAGCCATTTATATTTGTGTGCAGATATGCCTACTTGTGTTTAGAAGTCTCAGTTGTATCGGAAGAAGTAAACATGATCCTGACCTCTCACTTCAATGATTGGGGAAAAGAACTCAGAACTTCTCAACATAGGGCCGTATGTCTATCTCTTGTGTGAACGCGGAACGGTGCTGGGTGTGCAAGTTCCAATAGCTCTCAGCGATCTGTTCTTGAGTCAGTACTGAAAGAGTGTGAACAGTTTCAAGTTAGATAGGTACTTACCGCATCAGCCCTAATCTTGCCATCCTCGGCGCCATCGTTGGGGCTATAGTGACTTGTTCGAGGTATATCGATAACTCCATCGACAATAGCATGCGCTACGTGTACTCCCTTTGGTCCAAATTCACGTGCTAGTGACTGGCCAAGAGCTCGTCGAGCAAACATGCTAGCAGCCATTGTCGAGAACAGATATGAACCCCTGATAGAAGCGGTAGCACCTGTGATGAGTAGGGTAGGTGGATGCTCCGACTCTGGTACTGCGTCTAAGAGTAGCGGAAGAGTCTTCTGAGCAAAGTTGAATAAGCCGCGACTATCCGGCCAGTCAGTTTGGGATCAACGAATTTCTGAATTACGTATACATACGCATTACCACCGACAGCCACGTCGAAGTCTTCGACGCTCAGTTCAAGGAATGGCTTCCTCTGGAATCCAGCACCAACATTGTAAACAGCCGCAGCAAGCTTGAAACCTGGTAGCTCCTTTGCAATCTTCTCAAAGGCCGAGTCCAATGACTTAACGTCCGAAGTATCGGCACTGATACCAATCGCTTTGCCACCAGCTTTGTTAATCTCGGCCACTGTGTTCTGGTACGACTCGGGTGTACGAGTCAAAAGCACCACAGGGTAGGCCTTGGAGAAGCGGATAGCACAAGCTCTTCCTAGAGAAAACTTAGTGAGTTTGTAGGATATCCGGTTAGACAAAGTATTTACCTGTGCCTGGGCCAGCACCAGCGACGACAGCAAACAACTTGGAAGACATTTTATATAGAATCGGATTATAAAGGAAGTACAATAAATATTCTTGAAGATGTTACTAAGCTACTAAGACTAGGTAGCTGGGTATCGTTTGGAATATGTAGAGATGGTCTAATCTTGGACGGACCTTGAGACTTGAGACTCACTTATATATAAATAGTGATCTATCTTACCTTGTCTACTCCGCAAATGTTCTAGAAAGACATATGCCGCGATAACGATTAATAATTACACTTCCGTATTAGAGAGTTAGTGTATTGATGACAAATTTGACAAGATGTCGCAATAGCCCGACCGTCGAATAGTAAGTTGAATAGCAAGTTGAATCTGCACGCCTCCAGCTGCGAAATGCGATGACGTGCAGCATCAGTAACTGGAGAGCGCGGAGAGCGTAGTAATGGGAAAGCACCTTTACATAGTATGTTGGGAGCTATGACCACTAATAACCCGTTTAGTACTTGGGACCTAGGTACCTAAGTTTAGGTAGGTTCAATGGTTTGACGCTTAAACGTCCCCACTACTTCGTACGTCTCGTAACGGAAACAAACCGTACAAAGGGAATTTGGTACCTGTTATTCGTTGTCGCGTAACCGTTTTTGCTCGACTCCCGTGTAATTCAATCGACTCAACAACGCGATTGAGCGAAACCACTTCAGTTTCTACAGGAAAGCTTGGCCTACCTTGCCTAACCTAGGGCGTATTTTCTCTAAAACAAGAGCACGAGGAATTATCCGAGTTCAGATAATAAGTATATTTAAATTCCAACAATAATATTTGTATTTGTTCTTATAGCTCTAACTCAGTGAGATAGCAGTGAACCGTTTATGGCATGGTGATAAAAGAAATTATGGCTGAGAGCAGCGCGACTAGGAGCTTTCTGGCATTGGCACCCACCTCCAGCAACCTTAATGATGAGCTCGGAGAAGATATCACGATACCTCCAGTTATTTCTGATATAGTCCAACCAAGTCAGAACACCAGCCTTAAAACGCCATTATCATTTTACTCAAATCAGCAACATTCGACCAGAGAACAAAAAATTCAGGAGCCCTCTAGGGTTATCCCGGCATCACCATTGCAAGCAAGGCCCCAACTAGCTGTGCATATTAGGTCATCAGCACCATCCTCACCATCTCATACCAAGCAAGGACAGCCTATAGGAATAAGTCAGGAACCGCAACCAAGACGGAATCCTCCAACTGCAAGGGGGAATATCTCTGTCGTTCTGCCTCCAGCTTCCGTGCAACATGGAATAGAAGGAGCCAATTTCCAACCGAAGAAGAGGGGCAGACCAAAGGGCTGGAGGAAGCCTGGAAACTCCTATGCGGATAGAAGAGAAGGCGACACAGGGGATGCTAAACCCAATGTACCCAGGAAAGACCCCTCTAAAGAACCGAAGCGGCGTGGGAGGCCGCCACGCGATCCTATACCTTCGGCTAGAGAATGGTACCTACGGTCTAATGTTGAATACGTGCCATTCTTGTGCGAATGGAAACGGTCTTCGGGGCACCCTTGTCCAGCAGAGCTGCAAAACATGAAAACACTACGCAGGCATGTTTTTCTCGTCCATGGGGATGAAGACCCGTTAGTCTGTCAGTGGGGTAAGTGCGTAGCAAGGGACACCCCTATATATTTCGCAACCCAAACAGAATTCGAAGAGCACATGGAGAAGGTGCACTTCAGGTCGTTTGTGTGGCACATGGGAGATGGGTACCAGAACGAAGGTATCGCGACACTGAAGCGAGATGCTGACGAACTTCCGGAGTACTTGTTTGACGGGGATGGAAACCAAGTCACTCCATCAATTACTGAACAGCAACTCGAGGACGATCAGCAGTATAAAGAGAGGAAGCGGAAACTGAGGCGTCTCCTAATTCAACAGGACGAGAATGCCCTAACTGAAGAGGAATACGCAAGGCAAACGCTTGGGCTCGTCTGATTTAAGATGACTATGTCTTCTTATTCATACGTAGCAGCAATAGGGATAGCTTTATTCCGTGCTGAGCCGCAACCCAGATATACACAATTGGTCTATCTGTTAATAAGGGTTAGGTCTCTAAAGTCGACTCTAAAGGAATAATAGCTTTCATGGTTACCGGTTACCTCTTTCGATATTCGAACATTCCTATTTAGGATGCAGTTTAGGCGTGTATATAATTGTAGCAAGAAACCTGTAAAACAAGCATATAACAAGCATCCCTTTGACTTTGACACGACTCCCATTTCCGTAGGTTGCATACAGTGATGGGCAGTTAGGTTTTCAAGGGCATAACTTTACCGGGCTTCTATGCAGCCTTAGACATCACCGTGTACAGCAGACGTATTATGTCTATATGCCAAAACAGAGCTTAAGTTAAAAGCGGAATGCACCGCATTAAGTATAAATCTAGTATGATAATATAGCATGACGCGTTATGGAGTTACGACATATGTATGTATAGGAGAGGTAGCTTAAGGTTACTTAAGGTTACCTATGGTACATTCACGGTGCTAATATCGTCAACAATGTCCGATAGCATTTTAGAGGCTGACCAATCCATAAAATCTAAGCCTCTTCCCATGGCACATTTTCCCTTATGACGTAATAAACAGGGGCATCGTTGAAACTTCAAGGTAGCAGTATCGTATCGATAATATCGATGGATCCACGCATTCCTTAACAAAAGACATCATCAGCAGCAGTTATTAGTGTCACTGTAGAATTTATCATATTTTCCATGGCCAGCATTCCGTACTTTGTAATTTAGGGACACGTGAAATTTGTAGTGTAAATACCTATACACTACCTATACAGATAGATAAATGTACAGGCGGACAATTATAATACCTGATTACCGAATGTGCAATAAAATTCCCTAGTAACGGAAATAACGGTGGCGCTAGGTACAATATATACATATCTATGTACGGGGTCTACGAGTACTTCTTAAATCTGACTTATGTATAGTGTATGTAAGTGGGAAGCTAAGATGTAGTGTATTGCTAAGCCCGAATTCACGGTTATGCTTATGCTTCTCTTTAAATCGTCTAACTAAAGGGAACATAACATATCCCTTCAACTTTTACTATTCCTATATTCATCTATTCATTCGTCAATGTTCCCTTTCCCTTTCCGCGTATACCCTTCCGCGTACCGAACCCTTCCCTCGTTCACATTCACCAGCAGAGTCCCGTGTTCATGCGGACCGAAAAGGTCTAGCGAAAACCAAGCATCTAGATTTATCGCGTACGTACCTAACCTACATAGCCAGACCCGTGTTTTATTAGCGCATCCGCGGCCATCGGAGAACAACCAGACCTGGACGAAGGACGCAAATCCTGACTTCACGTATACGTCCGGAAAAGTCCTCTTTTAAGAAACACTTGCTTTGGATTACGCCGCAGGGAGGAAGGGTACCTTATATTGATTTGGTAGGTAATTTTATTAGTTTGGGTTGATTAGCAAGCAAGCAAAAGCAAGCAAGCAAAAAGAAGGGCAAGACGCAAAAGGCAAGAGCCTGGGACGCAACGTATTCCAAAGTGCCAAAGTGGATTAGTAACTCAGTCCAGTCCCCTCAGGTCCACCCCTTTTGCCCCTCGTTCTCACTGGCTAGGTACTGGTGGGTCAACTTATTAGTGGCTCCCCTGCCCCCCCTGCTCCCCCTGGACCAAGTGCCTTACCAAGTGAGCATAGCGCCTAAACCTGCCCTGTCCCAGTGTGTTCCAGCACATCCCAACCTGTCCCAAGCTTTTACGCCAAGCCTAGTTTGGCACCATCCAGCCCAGCCAGACAGCCATCCGGCCAGACGACAGCTGCTGATTGTTGGTGCAATTACTGCTACTTTGCTACTTTGCTACTTTGCTAACTACTGCTACCGCCGCCGCGCTACCGCCGACATGGGGTCCGACGAGTCAATTGAACACCATTCCAACCTCAGTCACCCGTCCCAAAACTCTCCCTCACCAACAACATCCGTTACCAAACGAGTCTCTCATTTCCGCATCAAAAAGCGATTTACATCATGGCATCACCCGAATGTTGACCTAAGGGACTCTGACATAGGCGACAAAACCGACACCGACAAGATGCCCGTCAAGTCGCCCGCCTCGACCGGCAATAATGGCCATAACAGTCACTTCAATCAGAAGCTGAAGAATTTCTTCCGCATTAACTCCAATAATACCAATGGTGATAAGGAAAAGAGTCTCGACCATGCCTTGAAGTCGGAGAGCAAGGTTGGCTTCCGTCAGTCGAGGAGATTTTTCACCAACGTCGGCAGGATTAGATCGACTACCACGGCTAGCGAAGGACATCCCCTAGACGATGCACTCAGTCCCACCGCCAATGCGAATCCGTACTTCGCCCACCAAGGCCAGCCTGGCCTCCGCCATCACGACGAAGCCTCCATTCCGCCGAGTCCGCCGGATACGCCAAGCCTAAAGATACACGGCCCTGACGGTACGACGGCGAAAGAGCAGGCCACAAATGCTACGAAAGAGGAGCTAGCTCGGAAACTACGGAGAGTTGCAAGTGCCCCTAATGCTCAGGGTCTCTTCAACCAGGGAAACGGTAGCGGAGAGAGACCGGCCACAGCTGAACTCGGCAAGGAGCCGTTGATTCAAGGCGAAAATGCCGCTTCGTTAGGCTTTGTTGATGCCAAGGCAACACTCGCCGCCGATTCTGGAGGCCTTTCCGTACCGGAAAATGATGGACTCGGCGCGCTTCCTCCACCAAACCAGAACTCGCTCGCTTTTCGTAGGACGTATAGTTCCAACTCGATCAAAGTCCGCACCGTTGAAGTTGGTCCTGCCAGCTTTGACAAGATCAAGCTCATTGGAAAGGGAGATGTTGGAAAAGTTTACCTTGTGAGAGAGAAGAAGAGTTCCAGGCTTTATGCTATGAAGGGTAGGTTTTTCACTATTTATCATTACTACTCGTTACGTATGGAACCGCGCTGACCCAAGCAGTCCTGAGCAAGAAGGAGATGATCAAACGCAATAAGATCAAGAGAGCATTAGCTGAACAAGAAATTCTGGCGACGAGTAATCACCCATTCATCGTGACATTATACCATTCCTTCCAATCCGAAGACCATCTATACCTGTGCATGGAATATTGCAGTGGTGGAGAATTCTTCCGAGCATTGCAGACTCGTCCTGGCAAATGCATTCCCGAAGATGACGCCCGCTTCTATGCTGCGGAGGTTACGGCCGCTCTAGAATATCTTCATCTAATGGGTTTTATCTACAGGGATCTAAAACCTGAGAGTGCGTTTACCTCTCCCTTTCTACCCGAGCCATACTAACTATATTGCTAGATATTCTTCTCCACCAGTCAGGACATATCATGCTTTCCGACTTTGATCTCTCAAAGCAGTCGGATCCGGGTGGGAAGCCTACTATGATTATGGGCAAGAATGGCGCCAGCACTTCGTCACTCCCTACGATAGATACGAAGTCGTGTATCGCCAACTTCCGGACGAATTCGTTCGTAGGAACCGAAGAGTACATCGCTCCGGAAGTCATCAAAGGCAGCGGCCACACAAGTGCTGTAGATTGGTGGACATTGGGCATATTGATATACGAGATGTTGTACGGCACTACGCCTTTCAAGGGCAAGAATCGTAACGCGACTTTTGCCAACATCCTCCGAGAGGAAATACCGTTTCCGGAACACTCTGGAGCACCCCAGATTTCAAAGTATGTTTAAGCTGAGAACTAACCCACCGCATTGGCGCTAACCTTGTTGTTTAGTCTCTGCAAGTCATTAATAAGAAAGCTCCTAATAAAAGATGAGACGAGACGATTAGGTGCGAGAGCCGGAGCTTCCGATATCAAAGTGCATCCGTTCTTCAGGACAACGCAATGGGCCCTGATTCGACATATGAAGCCGCCGATAGTTCCGCACGCGGGCCGTGGTGTCGACACAGTCAACTTTAGAAACGTTAAAGAGAGTGAAAGCGTTGATATCACCGGCTCGAGACAGATGAAGGGTGTACCGTTGGACAGCGGACTGGCAACACCCGGCAACGAAGCAGCCGACCCATTCGAAGAATTCAATAGTGTAACATTACACCACGATGGCGATGATTACGACAGCGACAGGTGATCACGCAGGAGCAACGCCTTGGTCGATACGGCAAATGCTCTGTTCTACGCCAACCTCTTGTTGGTATTCAGTAGCCTAAATCTATATGTGGTTATCGAAAATATGATCTCTTTTACCACGCAGCGTTGATTTCCACGCATCGCCAGCGGGTGTGTACTATGAGCCTCGAAATAAATGGGAAAATACTCACCGTCCATTTACAACTTTTCCTCTGTCCTACCATTCATGTCGAAGAAGATTGCGACTAGGGGCCGAGCACGAAGAAGGGAAGGGGAACAATGGCGGCATCAATCAGCATTCATATGTACGGCGTTTTTTGTCGGGTACGAGGGAGTTTTTTATGTTTTATTTTTTGGAAGGGAAGATCGCAAGAAAAGGGGACTCGCGCGAAACTATAGCAGCGACTTGCTCACTTGCTCGTTCGTCTGATTTGTATGACAGTTACAAATAAGGTCTCTGGACTTTATGTCTATTTGTTCTGTTAGAAAGTCTCGAAACGAAAACAAGAAAACAGCCCGCGCTGCTTACCCTGTGAGATAGTATACCTAGCATTCATTAACTACCTAGTCATCGGAGTGTTCATATGTCTTTTTTCTTGGGGTTTTTTTAGCCTTTTCCATACGGTTGCGTTTTCGATAGTTTACTAGGTACCTCTAGTGTGTTAGTCTTCTCAGACGTATCTTTTCCTAACATTTTATAGAGTGTCGAATTAAGTAGGTAGGTAACATATCTGAATGAGAAGAGCCGAGTAACCAGGGCAGAAACATAATTTTTATTATTATTGATTAACTAGTTGGCTTTCGTATCGGATAATATGTATGTTGGATGTTATGTACCTATTCATGCGTGATGAGGTTTGAGGCTGACCTCCTGACATCCGTGGGGGTGTCATGTAGTATTCCCTGTGACCACTCCCTAGCACGGCACGAGGCTACTTTCTTAATGAAGCGACGTCTACTACCTCCCCAACTCGTTAGGGTCCGATCCGATCCGATCCGTACAAATCCAGTTCGCTCTAGAGAGCGTTTAAATACTGTTTGCTATTATTGCTACTTTATGTTATGTAGGTAGTAGTCTTGCTACTTGTCTCTGGATGATCGACGGCACACGATAGACATGTTTTTTTTTAGAACTGTCTAAGCCGGGATACTACTCTGTTTTAATAACGGTGCTGATCTAATATATGCTAGGTACCAACCTATGCATACAATATATAATAATAGTAAGAGCCGCCTTACCGAATCCTTACCCAGGGATCGTCATCCTGGGACCTGAGTTGGAATCAATAAATTCAGCGCTCGCACGAGAATGTTCTCGGAGGCGAACTTATAAATACGTGAGATTTATGCACCCAGAGACTAGGCAGCGGAACTAACAAACGAACGGGAAGTTATGGTATTGCGAGCGAAGCGTGCTTGGATATTTGCGGAAATTCGCTTTCTTATACATAGACTTCTTTGGATTGAACTTGGACGAAATAAATCTCGAGCAACAATATATATGAGGTTTAAGCCATGGCGCAAGCAAATCTAGAGCAGCAGCAGCAGCAGAAGCAGCTCGACTTGCTAGGCCCGGCCTATGCGCTAGAATGGACAGAAAGTCAGAGCCGCTGCTCCCGGCGGGACTTTAGAAGTGCTGAAGAGCTGCGCACTGATATTCAGCATCACGGAAAAGAACCGCAGAAATCTAAGCCCCGACACCGGCTCCTGGTCCTCCATGGGTTCCCTGTGGACTATGTCCAGGTGTTAAGGGACCTGCTGGATATCGACACGGGCTTTATCGACGCACATATTAGTAGGCTGAGCTATAGGCCGTTGGTAAGGCGGAGGCGGGACCACGGGGCTATTCATTTCGAGTATCCAGAGTTGTTTACAACGCCGAGGGAGTTTGCCACAGATATTGAGAGGGTCACAGCAGTGAATGGTTTTCGTACTAGAGGTAATGATAACGCTGGAGAACCGCCTCTGCACACCATCTCAGACAACGGAGAAGAGGTATTATTCTGTCGCGCCTCGTTATGGCAGTGTGCTAAAACCAATGGTAAAGACAACTTTACTCATAGCTTATAGAAAAGACCATTATTAACTCTGTTTCATAGTTCTTCTGTTGGACAGTCCGGCATGGACTCGGGGACGTCGTCCTTTGGACCCAGGTCAAGTTATCGCAACTACCGGCCTGGCAGACGGAGTTATGTCGAGTTTTGAGTCGCTCCTCTACCATAGTTTGGCGGAGGAGTGGCACGATAACTCCTACGAGGACGTAGATATACGTGCTCTCGTACAAGACATCGCCGTGCACAAATGGACCGAATTCTTCGATATGGTTTCTTCGAATACAACCCTCGGTATGCATCAGATGACGGCGCTCTACTGGCAAGTACAGGAGAGTCTAGAAAGAAACCTGAGCAGCGCCGAGCTCTACGAGAGATTACTCCAGGCTACAAACTCTCCATGTTCAACCTCCTATTCCTCTAAATCGGACTGGGAATTCCTCCTCTCCCGCCTTAATAGACATGTCTCGTTACTGAACCACCTTGCCCCTATTTCCGCACCTAGTCTTAACCCCAGTCCCGTTGTCCCCGGTAGCATCCCACCTCCTCCACCGGGGAAGCAGCCCCTTACTACAAGAGGTATTCCCCCATCAGAAATGATCCCCGGTCGCCATCGCACCCGCAGCGGCAACAACTCCAGTGCCGACGAACAGAACAAGCACGCGCTAGACCGCGTCTCGTACATGGGCGGCATCCTACTCCCACTATCCATCGTTTCCAGCATCCTATCTATGAGCGACCCGTTCGGTCCTACGGGGCCTATGTTCTACGTCTTCTGGGCGGCGGCCGTGCCTCTAGTCTTCGTCGCCATCCTAATCATCTACGCTGATTCGATCCGCAAGGCCGAGGTATGGATCGAGGTCGCGAGTAACGGTAGTAGCACCGGCGTTGGCGAGACTAGCGAAGAGAAACCTGGGTCCGATCTTGAAGGTCAGGCTTTGCCGTATAATGGGTTTGGGATCGCGGCGCTGGGAAGGAGGGAAGAACAAGAGGAGGAGGAGGCAATGGGGACAGATTCGTTTGATGAGCCAGCTATGATGGTGGAGAAGCTATTCAAAGATGCTGGGAGTAGGAAGTGGAAGAGAGAGCAGCTTGGTTGGGGTGGCGCATGTAAGACTGCGTTGCGAATTTATAAGCTCAAGAGAGGGAAACCACCTGGCTGGGTTAGGCATGGAAGGACAATTTAAGGACACGGACTAATATTGGAATAATATACAACATTATATTAAAACATTGGAGCTACGGTTGTTCAAGGTGCGAGTTAACATTTATTCCCAGCGGCTCCCCGTTTCCAAGGGACTTGGGCTTCGTGCGACATGGTTTATCATGGTTGGAAATACACAACCGAAAGTGAACCACGAGCTCCATCTGCGGCATCGCCTCGATGATTTCACGGCACCGGGGGTGGCCATGGTCGAATTGCTGTACGGCGTGAATAACAGCTCCGGGATCGATTACCGATTTCGTCTGGACGTTCATCTCATTCGATGAGATGACGAGAGCTGAGGATGGAATGTCATCTTGAGCTCTGAGCCAAAGGTTTTTAAGATCGTTATAAGACTGCTCAATATACTTCTCATCTAGTTCTATAATATCTTCAAGCCAATCCGCAACTCTCCGCTATCCTAGGCTGTTAGCACTTATACCATCTCATAGTCTCGTGACTGACCTGGAAGTATGGCGGATCCGACTCCTCAACGTATAAGTCTTTTAGCTGCCGTAGCTTCCCACGATCGTGAGCATTAACAAGAAGGGTGTGACATCTATCAACACCCTTTCCAAAGATGGCTTGCACCTTGGGAGATCTACCAAGGTGCATCAGTATGCTGTCGTGGTAGAATAGATACTGCGGTACGCCCGACCAGAAACCCCGCTTACGTTTCCATTGCTCCACGAAGAACTTCCCCGAAGCACCTAACAGAGCAGCGAGGCTCACGCAGACGGGACTTGCGGGAGAGCTAGCGAAGTAAAACCTGGTGACGGCGGGGTTGTTGACATGTTCCATAACGAGGCCGTTCTGCTCCGTAACGTGGCCCTGAACATGCTGAAAAACGGAATCGTCGAAGCAGAGCGTATCAGTAGAGGGATTAAACCACGTCATCTGCTTAATCACGCAGCAGACGCCGCGAGGACGACTACCAACGAACTTCCACGATCCAGACCGCGAAGCGAGCCGTCGTGCTTCACGATTTACGGAAAGCAGCGTCGGCGGAGCTAATATCACGGCTACCAGGTCTGAGCCGCGGATCCGCCAAGAATCGTGGTCTAACTCTTTGCTAACGTTAGCCTCGCCGTCTCGCCTGACGGAGACGGTTTCGTTCCGGATTTCGAAGACTCGGCGCGGCAGAGCAAAGCGCCATATAATATGTCTTAATTCTGCTGGAAGGTCTGGAAATCGTGGGAACGAGGTAGCCACTACCGGTTCTAATTTTACCATGGCTTTTCCAGTGACAGTTATCGCAAGGGAGGCTTAATAGGGGACAGCTACTAATCCCTAGGGCTGGGTATATTGGATTGGTTTAGGGAAACAAGGCTATTCTAGGCGGATTATACAGGAAGATGATAAAAACAGTGCGGTATGACTACCTATTTACTAAACTGAAGCAGATGACCCAACCGCGTAAAGGAATGACGGCGATTGGCAACCTACCCGGCCGAGACTCGGTAGTCGGAAACCGACGATATGAGCAAACGAAGCCGAGGGCGAAGTCTCATCAACATAAATACTAGTCTAGTTAACCATGTAGGCAGCAAACATAACATCTGTAAATCCCTATCTTCGCTACGATAGCTTCTCACAAGCTCTACCGAGTCTAGTCAGCCGATGCAAACGACACAGACAATAAATAGTCCATTGTCTTTGTCTTTGTAGATCTCTGTCCTCCATGCTGGAAAATCCGTCGGAGTTCGGACAAAACAGACAGATGGAATCGGAGATGCGGAGCACATTTACATACAAAGATACTGAAAAAGTGATATGTGAAGAATCTTGAAGTGAGATAGATAGATAGATACCTGGTGGGGGGTTGGCGAAGCTGAAGGGTTTAAAGGGTCTTGGAATGCATTGTACTTCGTATATCCGAGCTCCCATTTCGGCGTCAAATTATTATTAACAAATGATGCGCTATTGGATAGATTTAATCTTATCGCCGAACTGGTCCCTGAGCCACAGCGCCGGGAGTATAACCTGAGGTACATGCATATGTACCTACATAATGTATTCCCCTGCCCCACACTGGCCTTACCATACCAGGATCTGCTAGGTCCAATAAACCATTAATTCATACTCGGTCTATGATTGAAAAATTTAAACGTCTATAAGGGTGCGGATACTTGAGCGAGGGTTGATAAATATAAATACTTCAATTGATTTAAATATTAAAAAGAATTTAAACGTTGAAACTTTCCAGCGTTGGAGGCGGTAAGCGTTGAAAATATTTTAAGCGTTGAAAAGTGTAAACGTTGAAACCCTATATACGTTTAACAGGTATAAACTATGAATAGACTATCATGTACAGGGTATAGGACATGCAAAAAATAGATATATCTGTATGTCGCATACTACTATTAGGTGTCGCATACTATACTATTACACATACTTGGAATAGGATCATTTTTTTACTACTGTTACTTTTACAATTGAACCACGGATGTATTACGGCTTACGGCTTACGGCTTATTCAAATAGACTACGAGGCATTACAATACTGCTTGCCTTGTAATTTCAATTGATATGTCTCTCTTTCCTTCTTAATCTGTAAGGTACGTACTAGTCTAACGTTGAAAAATTTAAGCGTTGAAAGTTGCAAGCGTTGAAAATATTTTAAACGTTTAAACGGTTTAAACGCCTAAATCTAATTAAATATATATATTCATCAACGTGTAGTAATATAAGCGTTTAATTACATATGACTATTGAATAATCATTGATTATATTCAACTATTGATAAACTGTTTACTAGACCCTGTAAGTCCCCCTATGGTACCGTTTTCATAGTGGGGACCGGAGGCTCAATACATATCGCAATCAATATCGCAAGACGGAAATGGACCCCTCCATCCCGTTAACAAGACGCGTTTCTTCAACCCAGCGTCCGCATTTCTGCGTTTTCCATACCTCCCAATCCTAATACGCATAGGCAAAACACCACCATCGCAATTTCCGTCGCGATGGAAGGCCAGGCACCTAACCCCTTGCTATTGCCTCCGGATCTCACACCGCTAGAGCAAGAGGTGCTCGAAGAATACGAGCGGCTAGCGGAGAACATGAAGAAGGTGAGCCGGCACACGCAACGCACGCACGCATTCGCGCGTCAACTGATATCTTATGTATTACCTGCACACGTGCGGCCCTACATACATACATACATACATGCTATACATATTTCCCGGTCCAATCATAATACCACGACGTCATAACACGGCGCATCCCCTCCTCTAAACACCGGGGTATAAGACAGCCAAAACAACTAGCTAACCTCGATGCAAAATAGCTCGCAACCGTACTGGACGCTATGGCCGGACAGCCCACGACCGAGATCCTCGACGGCCTGCGGGAGCTCGAGCGCAAGACAAGCCTGGTATTCACGCTGCTCAAGGCGAGCGTCTACAGCATCGTGCTACAGCAGGAGATCGACTGGGGCGACCAGGCGCGGGGCTGAGCGGGAAAACTAACGACAGCACGAAATGACCTGCCGTATACATAACATATCAAGCCGCTTGGTTATAGTACCAATGGACTTATATCAAGCACCGCGTCTTCGGGTCTAGGGGCCTATGTTTCTAAGGATATAGGAGCTGGCTTCGAGGAGCCTATATATGCTCAATACTAGCGGGGAAGTGCATTGGCATATGCTAGTCTATGACAGCTGTTCCTAGCTGTAGTCTATGGGACATTCCGCCAGTGAGATATGCGGGAATGGAGACATGATACTGGCAAGATTCAACTGGGATTCGAGCTAGACGGAATCATATGTAGACGGAATTATATGTATTGACCCATCACAAAGATACCCAAATACACCAACGTCAAATACAAATACACACCAGCGAGAGACGCTACGCATAAATTGCATTTCGTTGAATTTGGAGGGCGGAATATCTACACGATATTTTTTACATAATTTGCTTTAGTATACATTTCCACCGTAGTAGACCTTGCGGACGTCCACGAGCTTCTTGCCCCTGCCGGTAGCCAGCTCGTTGGGATCCTTCTGGCTCTGCAGAGCCAGCACGCAGGCCTTGACCGAGTTCATCGGGTTTCGCCCTCGGGGCATCTTGGCCGCCACGTCGCGGATGCCTACGGATCGGAAGATCTCGAAGAGTCGATGCGAGGCGCGTAGACCGAAGCCTTTTCGAGTAGTTAAAGAATTAGTAAGTAGGTATGCTTTTGGATGGGTTGAAAAGGCGGGGGAGGGGTAAATATGCGTGCGTATAACTCACCAGGTGGGCGGGCTTCTATCTGGACTATAGTCGCGCCGACCTTGCCCTTGACGTTGCCGTAGATGGTCCTGTTCTCGTATCTGCGAACTGGCTGCATGTTCTGGATGGCCAAAAGCTTGGCCTTCTGCCGCGCAACGGCCATTTCGACAGACTTGGCCTCGCCGATGCCGAGCCGTCCATCACCGTTTCCGGCAATAGCTAGAATCCACGTGCTACGGATCTTACCCAGACGGGTCTGGTTGTGAACCTGTCGGACGACTAGGATCTTGCTGTTGATGTCCAAGATGTGCCGCACGCTTAAGCCCGTCCGTCTCTTCAGATCCTGGTATATACCCTGGTCATCCTTGCCCTCGTCTGCCGGGTCGATCGGTGGCTTGTACATGCCCTCCACACCGGCGAGCTTTTTGCCCAGCGCTGGCGCGAGCGCCGAGTTCGAGGGCCCGTTGGTGTTTATCATTGTTTCCGGCTCGAGGAAATATTTGGCTTCCTCCATGGGGAAATCGATGCGCTGGTCTAGTATTTGCTGTATCTTTTCTTCGGGTAGCTCTTCGAAATTTACGTCTTTCGGTATTAGAGCCTCGAGGCGCTTGGTTAGGTCTGCCACATCCTCCTCTTCCGTCATAAACCTAGCTTTCGGGTTGGGTGGGGGGTTGGTTTTCGGGCGCTTGTCGATGATGGGGTAAATCTTGCTGAAGTCGTCGATGTACGGTATCCTATAAGGGTCTCTCCGTATTCGACCTTGTATCGTCAAGTCTTTAGGATCGATCGCTGCTTCACCGGCTTCGAGAGCGGCCATCTGCTCGGGCGTATACCTCTTCTTCAAGACCTCTAACTCTTCCGGGGTATAACGAGGGAACGTTTTGCTACCGTACTCCTCGATCTTCTCCGGCGATACCAGCCCCATTTCCTCAGCTCGTATGCTCTTGAATCGGGGTTTCCGCCTTGCGGCGAGCTGCGCGGAGCTGTGAAATTGGGCGTGGCATTGTGATGCCGGTGCTGCTGGTTTGGCCGCGGCAGCAAGCCGCCTGGAGAGCAGACACCGTGCTGGTCGTGCTATGCTCATCGCATCCCTAGCGTTCAAGTACCCGCCCTAGTATGGCTGCGATGGCGCAGAAAAGGAATGATAGGGTCGCGTGAAGATATGAGCTTCAATTGGTACATATTAAGTATATGGAAATTATTTTTTAGCAACCCTCAATTGCTCAATTCGGTCTTACGTTTTGCCGACCCACACCTCTACCTCAGGTACCTTTCTGCAGTGATGTGGGTTCTGTTCTTACCTTCTTATTGGCTTATCTTTCATTGGTGGTTGGAAACCAATCATCTTTCATCATTACTGTTAGCGACTTACTTGATGTACAAGTACTGTACTTTGTAACTAACACGACGTCACACAGATGACACCATTTATTACATCCGCCTTCTTCAATGTTTATTTCAATTTTTACCACTACCTACCTACCTCTTATGTGAGACATTCGGTAGTAAGCCTCCTTCAAAATATAAGAGTAAAAAGCATCACGCCGCGCAGTCGCTAGCTGAACCTCTTATGTACCTACATTTATGGCATCAGGGCATTCGAGATCTGGATAGGGTGATGTCTGAGCGTTCCCCATTACCCGCCAATGATTGGCCATACTAAATCTGTCGACTTTGCCGCAGGTCTGAAACGCACGAGTTTCACAGGGATTGTTACTATCGTCAGTCCATCCATCAGTCGAGACCGCAACGTTAGGAGGCGTTTGTCGCATAGCTGATACTAAACACAAGACAATTGTGTAGGATTACTTACGTTTCTCTTACCCTTAGGTAATTTTCATTATTGCACACCCATTGCCCAAACCAACTTGGTTGCTAATTTCCCTCCCTTTTTCCTAATCTTGCGAAAGTGAAGCTATCATTACAATTTCCCTTCTTTTCTTCCTTCTAGTGTGACTGGTGCACCATAATATTGTCTTGTCTTCCTAGCGCCTAGTTTCGTTTACTCATCCATTCGCTCAATTTATCTACTCGATACCCTTTCAACTTCAAATCGAATACTCGAACAACTCCTTCACCAATTCCAAGACCGTCGCGAAGCCAAGCACAGTTCAAAATGTCTCAACAAAGCTCCAATCTACCGAGCCCACCAGGCGGTCAATTTGGATTCATGTCCAAGATTGGTGCCACAGATGCGGCCGTCCGTACTTTAAACGACCAGCCGTACCTGTTCACTATTCTCGTTGTCGTCCTCATCACGCTCATCCTTGAGAGCGTTTTTATATGGTTCATCCACTACGCGACTTTGAAGCCCGAGCAGAAGAAAAAAAAGGAACCCAAAGGGGGCAAGAAAGCAGGAGGAAAGCCACCGGCAGCTCGATAAAAGGACTTCTGTCGTAAGACGGCTCTGATACGATATTTGGAAGTATTGTAACAATTTAATTGGGATAAAATCCGGCAATTATACTTTTTTTTTTAACGACCATCCGCCACCGCCGCCTTCGTCGGGAAAACACGATGCATCGAGACGTAGATGTTTTAAGGAGGCAAATAGGGTTCTGAGTGTTTAGTGTTTGGGCGAAAGGGTAGAACAGAACGATAAGGATAGCATCTAGAGACGCTTCGACGACAGCAGGCCGCGTCTAGCACTCATAATTATTGCGTATTTACTCGGTTATATGGTCTATCAATATTGTCAATACATATCTATATCCTGAGAACTTGTTGTTCCTCTCTGAGCTCATGGCTTTGGTCTATCACTCTTTCATCTATCTCACAGGGGTAACCATCTCTGCTCTTATACATGTGTTGTTGCATATCGTCCCAGAGCGCATGTCGAGTGTTATATGGCAACTCATCTGTAGAATTGCAAATGCCCTCAACGCCGTATACATAGTTGGATGCGTGTAGATCGTTGACGTCCACAATCGAGTCACTAAAATCGCCAGAAATGTGTTGTCGGGCAGTTGAAGTGCCTCGTAATTCTAACAAATTTGAAGATTGAATAAGAGAATCATCCTCAAGACTACCACCTGGTAAATAGCCGGATTCTACCTCTATGCTGTCAATGACTTCTGCGAGGGAGCCTTCGTTGGCGACCCTTATGTCCGGGTCCCCGTGCTGCCACTGCTCATATTGAGCTGTTGCGTCGGGATGGTTACTATGATCTCCCTCTAGAGGCTCTTGGAGTTGATATAATAACTGATCCTCGTCGTAGGCGCTATCGAAGTCGAAATCCTGACTCGAAGTTCTGTCCAAGATGTAGAAACAATCGCCACTATCAGACTCCTCAAGAGAGCCCATGCTCGAAGATGCTATCTCGAAAGGCCAATCGATGTTTTCACGCTGTTGTGCATCGATATTTATACTAGCATTCTTGATGCGAATAGTCGGTTCTAGTTTTGCTTGCACTAAATCCCAAAGCCTTTGTTGAATGGAACATCGGTAGGTGTTTAGTTCGGCTTCGCCCTCTGTGCTGGTAGAGGGCTTATTGCTAAGGGTGTTATCTACATCTATTAGCAACCTTTTACTTTTTTCCCGTAAAGATGCCGATCGGTTTCGGGATTGTGCAGCCAGAATGCTCGAAATAATGGGGATATTGGCCGCGTGGTGCGTCACCGCCTAGATCTCGTTGTTAGACACGATTTCTAATCTTATAAGAGAGTTTTCAGAACCTTGAGATAATGAGCGTTCCAGATAGCAGGGGCTAGTTCGAGTAATGAGGGTCGATCATCCAGCTGGAATACTCGCAAGCCGCGCATACGTTTCCTTATGCCAATAGTTACATATAACGCCATCTGAGCCAAGCGGCCTGCATCGTTCCATCGTTGTCGAGAATGTCTGGCGAAAATATCCAGAATTGGATCTTCCCAATAGTAATAATTATAGACTGCGCTCCCATAAGTGTCATTGGTTAGGTCTGGCGCTTGCGGTTGTGAAGCCGGTTCGAGATGATAGTCATCTATATCGAGATCGCATATGTTAGATTCGTTAGTGTCGATATTAGATACGTCCGAATTACTTGTTTGGTATTGGAATAGGCACTCTATCCCATATAGACGAGCAGTGGGACTGTGCGGTGGTGAAAGGAGTACAGATGACTTTTGTAGATGTTCGATAATGAAATAGAGATTTGGGGCTCCGTCGTATAGCGGTTGGTATTGGATGTCTTCTTGTTTAATTGCAAGGCCAAGGGCAGGCCAAAGCTAGACAGATTCACATGAGCGACCGCGGTAAGATGCAAGAATGGCAACTTACTGGGCATTGACAGATCACATCTGCTAGATGTTCCAGAAATCCAGGCTCAGTTTCTCCTAGTACCAAGGATACCGGATTCCGCACTACTATGATTTGCATTCTGCATATACCGGGAGAAATAAGCCATAGCTCTTTTGACTGAATTGACTGAAAAAGCTTCTCAGAGGAATATTGAGAGGATGGTACGTCTGATATTAACGCAAGAGAAGTTACGGATAAGGAGGAATCGGATTCTGCGCTAGACAGTTCGAATGTCTTGAGCTCAAGCTCAGTATGGTCGGCCATAGTAGAACATATGGCTCAACTTGTTCAGGAAACTTTCCGTTCCAAGGGTAAAATTGATGCTATACACATCTAAGAACATAACATGACTAATAGATATCTACACATGTAGGGAGTAGCATCGAACCGAGTCAAAAGGTAATGTTTGATGGTATTATATGAGTAGGTTTGTGATAGGAGGAGACGGATTATACCATAGAAACATAAATTGGGTTGTGGATTTCAACCTTGGAGTATATAGAATGGGAAGTAACGAAACATAAAGACCCTGGGAAGAGCGAATTGGGAGGTGAGGGGCCTACAAGCACCTAAGGTATAATTTGTGTCGCAACTTCTTCATTATATATACCCGGGTACCTAGGTAGATAGATATGGGCACACCTCACGGCAAGTGCCACTTGCATACCACTTACACGATAAGTGTAGATAACCTTTTTTCTCTGCCCGTGGTCTATAACCCAGACATAAATACGACATCGAGAGTGACTTGATTGTCTCTTATAACTTAGTTATACATTATACAAGATCTCGTAGTTAGGGGAGATCTAAGGGTGTCCGTGGACCGTCTGAGCCTGGCGTGGGTGGAGCTGGTTTTATCGACTCGGCTGGGACCTTTCGTCTTGGTCTCTTTAAATCTTCCAATGTAATCCCGTCCAGCTTGGTAATACCAACCACTGGCGGTTCACCCTTCTTCACGAATTCCCATTGCCCTGAATATGATGTTAGGATGGTGTAAATATGTAGCGCCGGAGAGTACAGGGCTTACCAGGTAGCTTGTTACCAGCTAACCGAAAGGCGTCGCGCGCGACTTGCTCGTGGACCATCCCTCTTAATTCTAAGACGATCTGATTCACTGCTACCCTCGCAGCCCAGTGATCGAATGAACCTTTTCCTTTACCCATACGTATCTATAAATATGGGTTGGTTATAAGGGACATATGAAACGGGAATTTCGGTAGACAGACCTCGTTGCCGCTAACGAACACACCAATATTGCAGCACACTCTCTTATATAGTCGGTACTTTTGACCACGCAATCGCTGCTTGATAGTATCCTCCGCAATCTTGAGATTTTGAGCACTGATCCTTCGATGGTGATCGATCATCCGTAGTCCGTAATCTCCCCACATCACCGTTGTTCCCTTAGTAGAGCCACCAGTTGCGACCCTTGCTCGTCCCTTCATCATCTTCTGCTTGCGATTTATATTGGGCTCTAGCCAGTTGCCGCCCATTGACGCGGTTGCCGAAAAGAGACGGACATTTTGGGAGCATTGAATCTTTCGGGGCACAATCGAGGTGCTGGGTCTGATCAGCGGGCGCGTAGCTGAAGAATTGGTTATCGTAAGTGACCGAAAAGCGCCGACAAGGCATGACGGCGCCTTGGAATGCATGATTGCGAGGATATGGAGACTCAATCGTCGAAAGCTCCCGTCATCGCCTCGCACCTTGAAATTTGATCATTGAAGTTAAAAATGACCAAATTTGAAGATCCAATCGCGGATCATTAGTCGCTAGTGGGGTACGTATATTATACTTTAGTTACATACATTAGCGCATTTTAGCAGCTGGCATTTCAGTGATAATCTTGAGGATTACCTAATATAATACAATTGCGCAATGAGTAAGGTCGTCACCTACAACGGAACGTGGCCAGAACTTGATAAGGAATATGATAAGGTACGGAAGAACCTTGGTCCCTTGCTTTTTCTACATCCGTCGCTGTAATTTGATGCGATAGATTCCAATTGTAGGCCACCACCAATTGTTACGTTTTCCATTCTTTTGGGTCGCTTGTCGCCTTCGCGCATCGGACAGAAACGCTTGTCATCCTCTTCTGCTAGCCTAAGAAGCCGTTCTCTTTGGTTCATTATATCGTCTTATACTTTCACCAGCAATCAAAATGGCTATACTCAGTCCTCAAGTGTACGTGTTATCAATTTTGTCTCTCACATGTATACTCGTGTATACTCGTGAAGTAGTAGCTAACTGAGTCTCGGTAGAACCAACATCATCATCATCCTTGGGATGATGCAAGTTTCCAAGCGAATCCCCTTCGATGATCCCGATGTTCTCAACATTGTTCGCGCGCTCTACATTGGTAGCAATGTAATCATCGCTGGTATCTACGCCTACGTCCAATACCAGATCAACAAGAAGAAGGGTGCGATTCTCCCCTTGGAAACGCTATACTATACACGCAATTATACTAACCAGTCACTGACGTATAGATCTTACTACGCTCAAATACGTCGAACCGGCTCCGATGGGATCTTCGGAGGAGGGCAAGCTTGTGACTACCACCGTCCAAGCCTACGATTCGCAGCAACTCAAGAACTCTATCCGATCGCAGATTATGGGCCTTGCAATGATGGGCTTTATGCACTTATACATGAAGTACACCAATCCGCTCTTGATCCAATCCATCATTCCGCTCAAGGGTGCCATCGAGTCCAACTTGGTCAAGATCCACCTCCTTGGCCAGCCGGCGATTGGTGATCTCAAGCGTCCCTTTAAGCAACCTGCCGGACTCATGGGTGGTCTTCAGAGCGGGCCTGCGCAGAGCGATAAGAAAGCTGTTGAAGCCGCCGAGCGTGCCGGTCGGGGTGGTGTCAAGGACGAGTAATAATCTTATAAGTGGCTCGTTCATCTAAAGTAGTTTAATGGAGGGACTTGCAGCATAATATTAACGCTGTAGACGAAGAAAACCATGGGTGTTTTACTACTAATATAGACTATACGTACATCACGAATAGACGACTTGCATAATTTATGTATAGTTGATATTTGCATATCTAATTGCTGTGATAATGCCGACAACTTACCAAGGTATTCTCGTTATTACCATCGTCTATAATATATTTACGTAGGTACGTACGCGCATAGAATTCCGGGCTGCCCGGGGTGGCGTAGGTACATAAATGCCGGGGATAATTCTTTTTAAATTTATAGTATCGTTTTCAACCCCCGACGTCACCGGCTTATACCCTTACATTCCGAAACCAATGCTAAAAGGTAGTCCTTAGTAACATTCAAAGCTACAACAACTTCCCGTCTCAACTTATTCACAGCCAGACTTCTCTTGCGTTTACTCATGATCACACTTCCTTTACAAAATGGAACGCCCTTCTACGCCACCACAGGCAAAAACTGCCAACCCCTCTAAACCTGTAGCATCCCCTCCTACGCCTGAGATCACCCGTCGCATCGTGAGTCAACCCCTCGGCGAAAGACAAGTTCTGATTGCATCCAATCCTTGTGAGCTTTATTCTAACTATAGGGTAATTTATAGGAAGAAAATAGACTCCGAGCCAAAGCATTACGTGAACAGCATGAGTCCGCCGCCCGCGCAGCTGGCGCACCCTCCGTCTCTCGCACTCCATCTGGCTTCATCGCCACCGATAATGCGCAAGTCCCGAACACGCGTAAGCGCGCCTACGATGCTATATCTAGTACCCGAGTCCGTGAGACACCATCCACAAGTCGCGACGGCCGTGTTAATGGTGTCTCGCCTGCCAAGGCTGCTCCTGGCGACAGTGCCGACCAGGTCAAGGCGGACAAGGACGAAGGTGCCATCAGACCAGCGAGGAAGTTCACTAAGTTTGTCGACTACGACTTCGGCAAGATGACGGATACGAAAGGCGGTTTCTTGAGTGCTGAGGACGATCCCTGGAACAAGGCAATGTCGGGGTCTACTGCTACGGGCAATGGAAAGGGTAACGGGCCCAGTGAAGGGCAGGAAGAGAGGCCCAAGGGAATGACGGTGCAGGAATGGGAAAGGCGGCAGTTACTGAAGAAGCTCCAACGGCAGAAGGCAGGGCCATTCGAACCAGGCTTGAGTGTGCTACGGGATGAAAAGGATCGGAAGAGATGTCGTGAGTGTAAAAGTCTCGAGATCGACTTCGTATGGGAGGAGGTTTTCGGATGTGCCATTTGCAACAGCTGCAAGGAGAAGTATCCCGAAAAATACAGTCTTCTAACCAAGACGGAGTGCAGGGAGGACTACCTTCTGACAGAGCCGGAGCTGAGAGACGCAGAGTTGCTACCCCACCTCTCAAAACCAAACCCGCACAAATCTCACTGGCACGATATGATGCTATTCCTTCGGTATCAGGTCGAAGAGTATGCGTTCAGTGACAAAAAATGGGGTTCGGCAGAGGAGCTGGATGCTGAGTTCGAACGTCGTGAGGCGGAAAAGAAGAAACGGAAAGAAACTAAGTTTAAAGAGAAGCTACTGGACCTCAAGAAGCGAACGAGGACGGATGCATACCGGAGGCAGACGGGGAGACTTGGGGAAGACGGAGGAGGAGGTACGGCGTCTGGTAAGAAAGCCAGGTTTGGGGATGCGATTTCCAACGGTGGTAAACATGTTCACGAATGGGGACGAGCCATCGAGAAAGATGACGGTTCAACAGTGAAGACTTGTACGACCTGTGGTATGGAAGTTGAGGAGATGGAATTTTAGGAATAACTACCTATGAATAATGATACCCAGTTATGTAGAGCATAATTAATAGCTCCTTTATGGAAAGGCCTTTCTACGCAACTTATCATGTTTAGACTGCATAGTTAGTCTATCTAGGTTAGGTACCTAAGGTATACGTTGAAGTATGAATTATTTATTCAAGGAGTCGTTCTAATAGGTAGCCTTTTGCTAATTCGTCTTGGTCAAGCGAATAGACGGCCAATGTCTCTCGATCCCATTGCTCGAGTTTCGCGTTGTTGATCAGCGCGATAATATTCCTATTCTTACGCAATGATGCATATAACAATCCATTCGTCATTACAATTGTAGGCCGACAGAGCGAGATTCTTAAAAGTCATGCTTTACTGAGCAACTACTTATCTAGGTACTTTGGTCTTACATATCTTATTCGCCTTCTCGTATATCGGAGAGGATTGCATATTGAGGTAATGCCGGTATTTTGTTCGATGGAGACGAAAAATCTCAATCGGAATAATGACCATCAGTCGGGCTTCAATTGGTTAAGACAAGAATTGGTTAAGACAAGGGTAATAATATAGGTAGGTCCATATGTAATATATACGGCGCGGAGCTTATCAAATATCCGGACAATTCGGTCTTAACCCTCTACCGTCCATCCGAATCGGGACTATGGTTCCAATTACTACACAAGTATAGACTAATGTCGCCGACTTTATTAATTGTTTTTAAAAAGCAAGTATTGGCTATAAGTACCTATAAGATGTATGCCTATTAGTCGGAGGATCTTAATGCCAAGATTCCGTGACGCCTCGTGTCTCTCGGCCTTTCGCTTCGGTGTGTGAAACCGACTCATAGACTATGACGAATGAGTATAGGTAGTAGGGAGGTTGGTATTTAGGGATGCTGGTTCCTGTCTATAAGTGGGAGTTTACTTAAGGAACACGGTGGGCTTCGGTTTTAACTTATAACGCATCATATAAATAAGAGTGAACGAATAAGTCATAAAACACGAATATGGAAGTATTGGGCGGCCTCGAGAGTGGGCAGCTTCTGTTAATCGCTGTGGGCGTAGCCATACTAGGCGTATGAGACTCGAATCATATCTAAATAATCGCATCCGAGAGGGCTAACTACTTCGCAGTATACCTATACTATTCTGAGCAACCCTCTGGCAAGACTGCCTGGCCCTTGGTATACGTTATGGACGGAAACAATTTTGAAGTATAATGTTGTCAGAGGCCAGAGGCCACAATGGGTTCATTCGTTACATGAAAAATACGGTACGCTCATCCTCAGCCAGGCATATACCCCCCAATAATAAAAAATCACCCCTATTCTAATCATGACCCGGTAAAATCGCAGGAACCGTCGTCCGCATTACCCCCAAAGAGGTCAGCATACAAGATCCGAACGCTGTCCAGCAGATGTACCAGATCAAGGGCGAGTTCCTCAAGTCCCAATTTTACGAGGTTTTCCTACCAGGAAACAAGAACGTCTTCAGCACGACCGATGTCAACTATCACCGACGACACCGAAAGCTCCTCGCATCCGAGATATCGGAGTCAGGTTTAGCCGTACATAGACCCACGGTTGATGACAAGGTTCGTATGGCTATTGAGGGTATGGCTGAAGAGATGGAGAAGCGCGGTGCTACAGTGAGTTGCTATCTCATCTATGGAGGAGGGAGAATAGTTGCTAACCCACGCCCTTCGCCTTCTAAAGGATGTGTATCGTTGGTCTTTATATATGGCCACAGACGTGATCGGCGAGCTCAGCTTCGGGTCTTCATTCCGCATGCTAGAATCAAGGGAGGTGCGTATCTTGCCTATGACTCTTCGTCATCTCCATGAAACTATGGTCTTTTCCACTGACCCTGTTTTTGTGTTGTAATAGGAGACCCAATACACCCGCGACTTAAAATTGATAGCATTTGCTGGAGGCCTCAGGTCGACATTCCCCTTCCTCATGAAGGTCACCAAGTACGTCCCGCTGCCGGTTCTCAGCATAGGGACGCAAATCCGAGAGCGTATACGCGTATACGCGACGCAGGCGCTAAGCCGACATTATAAAATAGTAGAAGAGCAAGGACGGAACGCCAAGCCCACACTCTTATCCAAGTTGTACCGTGCCACAGAGGACGACAAAGACATGCTTCCTTTCGACGAGCTGCGCGAAGATGCCATGGCGTATATCGCAGCGGGAAGCGACACTACCACTAACACCTTGACGTACCTCATCTGGACCCTATGTAAACACCCCGACATCAAGGCGAAGCTGCTGGCAGAACTAAACACGCTGCCGGACGGATTCACGGACCTGGACCTCAAGAAGCTGCCCTACCTCGACCATGTGATTCAGGAGACGCTACGCTTACACAGTGCTGCCCCCTCTGGTCTACCTCGTGTCGTACCTCAGGGAGGTGCTACTCTCGCTGGCCATTTTATTCCCGGCGGTTACACGGTGTCGGCTCAGGCGTACAGTATGCATAGGAACCCGGCTGTCTATCCGGAACCGTTAAAATTCGACCCTTCAAGATGGGAGAATCCGACTAGGGCGATGAAGGACGCGTTTGTACCATTTGGTGGAGGGAGTCGAAGTGAGCTTTTACTTACAATTTCCACATCCGTATCCCCCTCCTAATAACCCTATGCATACCTACATACGAGTTCCTTTTGATATTATTGATTGGTCTGAGCTATCGTTTCTAACTGCATATAGTCTGCCTTGGTCTGCACTTGGCCAAGATGGAACTACGTCTCGCAACCGCGCGGCTCTTCACCCGGTTTCCGAATGCCACTGTCTCCCATTTAGAGGGTTTCACGGATGAGGACATGGTCCCTATCATGTTCTTCCTCATGAAGCCGAAGAGCCAACGCTGCTTGATTGATGCTCACTGAGGTATGTTGATGCCGTCTGCTTAACCAAGGTACCTGTTATCTAGGTAGATTTACGGGTGACCATGCTAGGCTGGAAAAAATACCTGCGGCTTCTAGTTGCACTTATATCCGTTGAAGTTTGTGAGATCGGGCTTTCTATTCAGTGCTTTAAGGTATGCTGTAGAAAGGTCTAGGGAATTTAAGATAGGCGCAGGTGTACATACATAGTACAAACACTTGTAAAATTACATTAAATCTAGTAGCATATACGATTTAAGTAAATAAATAAGAGGTAGTTACTTATAGCGAAGACTTCACTGGTTCATGGATCAGGGATTGATTATGAAGTCGTTTTTGGTACACCCACAGGGCTGAACAAGCGGGAAAAGAGTTAATTTTATCATCCCTGGCGGGCATAACGGAATAGTTAGAAGTTCGGTTGCTGAGGTTGGCAACCTAAGAGTATCTAATTATATCCGACAAAGCCTTATATACACTGTTGCCAACTATTAGGAGTCTACTAGTATTTGCCAATTACTTGTCGCTGATAGGTCTATAGAAGCACTCCTTGCATAACCTAGATCCACCTGTCTAATTCCTTCGTCCCATTGAGCTGGAACCTCGTGGGGCCTAGGCACCTAAGTATAATGGCTGTGATATTATTAGCATATATAAGCTCTTGGGCATCTTTATTGTTCTTACCTTTCGTTCTCAGTAACTTGATCGATTGGCTCTAAGACTAACGCCTAACGAAAAGTTCATGATGGGGATTCAAGGTGTTTCTCTTGCCTTGCTCCCCGTCCTGAGTGCGCTTATATTAGATTTTATTTATCGTTTGTATCGCCGGAGACAGCGGTTTAAGGACTTGGTACGAATCGATCCCCCCTCATTTGGATCACATTATGAGAACAAAGGGGAGACACGAGACTAATGTATAATATAGCCCAAACCACCACATAGTTTCCTATGGGGCCACCTTAAACTCATGGGCGAGATCGCCAGCCAGTTGCCTCCGAATAATCACCCACAGGCGTACATCACTGCCATCTCGCAGAAGTATGACCTGAAGGGTATCTGGTATCTCGATCTATGGCCCATAGCGGATCCACAAGTCATCCTAACAGAACCGGAGCTTATGGATGCAGTGCAGGTAACGAGGGTATACAATCAGCACCGGCTCTCCCAGGAGTTCATGTCAAGTATAATCGGCGAAAACATTGTCGCAACCGTGAATGGCCCTATGTGGAAAAAGCTTCACAACGCAATGGCTCCGGCATTTTTACCCTCCTATGTCAGAACACTCACAGGCCTCATGGCCGACGAGACGATTATCTTTAGGGAGGCTCTCAAAAAGCTGTCGAGTAGCCGTCAAGTCTTCTCCCTGGAAAACGAATTATCTAAGCTAGTATTCGACATCGTTGGTCGGGTCGTCTTCAATTTCTCCCTTAACGCTCAGACGCAGGGCAGCTCATACCACGAAGACCTAAAGCAGACCATCGAACTAATCAATCAGCAACTTTCCATGAACCCATTTGTTAAGCTGCAGGTGGCATTGAAAAAGCGGTCTGTTCGGAAGCGGGTCGACGCGTCTGTTGCTGCAAAAATCCAGGAACGCTTGGCCGCGCTCAGGAGTGAGAATATCGTACCTTCACGTAAAGATCCTCTTAGCATCCTCGATTTGATGCTCCGAGAAACAGTGTTGCAAGGTAAAACTCAAAACGGTCTTAAGGCGCTTGAGCTTCCTGAAGGAGAATTGGAATTATTGGTAACGAAGTACGGCCTTGCTTGAGCACCTCGAATAGGAACATACACTTACATGACTAAAACAGTGTGAAAGGTCTCCTACTCGGCGGGATGGGAACAAGTGTTGACACACTATGCGTAAGAGCTCCTCACAGAATTTACCTTTAACACTTTGCCTCAGCTAACCCATCTTAACTAAAAGTACGTTTACATGCTCTTGTCAAAACATCCAGAAGTCGTCCAGAAAATGCTTGAAGAGCAAGATGCTGTCTTCGGTAGAGACCTCGAGACAACCATGGAGAACCTGAAGGAGTCACCAATAAAACTTAATGAGCTGGAATACACAACAGGCGTGATCAAAGAGACGATGCGGCTTTTCCCTGTTGGATTTGGCGTCAAGGAAGCACCAGCAGGGTAAGGAACCCTTCCCTTTCCAGAGCTATTCAAGCGAACAATACTAACCCGAATCATCCACAGCGCAACGGTTTCGTACCAAGGCCGCGAGTACCCAGTTGATGGTGGCCTAGTCATCGTCCCTTCTTGGCATACTATGCACTTCGATTCGCGGTATTTCCCGGAGCCCAGCGCGTTCCGACCTGAGCGATTTCTAGGTGAAGGTGTTCCTCGCGGTTGGTTCCGTAGTTTCAGTCGCGGACCGCGTGCTTGCCTAGGGCAAGACCTCGCCATGGACATCATGCGCGTGATCCTATTACTCACCGTTCGAGACTTCCACTTCGAGGTCGCCGGGCTCCGGCCTAACCCGAAGCCTAAGTCGACCTACACAGATCTAGATACCATCTTCGGTGACATCGTATTCCAGGAGTTGTCGATGGAGGCAAAGCCCAGAGGCGGTATGATGATGACGGTTAGCGAGAAGGAGAGTGCGTTGTAAGGGGACGATAATGCATAAGCATTATAGCATTATCACCACTTAACTGATATAAAATAAATATAAGATAGCAGGATAATTTCGAGTGAGCCATCTAAATATCGAAGTTGGCTTCATAAGCCCCAGATATTATCATTAGTTGCGTGAATTAGGTATATTGGAAAGATTAGACAAGTTATTGTGACTATCATGAAAGAAAGGGGCCTCCTGTTTCGCCAAGGAGCCTCGCAAAAAAAGCAAAAGAAGGAGCAGGAAAAAAGAAAGGAAGGAAAACACAAAATGCACAAATAAGCAGGCCAGGCTCGAGTCACTAACAAACATTTGAATATGCACCATGGCCTGTCTTACCGCCCTGTGCGTAGCTCAAACCCGAAAACGCTTTCGAAAACCCCTGCGAAGGGATTTTATCTACACCGTCATACCATGAAAACCACTAAGCCACGGCCTCCGTGGGTAGCGTATCTGAATGGTCAGGAGCGATGGAGGGACTGTTATTACATATTATAATTTTACCTTCCGCTGCTGGGGAACCATGGTAGCCATCTGGCTGTCATCTGACTGCCCAGAGGCAGGATTGCTACTGAGGCTCTTAAAGGACCAAGGTAGCTTCCATGCCCGGAGAAACACGGACGACACAACGGAATATGAATGGAACAAGAGGGATGGGAGAATAGCAATGCTATATCTTCTTCTGTCCCCGTTTGAAGGACTTTGAGGTCTGGTTCCATCATAACCTAGAGGCCTAATATTCGAGTAAATAATATATCTACTACGGCCTATCCTCTCCTGATGAACCTGAGAGTACTTGGGAGCCATAATCTGCAACTCCATGTAGCGATCGTAAGAAAGAAAGGGTATCAATCCCCACCGAAGCCCATATGTAACGCCTGGAGAGAATCATAAGCACATCAAGAACCCCCCCCCCAATCTAGCACACCCGCGAGACCCTAAGCCTCTATGATATTGGGTATCAATGATTGTAGAGAATAAGATTAACCGACCAAAAGAGAAAAGCCGAATAAAACGAGCGCCAGTACCAACACTCCCCTTTGAAATATTCCGCGTGCCCGGTGTCCGGGGTTTCCTAAACACGTTCTATAGGGTCCACTGGGGAGGCTCCCAGAAGGCTATCTTCATCGTCATCTTCCCTGTTTCGTCTAATAGAGGCACCAAAGAAACCGCTCTCAGGAACTGCAACAGGAGCTGGAGTGGTAATCTTCCCGGTCTCAGACGGTGCACCGAGCTCCCAACTGCCCACACGCTCGTGTCTCGCGCCGTTCTTGGCAACAGAGACGTCATGGTCCGACGCCATCTTCTCAGCGCCCTTGAACCCGCCTAGACTGCTACGACGGCGAGAGGCATCCGAGGGGTCCTTACGCCGAACGCGTAGGCCACCGAAAACAAAAGCTGTTATACTAGCAAGACCGAGTACCGCAATGGTAGTCAGAGCACCGATGACACCGGCAACTGCTGGAGATAGGGAAGCGTTGCTGTTCGGGTGAGCTCCGTTGCTACCGTCTGACGAGTCATCCAAGCCTCCAGAGCTATGACTTAGCGCGCTGCAAAATAGCGCAACAGAAGAGCAAACGTTACACCAGTCTGAGATTTCCCAGATGGCAAACTTGTCGATAGCGGCTTGAAAGTCAGCCCAGGTCATGCGTGTCTCCGAGTTACCCCGGCCGAAGAGCGGGTACTCAGTAAGTGGTACATCAGGACCGGAACCGTTACGGTATAGGAAACGCACCCAAGAGTTGTCTTCTTGGGGGTATTCTACGTCGTCATCCGTGGTGAATAGCTCGAATACAATGGCGGCGCCAGGGTCCGGGATCTGACTGAACATTCCAGATACGTTGGTTAGATCGGCTAACGCGAAGAAGGCTAATAATGGCTCGAAAGAGCCGAACATTAGTGTCATCTTATCCGTGGAGCCCGCCGAGTTCATATGCATCCTGAGCTGAGTTACTATTTTAGCCGCGAGCGTGCGACCCCCAATGGCTCTAATCATGTCGCCCTCCTGCGATCCCGAGGCTGACAAGTTGCCATTTAAATCGAACTGTTGCCTACTGGCTAAGTCGCGTAAGATTGCTAGGCGATCTTCGTTAAGAGAATCGCGCACTGACTTGTCGTGGTTGTATGCATATTGGGCGTAGTCGTACAAGTCGTATGCATAGTCGAAATTTAGCATAGAATCCGGCAGCGTGTTTGGAAATACCTCCTCCCAAGTCCTCTTGTAGAAGAAAGATGTCGCATTGTACATCTTCTGAGCCACGTCGCTACTCTGAAAGTCCAGACTCGACGACCAGTACTCCGTACACGTCGCATATCCCTCAAGCCTAATTAATGGCCCTATTAATATTCACGTAAACTCTGTGAGAATTTAACCAACTCACCAAACGGAATTCGGATCCGTAGTGGGGACGTTCCGAATATTGGGATACTGGTAACCGTCCAGAGGGTAGTTGACCACGGTACCGTTAGCTAGTGTGGATGCGTTCTCACCACCATTTTTGGAGGCAAAAGTCTGAGTAACAGGCGGATAAAGCCCCTGTAGGAAGGCTAGAGCGCTTCCGACTACATAGTCATCTGTGCTGCTGAAGATAGAAAGTTGGCTGTTATCAAGGGCCTGGCGCTCTATACCGACGATAGGTGAATTCGTCGTTATAGCATTGTCTTCATCTGATAAGCTAGAATTAGACAAGTACCGCGCCCTGAATAATGATCCTTGAGAATAGAGCTGCTGTGCGCCCAGCGGAGTCAAGCTGGGGACGACATCTCCTTGAAAAGGGGTGCGCTCGCCGTATAAGACATATGCAAAAGAAGCCCAGACGGTTTCGTTGGCAGACTGAGCTAAAGCCTCGCTCACAAGTGTAAGACCAGCAGTCAATACCGTTAGTGAACGTGAGGACATTCTTCAAGCTGAACTCGCGCTCACCACGCCCTTCTCATATAATTTACGAAAAGAGCTAACGACTAAGTAAAAACCATACGAAACAACGAGCACGAAGGGGGAGATCTGGAAGAGCTATCGAGCTCGAGGAGGACAAAGGAGGGGTAAATAGAAGGACAAAGATAGCCAGCCCTACCTTCAAAGCTTACTTACCTCTACACAAACATGCATATTTACATGGCTTCGGGATGACACCAGATAACGTGCTTGTGTGTTCAAGGGTCCGTCATGCCATCCCGCTAGACTGCTAGATAGGACCGGCGCCGCCAGTATCTGCTTACGGGCAAGCCCTCTCCCACGTACAGGTCTCTATGTACGGCGGGGAGCTTGTGAACTCTCTCATCAGGGACGGCGGGGTAGTGTAGCTGTTGAGGAGCACGTCAGATAAGAGCAAGCAAGGAGAGCTTGGCGTAGCTGTTTTTGAACCTTTAGCTGCCATCCCTGTCCATTCCCCAGAAGAGAGGGAGCTCTATCATAGGCTCGTTAGCATACCTGCAGTACACTAACGATCTGCCCGTGACACTTAGATAAAGTGTTAAAGACATCGTTTTCAGGTGTTGCTCTGTTGCTCTGTACTTGTGAAAAGAAAGTCCGGATTTGAGAATTCTCGGCCGCTACTGTGTAAGGTCATTCTTTATCGATATGGCAAGGGGCTTGGCTTCGGCAGGTCGGCAGAATAGCGTCAAAATAACTGGCGCAGTCTACCTGTCTACTACCTAACAATTATGCTAGTAGGTGCGCCACCTTTTTTGACGTTATTCTGGTCGGACACTACCTGACACTAAATAACATCTATGATGCCTATTATATGGGTATGAGATACAAGCAGAACATATTTGAAAAATTAAAACCGTTAGCTTGATTTCATAGCAACTTATCCATCCATTGATGCGACAGGGATTCGAATATGGTGAGAACGGATTCGAAAACGGGACGAGACATAGGGCTTTTGACAAACGGCAGCACTCATCTCGATTAATACTCGCGATTCGCTTCATACTACGGATTATATGAAATGCAATATATTCATCCATCAAAGCCCAAAACCAATAACAATGACCAGTCATCATAAAGTAAGCATGTTTATTTCAAGCCGCATGAATTGAATGACTCGCATACCTTCTCACTTTCGGTGATATCATCCTATAGCAACTATGTAGACGACATATTTAATTGGTACCTTAATCGCAATTACCAAATCATACCAAGATCCCAGGATATTACGCCGAGCTGACGCCAGCCTCTTTCAATAAGGACAACTTTTCATCATGACAAGCATTCTAAATGTTTCCAACAACCTGGTTTCGAAGAGAGGGGTATTATAAATCTGCGCTCACGTGAGCGCAGTCTCTACTCCAGGCGACGATGAGAGTGCGAATACCTTGCTAGAAAGCGGACAAATTGTCCGCTAGTCATGCAGGTACGCCATATTCAAACAGGTTTCTACTATAGTAGACTGATATATACATAAATACTGGATCGCGACATAACGTTAATACTGAATTATTACATTTTGAGAACAGGGTCCTCGGGGTGCGGATGCGTTATATACATAGTAGTGCAGCGGTTTTCAAGGACATTGCGGACAAGCTAGTCCGTCTGTGGACGAAATCCGCACTCACTGCGACGCTATCGTTATATCCGCCATGCATGAGGAACACTCTAATGTCTAGTTATGGAGATAAACGGGCTTAAATTCCCTATATATAATGACAGCTCAGTCGAAGACAACCTGATTTTATATTTGGTAATCTTTTCCAGTTTCTTAGGTGCTCATATTCCTAGCAGTCGTATTTTGCTTAAACTACCTTTGGTACCTAAGCAATGGCCAAAGGCTCTATTCTAGTTACCGGTGCCAACGGCGGCCTAGGTTCTGCTATCGTTGACCAGATCTTACATCGTCCGTCACTTGCCCAAGACTATCATGGACTATACACGGTCCGCAAAGTCGAGAACGCCGATACTGTCAGAAAGGTACTCCAGCGCGCCGGCAAGGTGAATCACCATTATGACCTCGTCCCCCTGGACCTGGCAAGCCTCGCCAGCGTGCGCCGAGTCGCCGCAGATATCAATTCTCGAGTTTCGAGCGGCGAGATACCACCTATCCGTGCCTTGATATTATCTGCGGCATACCAAGAGCATGGCCAGCACGACTTCTCCAAGGACGGTTTTGACATGTCCTTCCAAGCTAGTTACCTCTCACATTTCCTCTTGACGCTCCTATTACTCCAGAGCATGGACAAGGAGAAAGGCCGCATACTGGTACTAGGGAGCTGGGCTCATGAGTAAGGAACCATCACCCTCTCTACCAACACACACCAAGCCTTCAATTATCTTTGATCTATCATAAACTCATGGCTAATCCATCCCAGCACTACCGATGCCAGGAATAAAGTGGGACCATTTGCGGATAGTTATATGCCCGAAGAGTTCCATCAGATATTCAACGACCCCGAGGGAAGCACCGAAGCTGTCGCTAAGGGTAAGTGGGGTGTTGCCGCTGGGCAGACAGAAGATCCCGTTGCTGGTATGAGACGGTATGGAGCAGCCAAGCTATGCGAGGTCATGATGATGTGAGTACCCCTTTTCCTCTTCCTATCCGACCTTGCCGCCTTAGGTAGGTAGTTAATACTCTGCCAAACCGAGACTAATGCTGTCCAGGCGTGAATTGGCACGTCGCATATCGAAAGACCCAACCCTCTCCAAAATCGCGGTGCTAGGCCTCGACCCAGCAGCGATGATGAGCGGCATTTCACGACGTAGCGGCTGGTTGGTGCGAATCGTTATCATGAATATCATGGGCCTATTCGCGCCGCTTGTGACGTGGCTAAACCCCAACGGCAGCCTGCGGACGACGTGGAAGTCGGCCGGGGATGTGATACACGCATGCTTCGATACAGACGGCGGACTTGGCGAGTACCCGAACGGACTCTACCTTAACGGCACGGAAATCTCGGACGTCGGGCCGGAGGCTAAAGACGAGACTAAGTGCCGCCGGCTGTGGCGCGATAGCTTGGAGTATGCGAATATTAAAGAGGGCGATACTGTGCTGGCAGATTGGCGATGAGGTGTGGACGGATAGTTTATGTATTATGTAGAATACCCTGTTTTCTGTTGTGTCGTTTTCTATCAAAACCTAGATTGAAATCGAAGTAGCTTAAGGCCGAGTACTCATATGCGCTATGTTATGATGTCCAACGTTGTACTATACTATATCTGCGGAATATCCGAAGTCGGCATCTGTATCTTAGGTACCTCATAGGGTGAGACCAAATCTGCCGAGCCTAAAGTGAGTGCCGCCAGGTCGGTATCAAATGCGCTTACCGCGGCCGAAGAAGGGGGGTTCGCTCATCTCAGCATGCTACGTGCCAACGTAGATAGATATACTGTAAGTAGGGACCGTCGTAGCTCGGACGCACGAAGTTGCATCCTTTGCCTGTATGATGGCTGTCCAGGAGGTTACTGTAGACGCAAAGATCTCAGAATGGGAGAAGAATGCGGTCATATGCAGCCTTGCTGTATCACCACGAGAACGTTACATGTGTGGGGTTATACCTATATTCCGGTTATATTGAACAGGCCTGCATCAAGCTAACTGTTTCCTTCTGCATCCGTATGTACTCTGGATAGTCTAGCCATTATCCCCAACCAACTACGGAACTTCAGCTAGAATCTCCATGATGTGCTCTGGGGTGAGCTTATTTTGTCCACGATAAGTCTAGTTCCTAAACTGCGTCCCGTGGTTCGGGGGTTACGGGATTCAATAAACATCTCTGCTGTTTTTTTTCCTCCGGAGACAATAGGGATCTGGCAATAAAATTTTGAATCTTTCCCTCTTTTTGCTATTTATCCGCGTTTTGCAAGTTATAAAGATCTACCTGCGCAACGAAATGGCTAACGTATAATAATTGCGGTTAAAATCGTAGCGCGTGACTGGAACCGTAGATCTTGGGGAACCATGTTATACTGCATGCAGATATCCCGTCCTATACCAACCAGGTAGGTAGAACCAGCTTCGTCTCATATATACATCTCTCCTCATGTAGGCCGGCTCTTGGTGGACATATCATTGGTCCAGTTCCGTCGCATGGGTGTATCTAGATCAACCGCGTGTAGCATTGATTCGACGTTCCGCTGCCCAGTTTTACGGAGGGCGTATTCATTTGTCATTTGACGAGTTTCTTCGTAAAATTCTCCCATAAAGAATTCAGGGCGGACGCCTGATAATGTCATCATCGGGAGAGACTTAGGCACGGGCGGATGGAAGCGCGCATCTTTGAGAGTTGCAAGCCATCTCTTCGGAGGCGACGGATAATTCGGCCAGCGATCACTCGACGATGGCGCTCATCAGGTTGCTCTTACTAGGCCTGCTGCCGTGCTTATGCCTGTCGACTTCCCTTCCGAAGCCCTCGCGATTTGACCAACTGGGACCGAGGGGTAAGCCGACAAGCGCTCACCGCACATCCGAGAGCGGAAGGCATATCAGAGCTACGCTTCAGTCCCAGAAGGTGAACAATATAACTGGCGGCTCGATGTCCATATATGATGAGACGTCTAAAATCTCAACTCGGTCACCACGAGAGCCATTAGCAAGATACGGTGCGGGGATTGTATATATGCTAGAACGTACGCTGTCAACCTCTCTCATTGCGAGACGGCAGCTAATCTCCTTAGGTAGTCGCCCTCGGAACGCCCGGACAGATAGTCTCAGCTATCCTCGATACCGGATCCTATACGCTGCTCGTGGATCCGGACTGTAACCAGGCGGCGGACCCGAATGCCTGTCGGACATATGGGTACTACGACACGAAACAGTCGTCTACCGCCAAAAACCTCAATGGCTGGTTCTCTGGCCAATTCGGCACTGGCTATATGGAGGGGGTATGGTTCAGTGACACAGCCTACGTCGGGCTCGATAGTATGTATTAGTATCCTCCCTTTTAATACTCTGACTAGGATATGACTCCGTATCTTAACACGCATAATAATGGTAATAGACCTACCGCTTCCTAATTTAAGAGTCGGGGTAAGCAAGTGGAGCCAGTATATTTGGGCTGGGGTGTTGGGTGTCTCGTACGGCAAGGCGTGGAATACCGGATACCAAACTTTGCTGGACCTTCTTGTTGCGCAGAGTTACATTGAAGTACCAATATTCAGTCTAGGCGTCGGATACCAAGGTGGTGGGAGTCCGAGTGAGTTGTCACGGACCTTGTCGTCATTCTCAGGAGACTGATCTCCCTTAGGTGACATAATCTTCGGAGGAGTAGACAGAAAGAAGTTCCGAGGATATCTAGAGCCCCTAGAGATCTACCCGTACCCGGAGCAGCAGCTAAAGCTCTTTGGACAAGTAGGGTAAGACACTTCTTATAATCCTAAAGGCAGATAAAAACACTGGTGTATGCTGAAACTTACAAAGCTATCGGGTAAATCTGACATCTTTGGGCGTCACCCTTCCCGGGCGGAACGAAACAATGTTGACGGACGCCAATTTTGGACATAATGTACTAATCGATTCTGGATCTACGTACACTTATCTCGACGCGGACTTAGTTGCTACTATTGCAAGGGCCTTGAACGCGTACCAAGACGAGAACGGAGTCTATCGCGTATCTTGCGACGTCCGAAATTTGGACGGCTCCGTGAACTTCGGGTTTAACTTTTATAATAAAATCGTTAGAGTCAATTATGCCGACTTCATTGTCGACTTTGATACTTATTGCGCTCTCGGGGTCCAGCCTACGGATAACAAAAACCCAACGTGGGTGCTAGGGACCAGTTTCATTCGAGCTGCATATCGTAAGTACAACTGAAAAAAAAAAAAAAAGGATACTGGAAATTTGATGACGCAAAACAAGAGCGGCTGCTAATAGAGAAATTGAATTAGTTATATTCGATCAGCTGAATGATGCTGTCTGGATTGCACAATACTTCCCGTGTGGTGAGAATGAGATAGCAGATCTCACTAAGGATGCCGGCAGACAACTGTGGTTAGAGGTCACAGGTTTATGTTGACGAGGAAGAGCGAAGTAGCAAATGGTACGCAGAAAAAGAAAGCCCAAATGTTCAGGTGTGCCGCCATATACCGCTCTAGAACGAGGGCAGTGCAAGGGATAGGCAATGAACCCGGAATTTCATACCGCCTCATTATACCATACCTACCTAGGTAAATATGCTATATACTATAAGATAGCTATATCATTAAGATCTCGCACGTGTAAGTCGTGCTTAAAAATTGAGAAGCATTCGTTATAATTTGGTCGCACTTATATTAGACATCCAGCCCTCGAATATCCTCGCTCAGTGGACCTTGCCTCGTCCAAATATTCATCTGCGAAAATACATCAGTATCTTCCACGGAGGATAATAAAATACTAAGATACGGTATTAAGCGCGATACCGCCGAAGAGTTATGTACTTACCCCTATCTTAGAACCACTAGTAACTGGTAGACCAGCATGCAATGTCGCCTGATCCCCCGTGCCATCTTCGTGCAAGTTCTGCCAGAAGACCGCGTTGCCGACGACAGGGCGGAACGTAACCCCATTCTCCCACGGCTCATCGCAGTCGACGAATTCGCACCAGCGCTCGTCGTGGGGCGCAGACACCATGGGGAAATTAGTTCCGCCTCCCGTGATGTCTTCCGAGGCGGCGACGTATGCGAAGAAGGAGCTCAGCCGGTTGCCGCCCAACGCGGAGGTCGCATGCGCTGCGTTCGTGTACCAATCCGTGTGGAAATGGTAACGCTCTCCCTGGCCGTACTTAACCAGCTGCAGGGGCTCGAGGTGCGTCCGTGGCACGTCAAAGCCCTGAAATAATAGTGCCCGCTCCTCGATGCATCGGACCACGGCGTCGCGCGGCACGTTAGTCGACTGCGATGTCCGCGTCTGCCTTAGACCTTGGGCGCCGGATGCATCGGCGACAGCGGAGTGGGAGAAGGTGTCTTTGCTATTGAAGATTGTTAGTCTGGATGGACAAATAGCTTTAGGTACCTAGTTAGTGGTAATACTTGCGTTATCTCCTGGAGATGCGCTTGTTCTTCAGCTGTGATGAAATTCGCTAGATATATGACCAACGGTGACTTGGATACTATATGGCTCTGATATGCTGGATGTTGGCAAATATAATCGCTTGATGATGCTAATGGTTTTTGCGCACCGCTGTTATGACTGTGTGCCTGAGCCAGTCCAGTGGCGAGCGACAACAGCGTTAAAGATTTCAATGAATTCATGGTGGATTCAGCGGACGATTGAAATTATGAGAGAGCAAAAAAAGAGTAAAGCCACTTTCATTTCTTACGAAAATATTCAAATCTTCCACTCTCAAGCAGTTGCCATACCTTCATCATACATTAATAGGTAGTAAGGAGAACATGCAGAGCCGAAACGTCAACTGTCTGCGTAAAAGGAGATTGCCCCTGTTCAGCGTTACAGCAGCCTCCAGTCAAGCTCATTTAGCGGAGAGCTTTTAGCGCAGATCCAGGGTCCTTGGAGTCGGACATCGTCAGATCTAACCCCTGATCTACAAGGTAAACTCAGCTATATACCTGAGTTCCCATTCAACTTCTTGAAATGACAACATTGGTGATGCTTAAATAAATTAAAGATGAGGATCAGAAGTGTAGAACTCTTATATCTCCTAGCAGGCACTGGAGTAGCCGTAGCATGGGAGCATTCCAGCGAGGATGAATTTCGTAGAGCTATAGCCGGTCATAACCATGCTCTAGTTGCCTGTGAGTTACCTATCTTAAATTTACTACCAGAATCTCCATTCTAACGTGAATATAGTTATAGAACCATCAACGTGAGCTACTCATAGCCCAATAATCAATCATACCTCATATTTTGGAGACTAATAGCATTTATCCAGAGCCGCCAGCCAAGCTCTAGAGCCAGAATGGACGTCTGCGGTAGAGTCAGAGAAGAAATCTCTGATAAGCATCGACTGCGCTTCGGCCGCAAGCTTGTGTAAGGAGTTCGACGTCATCTCATATCCCGCCTTACGATTTTTCGATGGCCACGGGAAGATGACGCCGTACCGAGGCCCTAGGAGGGCATCCTCGTAAGTATCCGCGAATGCTGGCTCAACAATCTCATTTTTTTCCCATTGTGCCAACTCAAAGCAGCAGACTAAGAGTCCAACAGAATACTCTCATATCTGAAAAGGGCGGTGCGTCCCACCGTTACGGCCCTAAACTCTGAGAAGAAGGCCGTAGCATTCCAGTCCAGTGATGACTACGCCGTTATCGCGCGAATAAACCCGCAAGACAAGCATGTAAAGGTCTTGTACGATACACTTGCCTCCCAGTACCGGGACCGCTTATCCTTTGGGTCAGCGGAAACAGATAAAACGACAACAGTAGCATGCTACAATAACCGGGACAGCCAGCAATTCGCCATTTCGGACTTAACGGCCATCGACGCTCTGCCTCGGCTCATTGAGAATTGTCTCACACCTGTAATCGGAGAGTTCACTCGGGCGAACGAAATGAAGTATCTACAGGTAAGTTATGGCCAACGTACAAAAGACTTAAGAACCACTAATAACATGATGTGTAATAGTCCGGAAAGTCGCTCGTCTTCTACTTCTCCCGTTCATTTGCGGAGCGGGAAGCGTACGTAGCGGCCATGCGGTCCGTAGCCAAGATGTACAAAGAATATCTAAGCTTCGTGACAGTAGACGCCAATGAATACGGAGACCTAGCCGCGCCCCTGGGCCTGGTGCCCGGCGTGTTCCCCGCGCTGTCAGTACAGAATCCCATGTTCGGCAAAGTATTCCCGTACCCTCGAGAGCAGGATATCGCGCCCGAGACTGTAGGCGCGTTCCTGATGGATATCAGTCAAGGCAAGGTTGAGCCATGGGATGGAACCATGCGCGCAGACGGAGGACGTGCACATGATGAGCTATGAGCTGAGTAACCAAGTCAACGAGTCCTCGAATAAGAGGACGAAATAAGTATAGCATAGCTTGGCGATAATGGTATATTATTTCTGTCGACAATGCTTCAGAAACCAGATGAGTAGAAGGGATACGTCCATTACCCAAGCGGTGGCTATTTATATGAGAATAATACAAATTTCGCAGGAACCAGGTTCCGTTGAGTTCTTTACAAAATCCCAAAGTACAGACATCGTCAACTTCCCTCCCGCAAGGTAAGCTTTATGGCAAGCCCAAGAAGAGCTCCAAAAGCTTGGGGTAATCCGGAGTACTAGAATTCATATCATATCAGTGACATATTCTTCATCTTCAGAAATCATATGCGTAAACACGTACCCCATTCCCGATACAGGGTCCCAGCCCTCAGCAGCCGGGAAACCAGTCGTCTTACATGCACGGTTATCGCCCTTCGTGATATCTTTGAAGACTTCCGGGTGAGAATACTGCGCTAGGTGGTTAGGAAACATAGGTATTCATTGAGATTGGTTCGAGAATATGCTATGAATAGGTACTTACCAAGACTTGATGAACGAATCCGACCGGGCTTTTACCAGCCGCTAAACGCTCCTCGTTAATCAGAGTAATGACTGACCCCCAAAGCGGCGCCGAGGCGGATGTACCGCCAATACTCAGTAATTCACCGCCGCTCGAAATAACGAAGTGGTCTCCATTGGCCGAGACGTCCGGATATGCTCTCCCTAGCTTGTTAAAATGGCCTATACCGGCATCAACGTTGCTGTAGTTGCCGCCACCACCTTCGTAGCCCTCGAACGGGAGCTTAGTCTCTTCGAGGTACTTATTAACGATATCCTTCTGCCAATCCGGCGCATCGTAGATGTTAGAGAATCCTCCGCCAGACCGAAACCTATCCGTCGCCTCCTCAGAGTCGACACCAGGGGTTCCATTCGACTGCAGGACGGTCGATCCCACCGTCAGGATATAAGGACAGGTTGCGAGGAACTGCGGGTTGAAGACGTCCCGCGCGGGACCTAAGCAGCCAGTAGGCGCAGCGGGAGATGTGAAGCCGCCGACGCCGTCATCGCCTGATGAGATGATGATCGTAGAGCCTTGCAAGCCGAGCTTCATAATCTCGGCGCATTGCCGCTGCTGATAAGACGCAGGGAGATCGATTTCGGCTCCGCTATACGAGATACTGATGACATTTGTCGGCTTGTACACGCCGCACATCAGCTGCCCGCTGTATCCGGCACGGTCGTGCGGGTTCGGGTACACAGGGTCTCGACACTCGGGACGTTTACAATTACCTGATTCGCCATATGCCTCGAAGGTACAGTAGCTGCCATCGATTGCGTTCCAAAGGTCTAAGGTAAGATATAAGCAAGTGTCATATAAAACATTATTTAGGTACCTAAATAGGGGAATCGCGGGTTAGTCTTACTGTTAAAAAACCCCATGTATGACTCCGGGTCAAACTCGTAGTTAGTCTGGTACCACTCGTCGTCAACCTGGTAGAGTGCAGGTTCCTGGGGCCATATCAATCCGTACGCCATTTGAAAATCGAGGTTTGCTTCCGAGCCGGCCAGCCTAAGATTTGTTGTAGCTCCTTGCCCACCATCCACAGAAAGGAGCTCAGGATGTGTTCCGTTCGGGATTTCGCTGTGGTCGATTAGCATATTTAATAGCGTCTAGAAAGAACCGGAATTTGCCTTACTCCGTGAAGCTCCAGAAAAATGTGTCGAGATCATGTTGTGTGTAGTGTTGTCCGAGGGATTGGAAAATTCCCATTTTGTTATCCGGGTGTTTCTTAGATCCTTTCGGAATGCCATACAGAGCTAGGAGTTTTGGTTAGTCTATGAGAATATCTACCGAAGAGAAACATTCGCACCCCTAATACAATCCGGTGTGATATATTGGTCGCAACCACCAGGCAACGTGAAATTGCCGCTTGCTACATCTGCAGGCTCCACGGGGCTCGCAAAGCGTAAAGGCCCCTCTACGTTCGGTCCTGTAGTCCGTTTAAGGGTCGCGAGGTCATTCTTGCTCCTCTCACTTTTGAGCTTAGCAAGTTCACCCTCGTCAACTGGCTGACCGAAACGATAGACGGGGCGTACACTGGCTTCCCTCCGTTTCTTCGATGGAGCCTCTTGCGTGTTCCCGTAGCCCATCAACTTAATACCGGGCGTAATGTAGTCAATGTGCTCTCTCACTTCTTTTGGCAAGTGATATCTTAGAAATAATTAGCTCGCTGCTTGTACCCTATGCTGTCGCTGCACTCACTCATCACAGGCAATATTCTTAGCACCTGTATCAACGTGTTCCCACACGTAATAGTCTGCCAATAAGAGATCTTCTACTTTATTAACAGGGGCATCGAATTGTACCCACTATACGAATTATAGTCAGATTTCCATTAAGGTTATTCGTGTAAAAATGATAGTGTGTATTGGCTCACTTGTTTATTGCTAGACTGCGAGATGGTATTAGACGGAATCCCCGCCTTGATGAGCCAGTCCTCCACTGCCTTGATACTTGCTTCTGACGGCTCAAAGAAGTTGACTACCTCTTCTGCCGAGAGATGCTTGCCATAGTTCTTCGACTCGGGGTTTGATCTTAGGGATCTTATTAGCTATTTTGGAGAAACAACTTGGATAAGAAGAGCCACCGCACATGTCCATCAACAAATCATGACCTGATTGGAGATTTTGCTGCTTCAACCCTATGCGCATAGGTAAGATAGCATCAGGCACTGCTCTCTGTATCTTCGTCCAGGATCTTTCTTGCACCGCAGCTCTTTTCTCATGTTGGATATGGGTATCTGGTATCCTTCGTCTCAGCTTAGAAGATTCAGCGCTTAACGGCTGGCGGAAAGGAGGCGCGGCAAAGACTTCTAGCGCGGCCAAAGCCGCTAGAGTAATGAAATTAAATAACTTCATTTTGATGGCGACTTGAAGGGGGAAACCGAACGGCCGGCAAACGCGAGACCACGCAACCACGCACGGGGTTTAAGAGATAGTCGGTGCTCGTATTATACTAGCACTACTGTAGAAGCTAGCTCCGCTCTGCTTGTGGGAGTGGTGTGTAAACACCACAGAGACCTCCATGCCGACGACCGCTTTCGGCATTGCTCAAGCCAAGGCCAGAAATATACGACTGTCCACTCTCGCTGAGCGCGGGTAAATGTATATGTGAGCCAATTAGTTTAATCTTGCTTTCCCTTATAATCAATGGTTGCCGCATGTTAGCAAGGGTAGAATAAGAGGAGTGACGTTAGAATATTTGGAGATTTATTAATTGTAGTACCTACAAGGTTATCCCATGAGCTCAGGTCAGAAGCCGGTAACCCCAATACATGGAAAGGTCAGATTGGTGAATATGGACTCGGCTAAAATCGTACCAAGGCTCCCCGGACTTTTCTCTGGTTTGATGCCATGGACGTAAGTTTGAGCGTCACCTGAGGCTCGATATCAGGGTAATCGTTAATAAATGATCCATCCCAGTAGACGGGAAGAAGGATAATGCACAAGGAGAACACGAGGGTGTAGTTGAATTCTATACGATAAGAAACACCCCGTCATATCTGTGCTCATGAAGGCTTATTAAACTAATCAGGATTTACCGGTCCGCAGTGTATATAACCGGCGTTCATGACAGTACTACCACCGCACGGTATGCGGCGGTAACCCCTCTTATCACTCAAAGTTAATCAAGGCCAGTCATATTTCACGGCCCTCATAAACTCCGAGTACGAATATTGTTATTCTCAGACCTTACCCAAATTCTCAAACTTGAGAAAGGGCTAAACTCGCGGGGGCATAGACCTCAGTCTCGCGACTCAGATGAGCTTCCTGTGCCAAACTCCGACTACAAGGTCCAGACTACTTACGGCGGTTAATCGTAAGTACAGCAGCTGAGAAGATTTCGATTTTCCCACTACAAGGTCCTTATGGCAAGATCATGTCGTTAGGATTCTCGCGATGATTCAAATAGGACTGCCAATAAGACAATCTTAGTTATAGCACTCCCGCCTTTCGTTAGTAGACATCACTCAAGGTGGCCGTTCTAATCATTAAGAGGGCAACGCCTGATGTTGTCATTGACCAAGTAGTCATTAACGTCATCGCGGAGCACGTCCTCGAAGGTGTCTGGTAATGCAAGATCCCAATATTCTTCATATGGCGAGTCTTCCTCTTGCCCATACAACTCGCCGCAAATACAAGCTTCGTCTAGGTTCATCGTCTTCCGAATCTTGGGGAGAAGCAACCGCCATGACGTACTTCTCAGCCGAATGTCTCGGAGACATAACGCCTTGAGAGTGCCTTTATGTCTTCTGAGCATAGACATTAGGTCATGCCGTTCGCATGTAATATTTCCCAACGTCAGACTGTCGAGATGTTCCCATCTATGCTTCGGCTCCATTATATCCTCGAGCCGTGCAGCATATCCGTGTTCATCCGAATGCCAGTTAAAAACGACAGACAACGTCTGTAGCTGAGATAACGATTTGATGAAGTCGCGCAATAATCCCGTTTCTAACAGATGGCGACACTGCGGAACCTCTGTTCCGCCAAGTACATCTTCCGCAACGCCAACACGGAAATATTCCTCGCCGGTATCGATACATAGCTCGAGACACGTAAGGTTAGAAGAAAAGGAAAGGGTATGTCGAAGTTCAACGGCCGGCTTCTGGAAGAACTGCCAGCTGAACGTACCGGCAGTAAGTCTCCTTAACTTGATGTCGGCCTCGAAGACAGCAGATAGGAGAGAATCAAGCTGCCGACATCCCATCGGTGTTAACTCGTCACCTGGTTTGACTAGACATCCTTCAAATGGAGTCTTGCGGGTACCACGCCCAAACTCAAACTGGGTTGACATGGTGATTTCCTGAAGCGACGAAAAGCGAGAAATGACCTCTTTGAGGCAAGATATATCTTCTTTATTATTCAGCATTTTCTCCTGCTCGTCGATAGCGACCTCGTAATTCTTGTAGAGCCTCAGGAGCTGCTGGTTTCCTATACGTGGTGGCGGTGTTTCATTCGCATGCTGGGCTATGATCTTTTCTACGCTTCGAATGTCAGAATAGTATTTTTGAAATTCATCCCAGGATTTCTTAGGCGATTCTAAAGTATGGCCAACATAAATCAGAGAGCGGACATTCTTGGACGCAATAGGATGTAGAGAAATGTGCCGGAGCATGTCAAAATCGTGGGGATGCAGATAAAATATAATCTCCCGGAAGGCGAAACAAGCACCAGCGTCTGCGAAAGCTTTACAGCATAGTCGGAATCTGCGGATGTCTTCGATATCGAGGTGCGAGCAGATTAAGCATAGTATCTCTGGAATCATCACGCCCATCATTGTAGTGTTTGAAAGATAGGCCTTAAATAAACCTTAAATATATAAGTCTGATATGATATGTATAATATGTGGTAACGCCGATGAGATACACGATACACACAGATAAGATCTAATGACTGGGTCATGAAAGTCAAGGTTAAAAAGTTACCAATTGTCGTTTGATTGTGAAACTCAACTACGCGAAACAAAGTCCGTTTGATGCATGTGCAGAATCCTGCGTTTATAAAATACGGGGCATGCAATTAACAATACTAATATATTAGGTATATTAAGTAATCCGTACCTAGGTAATTATACGAATACCTCTGAAGGTCTGGATATAAAAGGTATCTTACAATTCGTGAAAATCAAAGGACCTCTAATTCGAACGTAATAAAGGTGGACATGAGTCAAGATTGATTCATTAAATACTTGAGTGGGAATCTTGTCTAATAGTTCCATCAGTCCTCATGCACTTATCAACCCTCAAGCTCTTCATGTTAACGTCATTCCTCATCCCATAAGCTCACAACCCTCTCTTACTACACCTACCACGGCACCTGTTTGAATAGCCTCGCTTCCACCGGCAGACACTCTATATTCTATCTCCGCTAGGCCATCAAGCCATCTAATCATAACCTCGGGCTTCACCTCCATCTTTACCAATTGTTCCGACAATGCTGTGATTATGTCCGCCAACGCGAGGCCATTAGCCACCTTCAGCGTATTGATCGTCGACAGACAAGTGGTTACGTCGCTAGTCGCGAGTAGCGTACTAGCAATTTTCGTGATCGCATCAGGAGGTGGGGCTGCTATACAATTGTATATGGTCTCAGTCGTAATGGTTTCCCTAACGATATCTTTCTCGGGGACCTTAGGCGCGTCTTTTGGCTGCATCGGCGTGCCTTATTAAGTCAGCATTAAGGAGCAATAGTATTTCTAAAGGCTAGGAAGGCTTACTAGATGCATGACAAGCCTGAAGCACATTTAGTGCTCGTCGCATGTCCCCTTTACTCAACTTAACCAGTGAATCCGTAGCCTCGCCTGTAATTTTGACTCCCTCCTCCAGAATAACTTTATCCACCAAGACCCGAATATCATCTTCTTTTAGAGGACTAAATCTGAAGCGTGTACATCGAGACAGCAATGCGGGTGACAATTTGTGGGTATAGTTGGCGATAATACAAAATCGCGTGTTTGCAGTATACTTTTCCATGATTCTTCGTAAGGCCATCTGAGCGGTATTCGTCATCGCATCAGCTTCGTCCAGGATAATGAGCTTATAGCTTGCCACGCCACCGGGACGTGAAGCCCCGCCCATCGTAAATATCTGCTTCGTCGAAGCAAAGGTCTTGATCTGCTCACGAACGACATCGATACCTCGATCGTCTGAAGCATTCAACTCTAGGACCATCTGTCGCGTATTCTCTGCCCCATAGATGCGTCTCGCAAGTGCCAGGATGGTGGATGTCTTGCCAGTTCCCGGGGGCCCGTAGAGAAGGAGATGGGGTAATCGGTTCGAATCGACGAACTTATTAATGGTAGCTAGAATATCTTGGTGGCCTGATACATCGGCTAAGGAAACAGGTCGGTACTTCTCAACCCTAGCATTCAGTTTAGCAATTGGGAACGGGGGGTATATTAGAAGTATTGTGATAATCCTACCATGGTAAGGAGTCTTCTGCTTCAACAGGCAGGTTTGCAGCACTACGTTTACCCTTAGCGGTGTTATCGGAAGAAAATGTGATGTCGTTAGATTTCGGAGGGGCATCAATATCCATCTCATCTTCGAAGTCGGACATGTTGAAATTTTAAGGGTCGGCGATGGTACCGTAGCTACTCGATATCGTGAAATTCGGCAATAGAAAGCTTCCCTGAGGAAATACCTATTATATTGACTTCTCTCGTCGGCGTCCACTTCTCTTAAAAGTCGCAAATCTTCCTTACGATAAGAGTGTGGATGTTTCTGTTAAATTCGATTCCAGAATTTCGGTAGAAGACGCGTAAATTGAATATGCTTAACGCGTCTTCGTTCGACTGGTAGGGGTAAAAATGGAGGTACATTAATACCTCCAAAGATGTACCTGCATGCATGTACTTCGTACCAGATAAGGTACCTACCTTATGTACATGATAGGTGCATAAATATCCGACCCCACATGCACTAAAAGGCGAGGGAGGCAGGGTACAAAGTACCTCTTTTCTATTTTAACCCCAAATTCCCATCAGCGATCTCAGCTTTACACCTATAAAGTCCATGAACACTTTCATACCTTAGGTAACTAAACTAAGTGCATGAATCCAGTAAGTTAAGATATTGGATGATCTTACTACTGCGAAAGGACACCAACATAACTATATATATGAATTGAAAGAGGGTATCATGTGTCCTCATAATGTAATATATCTAAAACTCATGTTCGCTGCGTATGTAAGAATATAAAATTACCGATACTAGTCCTTGTTGCTAATATCAACCCGTTAATCCCACAAAAACGAACTTCCAGGTTCGATTATTGCCTTAATTATTCTAATTTCTTTTCAAACTTGTTCTCGTCCCGTTCACTACCAGCCTCGGAAGCGGGTACAAATTCGCTAGCCAGTAGCCATTCCCCATCAAGCGACGAAGACGAAGAAGGTAATGATAACATGGAACCACCGTCAGAATCACTATCCGTTGACTCTTCCCAATCTTCGCACCTATCGGCGTCGGTCAAATTCCGAACAGTTAATTTACTGCTATGCTTAGGATGCTCTCGACTGAATTCTTTTGATTCGCGTCGTGTACTTGCGACGTAGTCGACTAGGTCAAGAGGCATCATGTTTTCGTCTTCTGCTAAGGCAGCGTATAAAGTTTCGGAATCGAAGTCTTCGGCACCGTCAGTGGGGGAGCCAGCCTTACCTGGCCCCCCTGGCTCGTCAGTGAGCTTCTGAATCTCCTGGGTCGATTTGATGTTTTTATCATGTTCCTCAGTGTCGGCCCACCATACTTTATCCTCCCCCGGCCCAGATTCATTCTCGGGGAAACTCATTTCACCGAGCGGGCTTCTAGGACTTGTAGGACTTCTATGCCCGTTTCCCTTGTCCTCTTCTTCTAGCACTGTTCTCGCCACGTTCAGAGGCAGGTCGTCGTCAGGGCTCATCGGCACACTGGCAACAATTGGTGGAGATTGTGGCTCCTCTGGAAGTGCCTCAAGCAACGTCTTCCTGAATTCTTCTGATCGTACCTTATGTCTAACATGGTGGCATTCAGAAGGATAGTTGCAATCGACCATGCAATTGTGTGACTCATGGAAGAAGGCCTGCCGACGCTGCCTTTCTGTCCGGCTGACAGTCTCCATGCTGAGGACTTTCCGACGCCACGCCCCCCATTCTTCCCACCCGTTGTAGTCGAACTCAGAAGCACACATCCCACTACGGCGACGTTTCTTGCCCTTGAGTGTCTTTAGAGGAGTTGCTGAGAGGCAATAGTTGTGAGAACAGACAAGGCAGCGACGAGTGCAGCCGATCCGGTAGACAGTGTCACATGAGTGGCACTGCCACAACCAGGGGAGCGGTTTCCGAGGAGGTGGAGGTGGTGTAGGCAGGCCATCTGGTGTCGAGGGCAAGATGTGTCGAAGATGTAGGCGAGCAGGCGGAGTCAAGGGAATAGGAGTAGTTCGGATATCAGGTGGTGGTGAAGAAGTAGGAGGTGCTGTCGGAGTCGTGGACTTCCTTGAAAATATGGAGAGCATCGGCAAGACTCTACGCGAAGGCATGGCTTTCCCCCCCGTATTATTTTTGCTTTCTTATATATATATGATACTAGAACGGCCGGTTGAACGACAATTATGTGAGACGAGCTATTTGCTTGCAAAATATGAACGGTAAAAAGGCTATAACTGGTGATACCCAATCTGCGTTTCCTAACTCCATAAAATTACCTTGCTGATGATTCGTCAAACTGTACAGGACCTCTAGGGTCTATGGTAAGAAAATATTATAATAAGGAGAGTAATTGGTTTCAATATTAGATGAGACTATGGGTCTCGGTAAGGAGTGTAGAAGAAAGAATGACTGATTTAGAGAGAACACAACTAGAAAGGAAATCATGAGAGAGAAATTGGAATAAGGAAATCGACTGTGCTGGAAACGAACTTTTGGAATAGAATCCAATCTAATATATACAGTCGGTTATCTTATCTTACAAACCTCGCCCTACATCGAAGTGGGAAACACTTATACAAGATGTGAACACTTTGTTCAGGTCTTCGTAACAAAGGTTCTGGAATTCATACATGGCTCGACTCACTCGACTTAAAGTTGAGGCACTAGTAGATCCGAAGGACATACACGCCGGTAATTTATCTTACACCCTTTGTGGGACATGTATTTTCATTCACTCCTTGTAGAGAGGATACACGTGATGTTGATGAGGTGATAGCTTGGTGCTCTGCTCATTGACCAACAACAAAGGGGTGAGTATCAGACAGACAAGGCAGATCGATTGGCCGTCGATCGTAAAGCAGCAACACTCGGACGACAAAGCGGAATAAGAGGAGCAGGAAAATGGGAAGGATGGCGGTGCCGTCGTGTATAATTATAAAACAAAGACGGTTCAAGGGCTGGAGATATGGAAGGATTTGGTAGACGAATGGCCAAGTTTGTAGCATACATAGGCCTATACATCTAAGTCACCCTACGCTTCATGTCCGAATTATCATAACCCGCAGAGATCACACATACTACGCAATATTTGAATGCCTCCATTCGCCATAACCCAGGTCGCATTAGACAATGATATATATTATACATCTTGAACTCTATAAGTAGAAGATATACCTAATGACTACAAGGGTATGGGTTACTATTTAGTTGAGTGTAATAGAAGAAGACTTATGAACCATATAAGGTACCCCTGAAATTCGAGTGGACATGTTCCAGTCTAATAATTGGTTCCCAGAGAGTACAAGCAACGATAAAACGGCTAAGTATAGTATCTAATATATGTAGCTAACTAACTGTTTAATTATAATTATAGCGGAGCGCATGTCAATCTACACGTTCAATAATGGACATCGATATCAAAGAGACTTTATTAGTGATAAGGATGTCTAGCTTATTCATAGTCCTATGTGTCTATTTATTTTAAATTCCAAAATAGCATTTTTAGATTCGTTCTTAATTAGTATGCGCACCTAGCCTACCTACCTAGATACTTAGAATAGAACATTTGGTAGACAAAATGTACTTAATTACAACTTACTATGTAAAAACTATGATGAAGCTATATACTAACCGAGCAGAGATAGATAGAATAAAGGCTTAGCATGAAACTGCAACATACTTTGATTTCGGATGAATAATCCTAACGGGGAAAAAAGACATATTAATACCAGTTATATCATGGCTCACTGCTCTACTCCACGCTTTACACCATGTGCTCAAAATCACGTTCTACTTCAATTCGACGTATCAAGTTGATCTACCTACTTCCGCGCCCAATCTATTGTCTACCTATCTAGATAGAAAGATCGAGTAAACCCCAGTAACGTGAAGACCCCCGCGAATAAAGGAAGCCACTGCAAAGAATCCGAGTACACACGACGCTCGTAAAACGCCTCCTAACAAAAGCTCGAGCCCCTGGTACCAACCATCCAACGTAATCTGATCCACTGAGGGGGAATTGAAATCTAGCACATAAACGCCCCCTAAAGCAACCACGCTGCAAGTGGAAATATACCTAGGAGACGTGAAAACATTGAAAATAGTGAATCATGGTCTGGCCACCTCACCAAGATACCAAAATTCCCGAGGCGAATAACTCGCCCGAACACCTCGTACGATCTCGTTATCTAACGTGTAAACTTGAATAAGCGAGGTTGCAATGCCACCATGGTCCCGTGGGCCTCTCGCACTTCGGACGTCAGGCCTGGCTCAAGCTCATTTCGCTCGGCAAGTTGGAGCAGCTTCTCTGCCCAGATCTTCCACTTTCCGAGCCACATTTGTTGCTCTTCAGTTTTGCCTTTTCCGATCTTCTGCTGGCATATCTTGTGGCCTGCTATCATGATGTACTGCACTGCCACTCTTATTAAGCAGCTACGCCTAACTCCAGGGGGGTTGTCCTCCTCGAGAGCTTTCGGAATGTCCACGCAGGGGAATTTACACTTCTCTTTGAATTGGTCGTTGAAACCAGCTTCGATACAGCGGGCAATGAAGGCGGAAATGTTGACCCATTCTTCACACTTCCTCTCGAGCTCCTCTGGGTTAGTGTCATCTTTTGCTATAAGCCAAGTTAGCGTGACAAGATACTGGCTGCTTATGGAGAGCTCTTAGGTCCATACGGGAGTGGTTTTCCCATTTCTGACCCATCATCCTTTCGATTATGGGTTCGTGCTCGTAGACAATGTAATCCTCCTGCGGCGCAAGTGTAAGTAAAGGTTAACAATTCGTATAATAGAAGAAATCCGCGTACATTTTCAATTTTGATCTGCCTCGACGGTAGATGTCGAAGTTCGAAGAGTAAGTCAATGATGGCGTATTGTAAACCGTGGTGGTAGGGTATGATTAAAACCAAGTCGGAGACAACTCCGTAAAGTCCGGTAAGGAATTCGATCATGCCTTTGTCATCCTGGTCTTTCAGCGCCGGGTTGGACGCCAGATATGTTTCTTCATAGTAAGTATCTATCTGCAGAGCCGCATCTGAAGGTAGACACCCCCTCGCCGAAAAAAGGGAACGTCTGAAGATTTTGACGATTGCATGCCTGGCGGTTTGCGAGTCAGTTGTAGCGATCTCGTTATCCAGAAAATCAACCCAGGGTTGATTCGAGCGGCCCGCGCGGAGATCTCGGATTGTCCCCATCGTGCTAAGAACAAAGTTGGCCGTATTTTCTTCACTACCTAGTAGAGCGGAATAGTCTTATGCTAACGATTCCTACGCAAAGTTCGCCTCGAAATGGTAACGAAGTGGGGATAAGAGGTAGATTTTAAAGTTCCCGATCCTAAACGACGAGACATATACCAGGAAGCACAGCTCGCCGCCCGCACAACTTGGATAATGCTTCTTTCGCTCTCTGCCTTACCAAAATGGCCTTTTTAAAAGTATAACCAGATCAAGAGGTATGAGGTCTGAGATTTACTGGAAAGACGAGAAAAACCCCAAAGCCCTAATAAATATACAGTGGGACAAGTTACTGGGTTCCTGGGTTGCTAGGTTTAATAAGTTGCATTCTATAACGCAGACCACGAATAATCCACATCACTGCCAGAGGTCCCCACAAGTTTTGCTTGATGTGACGATTTACTAACCTAGAGTATTCAAGTCCTGGGTTGGCGGACCCTCTTAGTGCTGGCACCAACTACCAGGACTACCTGGACTACCAGGACTACCAAGAATGCCAGGGACTGTCAAAAGTGCAGGCCAGTTAGTCTTGCGTTAGCGCAGCTGCACGTTTCAGATAGCATCAATTGATTCTTAAAGCAAAGACAAATAGCTTCGGCCGATAATGTTCCACACCATGTATCCAGGTAAGGTACCTGTCAAATAATGTCAAGACCTTACCAAAGGGGTTTAAAAGACAAGGAAACAAAAATAAGCTTAACTACCGAATTGTAAAAGCAAAGTCCAATTAGGCGAATGCATGCAACCTTAAACTATAAGAGGCGTCATTTGCTTAGTTAACTATAAGCTTAAAAGACTTATTAATAACAGGTACCAGGTAGGTAACTAACGGTTAAACTATAGGCCCAAAAAAAGTAGTTAACTAAAGAAAATAATGCACCGCACTTTTTGACTGACCGCCAAGCGCCGATCGTCTTGCAGACACCATAGACAAGGGTATATTGAAAAGCAGAAGACATCGTCATCTCCCTTCCCGGGGTTTCTCGGTTACCTCATCGCGGGTTATTTCCTAGTGAATTTGTCAGACAGCTTGGACAGCAGCAGGAACACAGATCTTAACCACACTCGTAATTCAAGCGAAACAAATTTTTTTTTTTTAGCAATGTAAAAAATGTACAATAGTGCCCAAAGGCATTAGGCTCTTATCAAAGGTATGCCACGTGGCTTTGTTTGCTACCATAATTTTATTCCTTCTCCTACGGTGCATCGAAAAATTATATTGCATCGGCACCTATATAGCGGAGAAGAACTAAGATTCTTCACCGCGCGAAATGACATAGTTGCCCCCGGCATCAGTAACCGCGAATAGTCGTCTTTCATTGGTTTCCAAACGTGTGGATAGTCGTCGAATTTAACCGTGGTAATGGATCAACTAAAATCTCACAATTCCTTCTAGAAGCAGGAGTTCGAGTTTCGATGCCGATCGGATGCAGCCGTTCCCAACCCCATATACTATGTAATTAATACGTGGACATAATTCTAAGCTAGTAAAGCTAGTAAAGCTAGTAAGAGCCTCTAAGCTCTAAAAGGATGACGAGTGGATATTCAAGATCACTTAAACCGCAAAGATATCTTGATGTTTTCGAGGAACTTTCGCATGCTGCTATGTAAATAATTTATCGCATTCAGTATGTCTTTTCGTCAAGTCTCTCTTCGTCATACATAGGTCCCTAAAGCTCAAAGTAGTTGAGCCTTCTATATAGGTATATACCTTGGGTGGGAATTTTGGTATTTGTTTAGTTTCAAGAATTTACTACCTTAATCGACGTTACAGATCCTGGCAGCTTCGTAGAAAATTCCGTTGACGCTGTCCTACTCGGCGCTGCAAAATATCGTGTGAGTTGATATATGATAGCTGAATAAGAGTGATCATACGACTCTTCAAGCTATACGACGCCACATTTCCGAAGCAAGGGAAGAGAGCGAAATGTCGTACGTGATCTGAAAATTATCCTCTATCACGATTATCCTCAACAATTACTAGCGTTTCTATAGAGTAGTGCTAAAAAGACCCTAGCACGGATAGAGCGATGCGGAATCCCAGAAAGCAGGCCTCGTGATTACGAAAATCTACCTAATATATCAAGTGTGGATAGACCCCTTTAAGCAGCGGTCAACATGGAAGTACCCGAAAGCGCATACCTAGTTTCCAGTGGGGGCAAGGGATATCAGCTGAAGAAAGTTAAACCATTTGGAGACAGGGTCAAGGTACTATGCAAAGCAGATCCTTTACGATGGGATATTTTACCTTTTCTGCCACGCCTATAAACCGATAGTTTTCCCACTGTGAAAAGAGACAGCTACTGTCTACCTACATATATCACAGGTATTTGACCGGTATTTAGATAATATCACATGCTTAGCTTATAAACCATCAAGCGATAATCAAGATTATATGTCCGAGAAGCTATGATGCAATCTCAAAATAGGTATCGCAAAGGATACACCAAATTCTAGTTGGCGAATCCCTGGGCTACTAAAAATCTAGGGCGGAAAGCTGTAACTATCAGCTGTCAAGCGTCGGTTATATTCTTAGTTTTTTTCGTGTAACCGCGCATCCTTGCAGTAACGTACATAGCATTTTAATCACCAGTTCTACAATCCTCACATGACTTGGCTTACGATAATTGCTAGATCCCTGGACCGTTGAGGCATAGCATAAAGAGCTGGTGCTAGGAAAAACGCAGTTTATATAATACTCAGGTATCATATTAACTAGGTATATATATCAAAGGACCTAGGTTCAAATACATTACGAACCATATTCTTTAAGGTAAAATATACCTGATTGATGTATTAGATTGGCCGAATTCTTAGCTTGTCCTCTCGGGGCTATAAACACACGAAAGAATGTATTGCCTCAAAATACTTTGCATCATAGATCTCGACTGTTAGATTGTTCGTCGTGTGAAGTAACAACGTACCAACGAGCTTGCTTCCGCCGTGGTTTTTGCTTAGATACAACGTAAACGTCATGGGCAACTAAAACTGTATCTTTTGTTTTAGGTATAACTATCGTTTAGAATCCTAATAGTATAGTAGTGCATGAAAAGAAAACTAGTTACCTATATAAAATTACGACAACAGTCTTTCTCTCTCACTATCATTAGTTCTAAAGTCAGCAGTAGTTTCTTCCTGAGAGCACAGCTATCACATGTTATCTACGGGTTATGGTATGTATGTATCATGTACCTTTTAGAGTAACTGAGAACAATGTCGAAACTGAATATACCATGACACATATTCTACAATATAGGGCCTGGAGTCTATATATACGTGATATGATTTATATTCTCCTTGAAGTTATCTGGTACGAAAAGGCGATTTCCGAATGTCACGTAGAAGGAATAATTATGAACCTAGGGTCAAGCATGTTTTCAACTTCGATAAAAGACGCGCTGTAAAGAGTTCCTCATGAGAATACAACGCCGCGTCATATATCAAGCTGCCGAGAATACTATACAAATCGAAGCAATGTAGTATTGTTTGCTGCCTTTAGCAAGGCCTCAAAAGAATAGCACGGTAGTCTGTATCTCAACCCATCCCTACGAATGAATCATCAAAGCTGGCACGTCCAGCTACACGCCCAGCTACAAGCCTTGCCAGCATCACCTAATGAGCGCTTTTGACCTGCTTCAGATCTCCTATAAGATGTCATAACAAGCAGCCAACCCAGAGCCGAAAAAGACTCAGCGCAGTCATAATTCCGCAATTATGCCGTCGTGACAACCGTCTTAAGGTTGCAAGGCCGGGCTTCCTGTCTCTAAAGGCAGAGAACCTCGTTCCACGTAACAGAAACACCCAGAAACGAAAGAGCGTATACACTGGAAACTCCAAACCACAAAGATCGCGGGTAGCTTATGCTTCGATCGCCTTATTCTTCTTCTTTTGCTCGACCTTGAGTAGTAGGGCACGGTTGATGTGGGGTAGAACACCACCAAAAGCGATAGTTGCACGAATCAGCGTGTCCAGTTCTTCGTCACCGCGGATGGCGAGTTGGAGATGACGAGGAGTAATACGCTTAACCTTCAGGTCTTTGGCGGCATTCTACGAGGATATTAGTTGGTTTCCATTCTTATATGGTAATCGGTGGAACCAGAAACGAGGCAGAGTTTATGCAAGTATAGTGGCAACGTGACACAGGGAAAACAAAGAGGATGACTCACGCCTGCGAGCTCAAGGACTTCGGCAGTCAGATACTCGAGAACGGCTGTAACATAGACGGCAGCCTTGGCGCCAACGCGCATCTTGTTCTGTGTGTTTTGCTTCAAGAAACGCTTAACACGACCACAGGGGAACTATGACGTTCTGTTAGCAAAACTCGACTACAAGAGCAGTATATCTTTATCATGATTAAAAAAGCGCGGTTGCAGATGTAAGCCAAATAAAAGCAACAGTGCACTGGGTCTTAGGAAAGAGAAGAGTGCCAATATCGCATCGCATCGCATTGCATGCCCCCGAGTATTTCGATGAGTTCGGTTTATATACGTAAGGAGATGAAGACGAAAAATATAATCAGCCCAATGACATCCGCACAGCTCCATTATGACCGGGTATGGAACTCGTTATTATAATACAATCCCAAGTGGCGGTTGGACAGTACGTGTTGTGTAGAAAGAGGTGCGTGTCATTCTGCGAATCGAGGGGTACGCGGGCGATATCGACGGGAGCTCGATGTTGCGGAGACATGGGCATCTCCACAGACCAGACCGGTAGAAATAATCGCGATGCGTTAATAGTATATGACAAAATAGCATCTTACCTGAAGTCCAGCACGAGCAGAATGGCTCTGCTGCTTCTTGGGAGCTTCAGCAGCCGAAGTCTTCCCGCCCGAACTCTTGCCGCCAGATGATTTGCCTTTTCCACCAGCCATTGTTTATACTAATGTGGGCGAAATCGATATTTTATTAATGCTAATAAAATCGAACGGGTTTCGGCGCGACGAATAAAAGATGGTGTCGGTTTGGGGGGTGGATAGTTGAACTTTCGCGTCGGGTTTGTTTGTCGGTGAAAATTGTTTTCGTTGTTTGTGTTTTTTATTATTCGGAGGCGCTGGAAAATCGAGAGGCGGCGCGGTGTAGTTGGAAGGGGCGGGCTATATTGCAGGCGGGTTGGGGCGGAAAGGAAAGCTGTGAGCTACCTGTAGTAGGCTGCTGCTTGCCTATTTGGATTGACTCAATGCTCTATTGCAGTTGATCAGGCTGTGTTATAGGCACTGAAGCACTGAGGTAGGCATCAAATCTTGCTTCCAGAAGCCCCGAGGGTAGAAAATGACCCCACCTTATAGCGCCTAGCTTTTCCATGACACTAAGCCTTATCCAGCTACGACGTGACTGCCGGTAAATCTCCGGCTATCATCATCAGCCGCTTGGTTAGAGAAGAGGGTTGTCTTGATGAATGTCAGGAAAGTTATTAGAAGAGGGCTACACCAACTAATGTAGACCGAAAGGCAAAAAGGGAGCAGTAATCACTTCGTTGACATACTCACATTATTAGAGCAGTTATAAACTACCCGGAGTTGAGAGGTGCGAATGTGACGAAGCATCAATTACTTGCAGTAGACCAGCAAGGTTAGGTAGTCAAGGGGATGTCGGCATGAAGTTTGACGAAGAGCGACGGCAGCGTACATGCCGCATTTTAAACCGTGTTAGTGCCATTTTTACACTTCCGATTAAAGTAGGCGACTAAGACTCCAGATTCGAAGTAGTCCAAAGCGATGGAGGAAGTGCTGCGTAAAAAGGATCACGCATAAGAAGGTAGACTTTGATATTGGAATGTAGATTAGCTGTGGTCGTTTGGATGGAGATCTACGTCAATCCGCTAGCTTCCAATAGGTGGAAACCCATCAGCCGAAGCAGTGTGGCTTGCATTAACTCCACAGCCACACGATCCTTGTTTTTTAGAACCTTGGAAGTATCTATGTACCAACCCACCAGTTACCTACACCACCTTAAATGCAACTCTCAGATAATCTCAAAGAGAATCCTATTACCAAGGTAAACAACTAAGGGCTTATATGCCATTCCTGGGAGATAGGAAATGGTATATCACATGCATTGAGTGAATGAATTAGAAGAAAACTTTAATAGAGCTAGGTACCTATTATAACTAGTAGGAAAGTAGAGAGACTGGCAAGATATAACTAACAGTAGTTATACAAACTTAAAAAGTGAGCATATAATAAAATTCAATGTAAGCCTATATAGTAGTGAGGAGAGGTGTTATTGTTTAGGAGATACTATACTTCTGATTCTTTATATATGAGATTGGAAGGCTGTACCTAAACTTCAAGTTTCCTCATTGCGGCAAACATGATAGACGGCCAACTTTAATCCTTTTTCGTAAGGCTTTAATAACCATAATCTACATGTGCTCATCCAACATATAGTAACTTCTACATATTATAGATTACCTGTTCCGTTGTTCTCGTACACAAACTGTCACATCCGATCTATTACCGGCAAGGAATCCCCATTAACCGAGTGGGAAGGACTGTTATTAGATACGATACCTAGAGTGTAATTAAGTACATAATAAATTCTATTGTTGACAGTGACTTCCGATATAACATACGTTTAAGTTACTAGGCACCCAATATCTAACAGTGGTGAGAACCTTAGGGTAACACTTTCTATAACTTTTACTTTAATCCGTACGTAAACTATAAACAGTCACTCGAAAGGAATAATGCTAAGTGTTACGAATGTCATATAAAATCCCGTTTTCGAAATCTAAGACCCTAATTTTGGAGCGTCTTGTACCGCCTAAACCAGGCGATTATGACTAAAATAGCCAACTTCCGAGTAGTACTTCCCTTTTGGGTGTAGATTGGGATTATTTACTCAGGGTCCGTACGGATCTATTTGGTGTCATGTATTCAAGTTTACCCTGGAGCCGTACACCATGCACTTTGTGTGTAGCTTAGGTGGTCTTACTAGCTTCGTTGTTGATAGCTACCTCATCCCAAGTAACAAGGTCAATCCTGCCGTCGTCGTTATGGTTAGACGGAAGAAAGCTAGCCTTAGTACTCCTATTGGGGCCGTTGCGGTAGGAACGGAACGTCTATGAATGCAAACAAATCCTGATGGGGATGAAGCCCCCTAATAGTTCGAGCAACATTATAATCCGCGATTGTTTAGTCTCGCATCCAGTATCAGCAAATTACTCAAGAACCGCTCACAACAGGACTTACACTTTGGTTCTTCGTACGTCTATCATCATGATGCTTTTGAACAATCTTGCTGTTGCAATAGTTTTATTTTCTTTTTCCTTTGAGAGCTGTGCCTGTCAACACGGATAGCACTAGCACCCCTGACGACACTAACGGCCTCGCCTGGACTGTATTTTTAAATAAGAAGGGTTCGACCCTTAATAACAAGTAGGTTAAGTTGTGCCCATAGGCCGACACGCCGTTAGGTAGCATAGTCGTGGTGGATGATTCGTCACCCGCACTCATGGCCAGCTTGCGGGGCGGCACGCTGTACGGTGCAGGACAGGAACAACAAGCTGCACGACATAGGGCTAGCCGGGTTCCTAGACCTAAGTTCACCAACGCCTCATCGCATCAGCAAGTTTGACTTCTTGTTCGCTAGTATGACTGAATCCTCCGATGGTGGTACTATATTCAACTCTATAAACGCCAAGTGGAGTTTTATCTAAGTGTAGAACGCAGACGTATACGCCCATAGGCTCAATCATGACTTCATTACCGAATCAATAGGCTTTTTTTGGACGTGTCTAGAGAGTGCCGAGGGTAAGGAGTTGCTGCTACAGACACTACTTCGTAACAAGCTATTCGGGAGAGCAATGGGCTAACCCTGGATTCGGGAGCGTGTCGGTTCGGGTCATCGTGAAATCTAGTAAGGAGGAGGATGGCTGGATTGTTTGATAAGACATAGTCTTTAATGGCTGCAGTGCTTCACCTGTGGATCGTGTAAAAATTGAAAGAGAGGTTAGAAAGTCTGCCTAGTTTCCGTAGAAGTAGGGAAGTAACCTATGATCGGACTCGTGGGATTGGATATTTGATTCGTAGTTTGGTGTAGCCAACTAACTTGTCATCCCCTTATGAAATAAGATTGGCCCACCAATGATCCCCACGATTCCGGAATCAGGCAAGCCACCTGATATTATAGTGGAAGTTGTAAATTTTGGGATCGCATAGTTTTGTTCTTATGTCCTTATTAACCTTCGTTTATAGTAATTGTTAAAGCAACCAATAGAATTTAACATGCGAATGTAGTTAGCTAGGTTGGTGCATAGTTTAGGATTGGGTAAGAACTAACGATTTTGTTTATTTAACGGCGACTTGGAGTTGTACAATCTTCGCCAATTAGATAGAGAAGTAGGCATCATGCTTGAAGCTAATGTTGAATGTGCTACCGGCTGTGGATGCAAGATGCCTATTCAGATCCTGCTGGGTCTCTCTATGCGCGGAGAGAATTCATCACCGATTTATCATGTAGGACAGCTAGAGACATCGCATTCAAGAAGGTTGGAGGATGGACAAACATATTATCTTCTCCCTAGGTACTTGAATGAGTTAGATTCTAAATATGTTTTAGGACCTTAGTCTACCACTGCAGATTGTATTTAATTAGATGCTGTTTGCCAGAGTTTAGCTTAGAGCTTTTGATAGAGCCCGAATTGGTGAACTCTAACTCAATAGTCCCTATTAACGTATTACCGAAGGTTTGTTCGCTCGTTGCGAAGTGATTAGAGTAACCAATTTTTTTTTTTAAATTTGAGGAATGAGTTTGTCATCAGGTAGGTAGGTTACTAGAATGTACGACCCGTGAGATGTAGCAGTGGGCTGTGCTACCTAACCCTAGGAAGCTTAGCAATATTCCCTAGTGTCATAATGTAGCTACTCCCATAGAGTGCTTATACTCGGAAACGTCCCAATGTCCTAGGGCTAGACATATCTAAGGTAATCATAAGCCGTTGTACACACCGAACTAGTGTTGGAAGTACTGGTGTTAAATCGAATTGAACAATCAAAAGATAGTGTTAACTTTGTAGCTTGTTCGACATCTAAAATACCTGGGCACTACCTAAATATTAGTAGATTCCATGTGTATCAAGGTCTATTACTCATCCTTGTTTCAACAAGATTATCAATTATGCTGTCTTAATACCCAGATTCAAAGTTTAGTTCCTTATATCGCCCTAACACTTTACAATGAAGATAGTTAATATGAGAGTTTATATCAACTACGACGAATCTGAAGGACCGCTTTGATAGCTTTCTGCGCCCATTAATTTCGATCAGGGGTTATGGAAAAACCCGACGAATAATATGGCAGACTAACTAGTCCGAATAAACTATGGCTGCCTGTACTCATTTCCATGCTTCTTGCCCTTACCTGCTTGTCTAAGTGCTGCTACATGCCTTACGTAGAAGTGGAGAATCAGCTAAGTCTTCGCGACAGTTGGGTAGCACTTCGATGAAGTAATGTGATAACTAATAGCTCTATGGTATAAAAGAGTTGCCATGAGACAGACAGCGGTACGGTATATGTTGGTATATTTAGTTTGCTTTAATGGAGGAACCCATTTTCCGCGAGATTGGTTTGGGATGCGAGTGTTAATCTTGTACTATACGTGGTAGCATATGAAAAGGGGTCTCACCTTGTTGGAGTATTCGCTAACCCGGAACACAACCGATGGTCTAAGATATGAGTAAGAATGATTTATTGCCTTGGCAAAGAAATTTCTGAAGAAGTATTTATTCTTTGTGTCTCGCTCCTACGGGAGACCTTGGTCCGAGACGAAGTCCTTTGTAGCAATCTATGTATAGAACGTGGCAAGTTAGAAATTCTCCCTGCTGTGACGATATCGTTTGGAACGTCGAAATAAGTTCATGGGAATCCTTTAAGAAAACGAGAGGGGAAAGGAAGAGTATGGAAACTTGCCGATTGGATGACTGACTCGACGCTATTTTCGCGTTGTCAGCTCCCGAGACACAAAGCTTAGTGTTTCCCCCACTGAGACCAGGAAACGGGACTATCAAATTTGATATCATCTTGACTACACTATGCGTGATCCTTGTTGGTACTATTGTATTACGGCATTGACAAGCAGGGCGTAACAGAACTGCATCTGCTCTTGATTACATACTTAAACATCCTGGGTGTCGATACTCAAGTTGTTCTACTTATCGATACATTCAGGGGCGGCGCTTCGGCACGACGTTTAAGTCGCTAGTTATCCATACAGCTACAAAACATGGTTGTCGTACGTTGACGGTAAAGAAAGCTAGCTAGGTAATTATTATCGTTTCTGCAGCGATATCTTAGAGCTGCATCCAACTCGATGGGAACCGGCCTGACTCAAGTTTTGGATCGGCGTGGCAAATCGTTCTCTGCTGTTCTTGGGATAAATCCCTTTCTTCACTTTGCGGACCCAACTTCCACTACCTGTTAGTCTTCCGTAGGTCGAATGGACTTTGGGGCGGAGTAGTTGATTGATCTGTCGGGGCTCGGCATGGGTAGTCCTTTATGGCTAGTCGTAGTAACCGGGAAATCGTACCAGAGGAAGACGTGCCGTAATTAACTTACCAACGACTGTTAGGGATTTAGAACGTCATTGATGTGACACTAGGTAAAAAGCCTATGGAGTAAAGAGGCTGTGATAGGTATGAAAAGAAATGACGCAGACCTGGTAAAGGAGAAAACCTACGTAATTGAGGATTGTTGTAATGGATGGAGATGAGTTCCAGAATATGCCAAGATTCTAGGTCCCATTGAGAGTTGCTTCGATTTTCTCGAAATAGACGTAGAACTGTCTCTGATTTGCTGGGCACACTGCCACAGTGAACGATCATTTCGAATTCTTAGGGGTTCGACCGGGGAGGTTGGGGCCATTTTGCGATCTGATCTTAGAACGAACCCTGGGAACTGGGTACGTGAACGCACAGACGAGCCGGCAGGCTGGAGAGTTGATAGGCCGAGGAATACCTACCGTGGATATCGAAGGATGCCAATACCATGGAAACAAGACGATAGGGACATTCATTCGCTTGTTCTAAGTCTTATACATACATACGAAGCAGAATAGAGACTCCTCTATTTGAGCAAGTAGGATGGATGCTTTGCGGCTCGATAGGTAAGATTGGGCATTGCTGTCCGCATAAGATTAGTTCGAAATGATGTCTCATTTCGTTAACGCGCGGGGAGAAGCTGCCATGGTGGGATTGCGTATTAAGAGAACTCGTGAATGGTGACATCGCTGCATGTTGCGCCTCGCGTGTTAGGTACTGGCTGTACGTATCTCTGATCAGCGGCCATGCGATGCAGTGCTTGTGATCTACATGAAATGAGTGCATCAGGCACATTCCATCACCAAGATACAGGGTCATAAGGGAGTATATTCAACACCTGCCGGGGGTTTAATATGTCAAAATTTGGGCTGTAACGTTAATCTGATCCGGTTGGCGCTTCTGGAATTATTCTCGTAGGATAGAACCCGACTAAGATTTTAGGAAATGAATCGAATATACGGATCCGTACCTAAGTAGATAATAAGTAGGATAAGTAGGATTTTATACCTTTGGGGCGGGGGTCGAAAGGGCTGGATGGGAGGAAGGCCTGTGGTTGGGTCTCGTGTAAAAAATATTTTCTCGCGAATCTCAATATCTTACTCCTTGGAGGGAAAAGAGATTATTATTGGTGTCGTCTTTTGTCCCTATGCAGCCGCCGTTTTGGGGGATCTGTATAATCTTGACGCCACGCACGCATGCATGTTTCATGCCTTTGACTAATATGGCGGCCGTAGAGCCCAACTACTCGTAGTAGAACTCCACAAACCTCCGGCAAACTATGCAAATACGACCAAACCACCGTCATTAATATAGTTAATAGATGGCTGCCGCGTCTATGTATATGTGTTCTATATGCTATATATCTGCTGAGAGAGCAAGATGAAAAGGTCACTTGACGCTGTGTCGAAAAGCGGAGCGGTTGATAAAGAGGGTGTGATGCGAATGTTCACGAGGCTTCTAATTTGTATCTTAAATTTGTGTCTCGCTCGGTAGCCTTGTCCCGTGATAAGACCCGCTGTAAAGGAACCGCTCAAGGATGTAACACTCGAGATGACCAATGCGTCTAGGAGCAGGGCCTTCTCAGATGGTTTGTGTGGACTTTGTAATAAACCAGTCTGATAATACCTAGGTAAGCTACACTAGTGTAGATAAAATGTGTACGGGGCCACATATGTACATAGCTTAGGTGGGCTAGGGGAACAATGCTGGTGATACTGTGTAGGTAGGTTTAAGTGAGGCAGGTATCTGTCTCGGACCCGGCGGCGAGTTTGACTACTGGTTACTGGTAACGAGTAACAACAATATAGAAAGGTCTGTTGGATATGCAACATGTGTATAGATTTGTTATTTTAGACGCTATTATGCCTAGATTGGATATAATCGTATCAAATATTCGATGCTCTATTCGGACTCGATGTTGTTGATGATGACGATGGTTGTTGATGAGGGAGCCGATCCTGTTGCCCCGTGCCTCGTACAAGGAGGTAGACACATTTTTATGCCTGCCACTTTACACTAGGGCTACTTTATGTGTACCTAAGGTAGATACCTCATTGTACATAGTGTGCTAGTGTCCGGATTAGTGCACCGCATTTAATGTAAGTGATGCTAATATACAGTATATCGCGAGCTTGCGCTGCACTGTGGGAAATGGTAGACTTAGGGGGTGTGAGGATGGCCTAAGCGTTCCGAGGAATAGGCCAATTTGAGCTCCGAGCACAGTATATAATTTATTTAATTTTATATACGCATGTTCACGTACCTCGTACTTCGTAACTTGGCTAGTGAGACTTTTCCCCTTTGAGCCCCCCTAAGCTGGCAGCGCAAATTGATAGCATGAAGCGCAAGCACGGTACATACTCCTTATCACCGCTAAGCCAATAAATTTCCTTTTGGGGTTTTCTGGCATTGTTTTTTTCCCATCAACCATCCGCGATCCACCTTCTACCCATTAGCCCCCCATCGCCCCTGGGATCTTCTCGAGTGCCAAGTTTCCATGCCTTGCTCTGGAAGAAAAAAATCTAGCTGGACATATTTTTCGTCTTCTCGAAATTCTACAATACTACCTAATAACTTATCATATTATCTATCCGATGATCCTCGCTGCCTTCTAAGGCGTATTGCCATAATCCATTCCCCTTCTCTTTTCCCTTCTCCTTTCGCCATCATCTATCCCGCGGCCTCCTCCGGGTGGTACCTCCTCACTCTCTACTCGGGCTCTGATTGGTCTCTCAGTCTTTGTCTTGCTTGTATCTCATTCAGCTACACCCAGATTTCAACAGCCACTTAAGAGCAACCCCAAAACCGATTACACTGGTTACCTACTTGTTACTTGTGGGCAATTCCAAAGCTGATACCTAGCTTTCTTCCGCCCTTCGACCAACTATCATTACAACATCTTTCCGTCTCAACTTGATAGGCACCGGCTTCAGTTCTACTTCGGTCAGCTATCCAATCTTATCGCTACTTACTCCTTCCGCCGAGGCCTCTAGCTGTCCCCCCTGGACCCGAGAGGTTCCCCGGTTGATCCATCACGCCTTACGTATCCTCATACCCTTGCTTACTTTTTTACTACCCCCCTAAATAGCCAACTTGGAAAGTCGGTTTATTGGACCTAAACTCTTCGCGCGTCGCGTGCAAACACTGCTACTATTTCTATCTGCTACCTGATCGCTATAAACTTACTTATCTGGCCATAAATTATTGCTTGTTATACTTTTACGGCGAAACTTTGCGGTCAGGACGAGTAGAGCTTTTGGAGGGTACTGCTGTCGTCTTCTGAAATCCCAGGTTAGCCCTTGGTTTATCTGGTGGCCTAGGAAGAAAGTAAAAATTAAAAATTAAAGTCAAGGAAAAGAAAATCCTAACTTACCTAGGTTGGGGGGTCCCTGCGGTCAAGCCCGCAATTCTTCGCCGCCTTTTTTTCAACCTGCCTTTGCTGCAGGCCAATTTTTTTCTCCACCGCATCAACTTCAGGACAGGCCTGAGTCCCCTTTCTAGAGAGGTTTAGGACCTATCATATATAGGGAGATTTGGCGACCTGGTGCTCAGGAGTCAACTATTCGGTATTTGAGCTGCGTGACGGCATACTACCCGACCTAATCTTCGTTTCGGCTTCTTGCATTTCTACTGCACAGCCAATCCTGCCTAACTTTTCAGCCAACCAGCCATAACTTGTCGCTGCTCCTTCGACCGACTCTATTTACCTTCCTGTCGATTTTTACGCACGAGTAACCCTCGTCTCTGCAAAGGAGTACGGTTCCCACGACGGCGCTTTGTCTTGTGCTCATCCTTTCCTCGGAGACTAAAAGCAGAGGCCCTGTGCTCTGATACATTACTCAACTAGGCGTTTCCGCCCGTTTATATACGTGTATAAAGGGAGCTGCAGCCTGCTGGCTCCCCACAGCAGCTGCACCAGCCCTCAACACTATTGTGGCAATTATGAATCAACAACAGCAACACGATATGTATTACGATTATTCCACGACGGCAAATAGGTCGCCTGGGTCGACAAGACAAGGTTATGCTACTGTTGGCCTACCCTCGGGCCTAGGGGGTAACCGATCTGGTCAAAGACCTCTCGAATCTCTTGGCCAGCAAATGACATCTGGTTCGATATACGGACACGATGACCGCCTCGGCGGCGCGACCTATGAACCTCTATCGAGATTTGATCGCGTTGCACCAAGCGCAATGCAATCCGGTTACATGTTGGAGAATAGCCAGACGTGGGGCTATAATGGCGGAGTAGCCACCATGAACGGCCCCATGAATGGCAACGGTCGGTTAGCGGTGAGAGCTGTAAATCGCCGAGCTGCTTTACCTACGGTGAGTGCCCCTTTCGCGCACATTAACAATGACCGGGACTTTGCTAATCGAAGATTCCCTTTCAGACATGGACTGATCAATCCGGATTGGGCGTTCATTCGATGCCTCAGCTATACGATCCAAGTATGTCGATGAATGGAAATGAACATGACCTGTCAAATATGGCCGGCGCCGCCGCGGATTCTCGAGGAATGATGGCTACACCCGGCGCGTCCGATTCCGAGCAACTTATTCCTACGGCTATCGTGATTAAGAATATCCAGTTCCAGTGCCGAAAGGAGATCCTCCAAGGCCTCATGGCTTCTATGAATCTCCCTCAGCCATATGCTTTTAATTATCATTTCGACAAAGGTGTATTCAGAGGGCTAGCCTTCGCCAACTTCTCGACAGCTGATGATACTGCTATTGTAATTCAAAAGATGAATGGTTTGGAAGTTATGGGTCGCAAGTTGCGCGTCGAATACAAGAAGATGCTACCGCAGGATGAGCGTGACAGGATTGATCGAGAGAAGCGTGAGAAACGAGGCCAGCTCGAAGAACAGCATCGAGCGCCGCTTCCTATGCATCAGCAGAGCGCTCTGCAGGCTCTTGGTGTCAGCGTCAACAAGCAGCCAAGTAATTCGCCTCTACGTAAGTTTTCCACGCGCTTCTTAGGTATCTAAGGTGTCATTACTAAATTCTGTATTTGTAGGCGACGTCGATTTGAACGATCCTGCAACTCTCGAGTTTTATACACAGTTGACCCTATTTAAGAATGATCCAACTCGTGAAGTTCATATCTTCTCTCCTGATGTTGCCCCCGAACAGCGCCGACAGATACATATTCTCGCCCATAACATGGGTTTGGAGCACAGGTCCGTCGGGGAAGCCGATCGAAGGCAGATCCAAATCATGAAGCGGCCGCAGAATTCTCCTCCTGCTCACGCCCAGAGCCAATTACCTAATGTATCCTGGGAGGACCACCGACGCGGGTTAAGCCGCGCCGCTACATATGATTTTACAGAATCTCGCATAGGCTCCAGTGCTTATCATGCGCTGGGTAGGCAAGGTCCTACGCTGGAACTACCAGGCAGCCCAGACAATGGAATACCGAACAACCTCAGGGCGGCTAAGAGCTTCGCAGACTTACGCACGCACAGCCCGAGCCCTGCGCCTTCTGGTTCAAGCTATGCTGGCCTTGGAAATGGCCTCGGGGCCCGTTATGGTGATTTTTCCCAAAACTCGCTGACCACGCCGCCCAATTTAACCCCGACATCAGGTCAAAATGCTACATCGAGTACCGACGCTTTGTTGGCGGGAAATATGAGTTCTATGAACCTAGGTTTCGATTCGAACGGCTCTCACATGCGCGCTAGGGAAACTCCAGGGGCCATTGGAAGCCAAAGACCGGGAGCTAATGGTCAGGCAAACCGTAACGCCCCTGACAGGCAACCACGCGGCCCAGAATGGGGAGAAGCTGGTCAAGGTTTTGGCGGACGAAGTCGTGGACACATGCAGAGGGGTAGCGGTTAGTATTTACGTTCGGCGCTCTTGGGCCATCCATTACTAACTAAGGCTGTGTACAGATTCATCAGATGCAGGTCGCAGTACTGCGCGTTACCATTGATCCAGCTTATTACTACTTAATGCGAGAAGCTGGCTGCGGTACGGAACAGCAGTGACCCATCAATTGTATGGCCCCCGCACTCTTCGCTCAGTCATTTATTTACCGGTGCGATGATAATGCCGAGTTTCCCATCACTACCTTCTGGAAAGCTAAGAAAAAAAAGTCCTCGCTTTCAAACCCTATCATCTGTCCAATACGCCTTCCCTATGAGCGTTGGATCTCCGTCACAAGCATAACACAACGAGAGACGACTTATGACATAGACATATTCCCTTCATCGATTTGACGCTATGCTTCAACCCGTCGCAGCACGATTTTTACACCTCGGTTAACGGTTGGACTTGCATTATTGCGTTTTGAATTTCTTTTCCGTCTCGTTGTTTTGAACTAATATCTTGTAATATGAGATTTGATTTTGGAATATTGTTTTATTCACCTTCCATCAGATTTTCTCCGGCCGTCCTGGATTGGGAAAGAACAACATACATATCATGGAGTTTGCGATGGTGAAAGGTTGCAGCGTTGCATGGAACCGAAATAAAAAAAGTCTAGGGGAACAATGAAGCACATCGTTCCATTTTACAATACCCTCTTCACGATGATCGACAAATGAACCATCTCTGGATACACCATACAGCAATTTATGGGCGACCATTAACGGCATCACGACTCGAACTCCTATACCCTCCGAGGTGTCTTGAGGTCTTGACGGCTTCCGAAGGGGGTTGTCAAGCCTGGAGAACCTCTTTACGATGGTTACGCTGTTATGACGCATATGCACATCACTAGATGGCAACGCGATGCTGGCTGGCCGACTAGACTGGGAGATCCCCAACTAATTTACTGTTCTGAAGAGCATCTACGGGGCGTCCCTGGCGATAGGGCCGGCATAGCTTCGGAGCGATTGGAAATGACGGACGAAGCGACGAAGACGAAGACAGCAAGATTAATTTCGCTGCTGAGCGAGGATTTGTTTTCACTGGAGGACAGAACAGAATGAGGGCAGACAGACGGAGCAGAAGAAGATCTGATAAAATTATTTGCATTTGTATATGGTTATCTCGCCACACGATCGATGCTGTATTAAGGTTTTTCGCTTTCCTTGAACCACTTATCACCGCGACCTCGGCTCGGCGTAGATTCAACTCACTATTTCCCGACTATTCATTTATAGCTATTAACGGTGAAGAAGCATTGTTGAGGAGGTAGTCAGGATAGTAAGGGTTTGGATAAGGGGAGAAGGTCGGCGGAACGTGGAGAAACACTCGCTATAGGCGCTTTGCTGCAATACAAAAGTACTTGATCGCTTTCAATGTTGGAAGTCTTATTCGTGACTGGATAGCGCGGCGGGCTCGTGTTGAAGATAATAAGCATGGATTGAGGCTGAATTTGTCAACGTCGCTCCGCGAAGAAATTATTCTAAACTGAGAACTACCGAGCTCCAGTGCTCTTTTTGACACTTTCGAACTTGAGGTTGGCTAGGGTGGACCAAATGAAGCCCACGGTGTCTTCATCACTTAGTCGGTGAGTTTAGTTAATTGTTTACAGAGGTACCATCCTCCAGCGTACGATACCAGGCGAGCAGGTCATACTACCCTCGATGCCAATACTTCCACCCATGTTTTGACTGGTGGCTATGGCAGACCGGAGGACATCGGCAACGTCAGTGCCACCAACATAGACCTGGTCACTAGACGGCGGTGTCGCAGGCTGGACTTGGAAGCTGCAGTCGCCCGACACGAGGAGCGTATTGAACTTGTCGGTAGCATAGTCCGCCAGGAAAAAGTCCCTTGGTGAGGTGAGCTGGGCGTTACGTAGGGAGGCGCACGAGTCGAGCCAGGATGCCGATGGTGACGAGGCAGAGGCGACGGACTGGAAAGTGCTGGCGCCGCAATAGTCGGATGGTTGTGAGGTTTGTGCGTACCACGCCCAGCACGCCGGTGGGTTTATAGGGGCCTCGGCATATTTATAGAGCCCACAGGTTTGCGAAGCGCCGCGCGGTGCTGGCGATGAAGGCGAGCTGATGTGCGAGCTGGCTGGGCTTGTCGGAAGGCTCACGGTTGTGACGGGCATGATGAGGGAGGTGAGGATTTGTTGAAGGCGCATCTTGAATTTATGTATTGGAATATTCTATTACTGTACTACGTGGCGGTGCTGTGTATTAATTTAAATTGGTTGATTATAAGATTGGCGATATTAAGTATTAGGATGGGAGGATATTTAAGTAATATATGCTATAGGAATTTTCATCCATAATCTTACATACCAAGGTACCTAACTAATAGTTAAATATCTCTTATATAACCAGTCAAGTCAGTCCGAAAGATGATCGGCCGAAATAATATGAAATATGCCAACGTGATCACTTTAGGAGCGACGATATGGCCCCTTCACCTCCTCATCTCACCTTGTCGCTGGCCTCATGGCCCCTGGCTAGCATCGATGCACGGGATCGTCACACAAATCAATACTATGTAAGTTCGGAGAATAAAAAGGTTGGAGGGCATGTTGTGCGTCGTCCAATTAAAGACGAGATCCGACGATGACGGTCCTTGGTGCTCAATTCATGCTCGGCGGCTAAATAGTATCGGGCACATATTCGGTCGACGTCCGTTGGTCGGGAGCGGTGGGAATGGGGTCCAATAGTAGGAATCCTTTTTGCTTGGGCCTTTTTGCATCCGAGTCCCATGGGTTAGGTTTGTGTGTCCTTCACTTCCTATAGGGGGAAAAGTATATGAAGCATGTTCAGCTGCATGCCGAGCCAATCCTCTGGTCCCCGGGGGCCGGGGGCCGGGTTCAATAGGACATTTTCTTCTTTTCCTTTTTTGGGGTGAGAAGTGTGACTTGCATACCGGCCTGCATGACCTCACCGACATATTTTATCTTTCTAGTCGATATGCTCCATTCAGATAGAATAGGTTTCTGTACCTCGGGCACTTGCTAGGCTTAAATCCTTCCGAGACGTCTCAATCAGCCCCCATATCATCGTATATGTAAATGTAAAACAACCGATTTAAGAGAGGCGGAATATATTGACCGCATTCTTAAAATACCAGCCTGCCTACCTAATACTTAAAAGCTAAGACTAAAATAGCAATAGGGATATCACGGAAAACACATGCGCCTTATGCCATGACAGACGATCGGACCAGAGTATATATAGATATATTAGGTAGATTAACTAACTCCAGCTCATTACGCCCAACTTATACTCCAGATGACGACGATGCATCCACGCCGATTCGTGCTGTGCCAGAGTAGCCCCTGATCTCACCAAACTCGTACTTTAGCCCCATCTCATTGACGCGCCAATCTCTATCCTTACGCTTCAATATACTTAAGCCCTCAAACCGGCCAAGCATCCACGAATCACATACGTAGTACATGGCTCCTGCAATAGTACTGGGGTCGACAGGCATATGCGGCCACTGCAAGAGTCAGTAATCGGTTATACGCGTAGAGAATTAGGGACGACATACTGTAATAAAGAAGGAAGCAAGTACGACAAGCACCATGATACAGAGAATACCAACAGCAGACCACGTACAGACCTGGTGTAGGAGGAAGGTCTGTGTGACCCGGTAAGGAATATTGCTAAGGAAGATAGTTAGGAACTCGGATAGGATGGAAGTTAACGCAACAACGGCGAGGAAACCGTGGCGTCGCCGTACTGAGGATAGGAGTCCTGAGAATGCATTGGTTGGTGGCGCGAGTAGGATTGATCGCCGGGCGTGTTGGGGTGAACTGGCCAAGAGCTGATAGGGGCTTAGAATAGCGATGCCTTCATATGCCGTTAGCTTTGGGTTCTAATTTTAGGGTTATGAAAGAAGAAAGGGAAAACTTACTACTAAAGAACGATGCCCAGAAGAAACTGATAATAACACCGACAGCGGTAAACAAAAACCGTACTCCAAACGACTCGCTATCCATAAACCTCTCGAACGCTGTATCTCCACCAGTGTTGTTATAGTATAATATTAGACCCAGCAGCCCGCATAGAATAAATAAGAACAATCCCCGACCTATATACCCTAACATAAGAAAGGGCAAGTGATGCTTCGGTTTCGTTGGGGCCGCGTGATGATCTTGCGGCTCTTTTTCTTCACCCCCTATTTGACCCAGAGCGTACTTATTACTATACGCATTTTCGCATAGCATCACTCCGTACTCGACCGTCCCGTTCGCACCGCAGAAGTACCCCAATTTGAACCACCGATCCTCTAGAACAGACTCGAGGAGACCCTTAGGCATCTTGCCCGCGTCGATACCGGCAGGTAAGCTCGTGAACAGAAGTCGCACATCCGGGTTTAGCGACAGCGATGCCGTTCCACAGATACTCCAAGGGTTTGTGCTGATTCCAGAGCGCCACCGTGCTAATACTAGGATCAACATCAAGGTCGCGAGGCCCATCAACGCTAATAGTGCAGCCGTAGCCTTGGCTGCCTGATCGAACACGCTGAGCACATATGCGCAGTTGCTAGCATTTCCGCTGCCTGCAACGCACCCGATACCGCGCAAGTCAAACTTGACAGCTTCGGCGGAGATAGGGATTAGTAGCGCAGAGGCGAGCACAAGTATGGTCGTTAGGAACACGAGAGCCTGACCACCGACTAGCGAGCGTAGACTTGCGGCGATAGACTGTAAACCTGATGTATTCAGGCATAGCGATTCCCGACCGGAAGCTCCGCGGTCATGCGCCAGCTCGTGCCATGGTTGCAGGATCTTCGCGTTGACGTCGAGGATGCGGACAGGGATCGCTAGGGCGATGGCCAGGAGCGTAGGTAGGAAACTGCCAATGAAGTACTGCACGTGGTTAATATGGTAGACCTTAGTTACAATGTTACCGTTGTTGCCCTCGCTATTGTCCGATGGAGGAGGAATTATCGGGTATAATGTTTCTGTTGCGGTGGGCTTCCCGGTCGAATCCATCTGGCTTATGACGGAGGGCGTGACGAGCACGCTGGTTTCTTGTGTGGCTGTAGGTTGGCCTTGGGAGTTGGTAAGAGTGGTCGTTTGGGGTGTTGAGATGGGTTCCGGGATGCTCGTTGAAGTCGTGGTTACACCCTCTGAGTTCGTCGCAACGGTAACAATCGGCGTTATGAAGGTTGGTGTCTGCGGTACCGTCTCCGAGATAGTAATCATGCCGATGCCGCCGTGGTTTGTGGACGCCACGGACTCATATATTGATGTCGATCCAACATCGCCGTAGTTTGATTCTGGTATAGTTTCTGTCACTATCTTCGAGCCTATATCGCCGTAATTACTTGTCCCAGGTACGTACAGCGACGTAAGCGCCTCCTCCGAGATAGTGACGGGCCCACCGACATGGCCGAAGTCTTCCTCCGGCTTGGAGTAGGCTGTAGAAATATGTGACGTAGTGTCGGCCTTAGGCTTAGTAGTGTCCTGAGCCGGTGGCGGTGTTGTCGTTGGTCCCACTGGTTCAGTTATAGTCTGATCGCCGACGTGTCCAAAATCGTCTCCAGCAGGTGTTGCGACTGCTGTCGGCGATGTTTGCTCGGACGTAGGTGAAGACGTAGGGTCAGAGGCATTTTCGGCACGGCCGCCTAAAGGAGTATGTACGAGAATAGGCCTGGCATCTGTAAAGGCGATCCGAACGACCGTATAAGACGACAGCTCCTGAACTTCTCTTCTGCGAATTCCCTCGGTTAAGACGTTGAGATCATTGTTGAGAACAGGGAGGACATGTAAAGCCCAAACTATCAGCCCGACGAGGGTTGATACTACAAGTAGTAAACCAGTTAAGAACGGCCATCTAAGCGCAGACGGTTTGTAGTTGGGACGCTCTCGATCTATTTCCGGCGCAACGTCCAGAGTAGTCTCGCTATAAGTTATCATATCAGGCTTGTAGCCAGTTGGAACCTGAGTATAGTCTGTCCCCCTCCTAGACCACGACCGATCACTGCCATACTTGGGAAGACCCTCTTCCTCACTACTTGAACCTATCGAACCATCATAATGTCTTCTTTCATATGAGGGATCTTCACTATCGTATCGTCGTTCATGCCGTTGAGTCGAGTTATCATCGTACTCGTACATTCCATCAAAACTTCCCGAGCTCACATTCCGTGTATGCAATCGAGGTAGGGCATCGAACGCTACCCTCTCCGTGCGTGGCGCCGTGGTGATGTGCGACATGACGCCGTCTTTATTTAGTGATCCCTCGAGCGCCCCCGAATCATTGCCGGACAGATGTGTTATTATGTCCTTAAGAGGATGCCGTCAGTCCAAAAGAAAGAAAAAAGTCTCGTTCCCATTATGTTGTAGGAGGACATGCTTGTCTAATATCTTCCCGTTCGATTCGTGGCGGAGCGAAGCCATCACGACGCTACTGCTGCACTTCTACGGTACCGGGCATGGTTCTTAGGCCATCTATCGTAATCCTCGCCTATCCAAGGGGCTGAACAGCCTTGGCAACTTTCAGCTCTCCCACTTAAAGCCCAGATAGTGCCATGTCATGATGACATTGTCATCAGCTCCCATGTCTGCAAAGTAACCTAGGTAGCAAACCTGGTATGGGACCTGAGAAAGTAAATTTAGTTCACATAGCGTCCCGTCGATCAGCAAATTAGTCGAATGGCGCATGGTTTTGGATGCCACGACAAGGTGCGTCTTAGTCAGAGTATTTATTCATTTCGAAACCTTAGACCGGTATATTCATGGAGATCTCTATTCGAACGAATACGACCATCCCGGACCAATAGGATATTTGATAAAGAGCAGTCACTGCGCACTAGTAGTGGACGCCATTATCACGATATGTAACCCTGAATCGGCGTAAGATGTGTGCTAACTTAAAACAAGTCGCATTGCCTGACTATCAGTTGGGTCTGAGATAACGTGAGAATATTTAGAAAGGATATCGAATTGAGTGGTGTTTGATGATCGTGAGATTCTTGGCATAGAACAATTTGCGCTCTAGACTCAGTTCGGAATTAGTCATAAGCCGGTATTACCTTACCGAACGCCAAAGCGTAGGGCTGAATTCTGTCCTGTAGTTGAATTTCATTGATTGCCAAAGTCATATTCAGCTCTTTCTTAGGCGTTATAAATATCTATGATCCACCATAACACCATATAGAGAGCTTAGAAGATACGTGAGAGTTTCACAAGCCAATATTATAAACTAGAGACATCCTCTACTCAAAGCACGATGTCAACACATACCGCATCACCATTGAGATCATTGATCTTAGTTGAAGGCATCATGAAGCTCGCAGGGGGTTTGATGTTTATAATCTCACCCCAAACCCCATTGTCTATCGCAGTAGCAGCGCCCATTCCGCCCTCAGCTCTACTATTAAGCCGACTCCTAGGCACCCAGACTTTTACGCTAGGGATATCTATGCTGCTCGCATCCGCGAGAACACCAAAGGCCGCGGCGAGCAGAAGGATAGTTTATTGGACCGTATTCGCGAGGGATGCTACTTTGGTGACAGTACTCACGTCACAACTTTGGTTCGGGGACAACACTGACGTTCTGGGTTTCTCGCCAAAAGGATTACGTTCATGGCTCGCGGAGCTGATGCCCTTCTGCTTAGGCCACTTGTGGATTCTAATAACAAAACCCCATTGGTTTTGATAGTCATAAGCAGCCACGTTTGACGGAAATCGTGTTAATCACATGTACTAGGTAGAGAAGTACAAAGTCATCGGACATACTAAAGCGAGAATTAAGATGAAAGGGTATATTACTAGGCTATATATTACATATCGGTACTAATGAAAATACCTCATTACTCATTACCCCTGAAATAAATTCGTAGGCCTTCAGGTAGTTGTAATGCTCTTGTGCGAAGTTGTCTTCATAGGTACTTCTATTCAGCACTGAGATCCTCAGCGCCAGTGGGGTGCATTCAGAACGAACCCCATAAGGCACCCAGAGATGATACCTGCGCAGGGCAAAGTCAAGATCCAGCCTCCGTAGATCCAACCGATCATTCGCCAGTTAAGCGCCCGCCAGTCGCCATTACAGAGACCAACGCCGACGATGGCGCCCGTGATGCACTGCGTAGTCGATACCGGGAGTTCTAAAATTTTGTACAAGGTTAGAGAGTCTATTCAAATGGGTAGAGGTCTAAGCGGGTGTTCACTCACTAAGCCGAGTAGCGAGGATAATGGTAACGGCGCTCCCCAGTTCCATAGAGAAACCTCGAGAGGGCGAGTTCAACGTCAGCCGATTGCCAAGGTTAGCCATGATGTGATATCCATAAGTCCAGAGGCCAAGGACAATGGCGACACCGCCGAAAGCTAGAATCCAAAGGGGCACTTCAGGGTTCTTAGGCACCTCTCCTTGTTGCCAGATCTGATAGATTGTTGTAAAGGGTCCGATAGCACTATTGTGTGTAAGTAATATGTCTACGATGGAAAAGGGGCGGTAGACTTACTTCGAAACGTCATTGGCACCATGCGTAAAGGAAGCTGTACAAGCAGTCATAATCTGTAGGAACGAATACATGAACTCGGCCTTGTTGTCGTAGTGTGCTGCCCGGGCGTGTTGTTCCTCGAGATCCCCAGACAATACGTCCTTCTTCCTCTGCATGTTGACGATATCTTGATCAACACCGTTGAATAACCCTTTCTTAAGATACCAATACAGCATCGGGCCGGAATACCAAGAGAGTCCTTCGGGCTTAGGACCGACTAGCGACTTCTTCTCCGGGACGTTGGCAAGCTCCTCCGAGGCTGAGCCCGAGTCGGAGTGTTTTGAAGACTTCTTGACGATAGCATCTCCAATGTTGGCTTCATTGGCGGTCTCTTTGGAGCCAGCTGCCTCGACGTCGTTTCGAGCTAGAGCAGCCGCGCGTTTGGCTTCAAGCTCTTCCTTCGTGAGATGGCCCTCGTAAAAGTTGCGGATAGCACCCTGAAAATTCGATGGGGGCGGTGGGACTTCACCTCGCCTCAAAAGAAGAAGACCAAGGGGAATGTGGTACCATCGAAGTTCCCAATCCTCTTTGACGACCACGCGCCATAACCATGGCATAAGGAATATCGCAATAATACCAGCCCATCCAATACCGCTACAGACAATGACAGCAGCAAGTTCATTATCGTTCAAGTTAATGGTATACCCACCGCCCTTCCACAGCAGAAGCATAACTAAAAGCGACGCAGTAAACCCAAAATAAACGGGGACTAGGGCAAAAGCCTTCATGACGGGATCCTTGCGCAGCATGACTCCGTATTTAGTGATGAGAAATATGATAGAAGCGAAGATTGCCGAAAGACCGGGAGCAATGATCCAGGCAAGGAAGACTGAGACCACACCAGTATTGATTATCTCCGTGCCCACAGTACCAGCTGGTGCGACCCATGTGACATTGCGGGCTCCCACAGATGCGACTCCCATCCCGATGACGCCTCCCATGATGGAGTGCGTAGTGGACACGGGGAGACCTATCCTGGTGGCCAAAGTAAGCCAGACAGCGGAAGCGATAACGGCACAGACCATCCCGAGTAGGAGCACTTCCGGCGTGTCATTATATAAGGTAGGGCTGACGATTTTGGTTCGAATAGTATCAGCGACACGGGCTCCAACACCGAGAGCTCCTGCGAATTCCATGATACTGGCTCCTATCATGGCCTGGAAAAGGGTTAACGAGCGGGAAGCGACCGAAGTCGCCCACGAGTTGGCAACATCGTTGGCTCCTGTAGTAAGAGTAAGGTCAGTATCGGTACTTAAGGGTGCATTTGAGAACTGGTGTGGTAAGAGGCATACCGATATTCCAAGCATCGAGAAAGGCAAAGATTAAGCCTATGGCAAAGAGATAGTCATATTCAACTAACACCATCTTGCCTGGTAATATAAAGGGAATGTCACGAGTAGGACAAGTAAGGCTCCGTAGAGCTGAAGCTGCTGAGGGGGTTACGGGCTGTAACTCTAGAGAGGGGGGAACATATTATATATTATATACTATTATTTCCGCTACAATCGTTCTTGGCCGCCACCGAGCTAATCGGGGCCATGATCAAAACCATAATAGGGCTAGTAGGTACATCATTCGAAAGGCATATATGATGGAAGTGCCACCCATTGAGCCAGTAAACCTCCATAAATGTTCAGAACGGCGTGTAGGCCAATGCGAAGCCGCATGCATGCAACGTGGTTTTCAAGGATGGGTACAGCTAGGGAGGTCACTAATTTGATCGTGGACCGTATATCGCGACCGACGGAGTTGAGGAAGGGAGTGGGCTGAAAATTTTCGGTCAGTTCTTTTAGGTGTCTCCCGCGCGCTTGGCTCTTGGCCTTCTGAATATCTCACCACGTGTGGGCGAATTTTAGCGTTTGCCGAGACTCGCTATAAGAATTTGACCGAACGATGATGAAAAAAGAACAGGCAAGAATCTCCAATATTAATACTTACCATCCAGTTGACTTTTTCTATCGTATTTGTTCAAACCCTTGAATTTCCGCTGGTATGTGAGTACACTCGTACGTCAAGGACTCTATTCTTAATGAGCCCTAGACTAAGGTTATAACTTTATAAGGCCCAAGACGAATTACTATCATGTGTGAGGGACTGTTATGCAGTCCCTCTAGAGTTGCGTCGATCCATTTTATCAAGACAGCCAAGGACTGTGATATCTTCATTAAACCTGTTTACCCCTAAGTATTATTAGATTACAACTTACTCTAGGAATATTGAGCATGAATTCTTGTCTTTCATACATTTTGATAAACGGGCTCGAGGTTAACCCCTAATATCGATCGGTATAGTCCTCCGCGAGTCTATTAAACAGTGATTGCCAACAGACCAACATCGACTGCTGCAGACTTCCTTCGAATTTTCGGTTTATAGTGTCAGAACTAGTAATCAAAGCAATATGGCGTGGTCTTGGAGATCGAGTAGTCAAACCTGGCCAAGAATGGCTTTCTACTTGGCTGGGGCCTTGGCAGCTCTTTATACTTGATCAAGGGCAAAGAGTCGTTACTTTGAGGCTCTTGGCGGAGCCGCTAGCTACGACTTGGCAGCATGCCTAGACTTGTGCACCTGAGCTTATACTGACCCTATAGCACTTCTTATTGATCCCACGTGGGCGGTCGAGAGGCTAATATAGGACAGGACGGATCGTTTTAAAGATTAGGTATTATTATATAACACAGGGGTAGAACATCTTACACGCATTACGTTCCCAGGTAGGTTAGGTAGGTAGTTTTATGAATTACGTATTTTGAATACTTTCTCATGCGTGGAGGACCCAGAGGGTTGGTTGACTATGATCTGATGTAACAGTACATGCAAGTTATGAACAATTCGATCAATTGCCTCCCATCCATAGGCATCTATACACGTGCGTGTAGCACGTGAGTAATGAAGGTGAAATTCTGATATTGTTAAAAGGTCGCTCCCCTGCTTAAACAGTTAAATAATAAATATCGTTCTACCATTCTTATCTAGGAACTATGTCGACTTCACGGTGAAATTATAAAATATCCAAATTTGTTGGTATTCTTCGACGAGCTATGACTGCTAGGTACAATACGCGATCATACCCAATGCCCTTATAGTCACAGGTTAGGGAAACATAACTTGGAGCTCCAGGAAAATTTTGAGTCACTCCCTTCAATTCTTGGTTGCTCTCTGCAGAGATCATCGGAAGTAGGCTTCTTAACGGCAACTGCTAGATCACAACAGACCCTTTTTTGATAATCGAATGATATTCTTAAATATAACTAATATTTCTCCCTAGCCCCTTACCTGGCCCGTCTCGTGCAATCAGGATCTGCTTCCTAACTTCCCCGGACTCAACTCCTGCAGCGACACCGTTGATTCATTTTCCTCCGTTTTATATTTGCCAATATTACTATCCCTTAACTTTCCGTTGCCACGATGTCCCCTTTTCCTACCCTCCTGGCTACCCTGGCTTTCCGGTGTATCGTATACATGTGGGTGTGTCAAGTCATCAACGTCCTGTGAAGATGCCGGCAAAGCGATACCAATCGTGGAAACGTCTAGTTGTCTCTTGTTTTCTTCTCCCTGTTCGATATCATCGGAGACATGACTCTTATCTCTCGCAGAGCTCGGTGATTTGAGAGGGGGCAGCATAGGCGAGCCTGGAGATGACATGGGCGACACGGAGAACGTCGGCGATGTTGGGTGGTACGGGGGTGGCGCTGGTAGCGCGCGGCTTGGTGGTGGCCCAGCAGGGGCGACCAGATGAGGAATCTCTATGGGTTCATCATGTGGCCTTAGAGGGCGAGTAGGAGAGTAGGGTAGTGGCGGCGAATGTGAATTAAATCCAGGTGGATTTGTTATACCAGAATGCACTGAGCTATCTTTGTTAGGCCCTGTAGGATACGAGGTTCCTACAGGGCCGCTACTGTACGAGCTGTTACTGTCGCGCAGGAAATGAGGCGCGAAGTGTATTGTTGTTGGAGGCGATAGAGAGATAGGAGGTTCAGTAACGGCATTCGGGATCATATGGCCCTTGCGCGGCAGTGTAGTTTTCTTTTCAGTGCTCGCATTAAGAGTAGTGGGTACGGTTGCCCTTTCATCTACATCGAAGACCGATGAGGGGTTTCGCGTATCGCCTTGCTTGAGAAGCGATGGGAGGAACCTACGGTCGCTGAGGCGCGCCGGGGGTGTCAATGGCGGACCCTTTGATGATGCTGAAGGTGGAGGTGTAATCAAGGGTGTAGGCGAGCCACTCTGTGTCTCAGAAGGTGAACGGCCAAGACGAGGCGCATTCG